GCTGCAGCCTGGTGACCTCTGACCTCCACATGATTGCTCTACTTTCTCGTTATTGATGTTATTGTCTTTAATTAATTATCGGAGTGAGCTGAGTGAACACAAACACACACACACACACACGCACACACACACACACACGCACACACACACCCTCACACACACAGTCACACACACTTACACATATGACATCAGTCACAACTTGAATATATAAGGGTGTAATCCTGTAGAGAGCCAGGATTTGAAACACAATCAGTGTTTTCACAGTGTTATTATCACACACACACACACACACACACACACACACACACACACACACACACACACACACACACACACACACAGTAAACATTGTAAATCCAATTTTCTTTGCCTTTTCCTGCTTTAACTTGAAAGAAAAACCTCTTAAACCACCTTAAGCCTGTTAGAGGTGCTTTTAAAGCCCTGCAGGCGCCCCCTACAGGCTGCAGTGTGTCGTTACAGAAACAAACACACTGTACTCTAATGTAAGATAAGATGTTCCTGTCCTTCTGAGAGTCTTACATTTAAAGTTAGACCTGAGGGTGGCGGAGGCTTTCAGACTGTGAAGGGAGAGAGGAGAGGGAGAGGAGGGGGAGAGGAGGGGGCGAGGGGAGGACGCTGTGTGAGGTCACAGGGACAGGTGTTGTAAAAACAGGAAGTTAGTTATTGTATTGTCAACAGGTGGAGTTGCAGCAGAGATTTACAGCTCGTCGAGGAGATTAAAGTCCTTTAAAACACTGATTGTTGCAATTTGAGTTATAACTCCGTCAAATATAAACACACAGACATGAAACACATACTTTTAGATTTGGTGTGACTCAGAAAATGTATTTATATCTGATGTGCGTCACAAATAAACCTCCATATATCCACGTAGAAATCAGAGAAAGAGGACGCTCCGACTAGCTGCAGAACTTGCTTCAAAATCTTCATGATTTTAAGTTTTCTTCAGTATCACAATAATCCAGTGACGGTTGTCCGTACATACATGAGTACACTGCTAACATGAGCTGCTAGTAGATAATTTGGCTTCTTTTAATGTATTTTAATAATCTAACAAATATAGGCTAAAAAAGATTAAAATACTTCAAATCAGAGATTGCCCAATCTGCTCCAAAAATCACATTTCCTCTGAGATTCAATACTCCGTCAGATATAAACACACAGACATGAAGACACATTTTTAGATTCAGTTTGCTTTAAACTTCCAGAAGGTATTATTATATAACATGTCCATCCCGAATAAACGTTCATAAATCCAGTTAGAAATCATTCATTCATTCATCATCAGAAAAGTTGCTCTTTAGTGATCCAGAGACAGTTTCTGTACATCCACAGAAACACTGCAAACAGGAGCTCCTAATAGATAATTCAGCTACTTTAAAGGTGCTAATTAGACATAATATATCAAATATGGCTACAAAACCCATACATAGATAATAAAAACCAGTTACCAGTAGGATTGCTGGTCTGGTGCATACGCCAAAAAAGTTTCAACACACATTAAACTATCTCTGCCTCAGTTTGTGCCGCCTGTCTGTTCACATCCACCTCTTTAATGTGCAATATTATATATTAATATGTGCTTCATGTTCCATCATCTTCTCAAGCTCAAGCAGCTGTCTTCATTCAGTATTTGGTGTTCTTTCTTCTTCCTGTGGACATCTACTCAGTTGCAGACGCTGGGATGTCTCATCCAGATGTGTCTACTCAGTGTTTTATTGATCTCAATATTGACAGCAGGAATCAGAATGAGCCTCCACACAGAGCCCAAACTCAGGTTATCTGCTGATATCACCACTGAATAAAGCAGTTCCACCTTAACAATCACTGCTTCTCCCACGCTGTTGGACAGACAAAGGACGTCCCGGAGGGGCTGCGAGCCGAGCTGCTGCTAACGTTAGCTCAGCTTGTTTCTCTGATAACTTAAGATCCAGACGTCAGAGTTAAAAAGCACCAAGATCTAAACAGTGGATGGTAACACTGTGGATAATATCACACTAACTAGCGGTTTCCCCCCTGCTCCCAGTGTTTATGCTAAGCTAGGCTAACCCTGTCTTGAACCAGTTGTAGATCTGAGGTCAGTATCTCTGCGTCGTGTCGTCTCTGTGGAGTTTCAGTGTTTAACAGACTGACTGCTGCAGGAAGGAGATAATTTCATCAGAGCAGATAAATAACTGGGCAGCAGCATCATTAAAAACTCATCAGCGAGCTCAGTGAGTGTGTGCGTCTGTGTTTTCAGCCAAACAGATGTGACTATTGTGCTCCATTAATGAGGGTTCAGGGGAATAATTACAGTAAAATGAGAGTGATTCTGTGTGTTTTTGCTTCTCCGTCTATCAAAGTTCGACCGAGAGAACAAACCAAACCTCAACAAATATCCAGACTCATATGAATATTCCTGCTCCTCAGAGGATGAACGCTGGTCCTTCAGCGCCTCCATCAGGTCCTTCAGCGCCTCCATCAGGTCCTTCAGCGCCTCCATCAGGTGCTTCAGCGCCTCCATCAGGTCCTTCATCGTCTCCATCAGGTCCTTCATCGTCTCCATCAGGTCCTTCAGCGCCTCCATCAGGTCTACATTCCTCCTTCTGTAACCACATTGAATAGGATGAATTTGTAATCTTATAGCTGAATTTTAATTAAACTTGAACAGGATGTCTTATCTTATTCAGAGACATTGTGGGATCTTTATTAAGTAAGAATAATACAATTATATATTTACTTACAATTTTAAGGATTTATGAACTGAATTATAGTTAAATCACGTCCATGCTGCCGTGACTGGAAAAATAATTATTAGACTTAATTTACTGTGAGAGCTGAAAGAAAGAAATTCATATTTGAGTTTATATAAAGGAAATGAAAAAAGTAAAAAAAGTAGTTTATGTGTCTTCTGTTTGATTTCATCTTCATTCTTAATTTAAAAGTTTCAGTTTGATTTAAAACTTAAAAAATGAGTGAAGACAGTTATTTTCTCTTTTTTACTGTTTTAAAGAAACATTATTTGGGTGATTGAAAATTAAATAGTTGCAATTGAAAATATTAAATTACATATATTATCAATTATAAATATTAAATTATCAAATACAGACTTTTGTTGTTTGTAAATCATAAAGATTCAAGAATTTATAAAAGTAAATTATCAATAATTATTAGTTTATTTCAAACATTTCAAAGTGAAGACAGTTGAACATGAATGTTTACTCAAACGCAATCAAATATAATTTAATATAAAGTTCTTTTCTGTGTACGTTAGCACAGAGCAACAGTTGGAGCTGTGCAGCAGACGAGCAGCAGGCTGATGTCAGTCGGCTGAACTGAGTGAAGCTAACGCGGATTACTGCAGATTTACCTTCACATTGCATTAACTCACAGGGATGATGGAGGGATGATAGAGGGATGATGGAGGGATGATGTTTCCTGCAGCAGATGAAGGATTTAGCGTTTCATTTTCATGTTTTTACTCAGATTATGTCTTTTTTTCTACCTGTTGATGTCCCACATACTCTCTCAGTGGAATGAATCAGGGACATTCTGCCTTCTCCTCCGGATCACAGCTTTATGGACATGATATAAAAACATATCCTGTAATGACTGTGGCGTAACTGACGGGTCTCTGGAGCTTTTACTTCTCACCACCCTCATCTGTCAACTCCTGGATCCAGAAAATCTGTAATTTGAAGATGATGTGGATCTGAGGACGAGTCTGCCAACAGACCAGAGTCTGCACTGAAGAAACAGCAACAGGCCGAAGTTCTTCCCACAATCAATCAGAAATATTCCGTTTGTTAAACGACTTCTTGTCTCGAGGAGGAAGAACAGCTGACTCTGTGTTGTGTTAATTTTAGTCATGTTCATGTTTAGTGTTTCCTGTTTTATTTTGTACTCACCTTTTCCCTCACATTTCAGACCCTGACCTCCTCCCTTTGTAATTGTCTGCTCCACCCCTGATTGTTTTCACCTGTTTTCACTTACACCTGGTATAAATAGTCCTTGACTCCCTTTGTCTTTGTCAGTTCATCTTGTGAGTTTTTTTCATGTTTTATTTAAGGTTTGTGTGAAGTTTTTGATCTCCACATGAGCTTTTTTTGCACTTTTCCTCGTGAGCGCCTTTTGTGTCTTCGTTTTTTCCCTCCTTGAGAGCGCTTTTTGTTGGATTGTTTTTTGGACAATAAATACACCTTTTGTACATCTCCGTCAGTCCCTGAGTCGTTCTTTTGAGTCCACCAGAATTGTGTCTGAGGTCGTGACACTCTGATTGGCTGAGAGACCTGTCAGTCAAACAAACCCCCCCAAAACAAACTTCATTTGTTGATCATAATTGTAACTTTCTTTCAGAGCAGGTCAGCCATTAAATTAAACGGTGTGTCAGTCCGTCTCTCAATACTGTCCCACTTTCTGTCTGCGGCTCATTGGTTCCTACTGAAGACGTCACAAATGTTTGGTTTCATCTTTAAAAATGTTCAGTAATTTCCTCAAACAGCTGCTCTCTGTAGTTTTTATCAAACAAACAGGAAGTAGTGCGTTTGTTTGGGACTATTTTCAGTGGTGGATGAATCCACATTTAGAGCTCTGCTGCGTACTGAAGGAACAGTTGATGTGTTTTTAATAGTTTTTGGACACAGAGGAAGAAGATATATGAGGCTGTGATTCACACACAATAAGTGCTGGAAAAAACACCTTCAGACTAAAGTCTGGGCATAAAACAAACAAACAAGGTGTACAAATAGTGCTTGTTGGGGACTATTTTCAGCGGCAGATGAATCCACATTTAGAGCTCTAGTGAGTATTAAGGAACAGTGGCTCATTGTTGTGTTTGTAATAGTTTTTGGAGTCTGAACTGGTCTGAACTGGTCTGTCGGTGCGGTAGATGTTGATGAAGAAGGTTTTTGTCTCTGCTTGAATGTGAAGTGTTTTATTTTCACCCGTGTGTGATTTGGTTGATTGTTCCCTCTGTAACCCGTAACTGTCCTCCTCTGCAGGAGATGTGGTGGACATCTACCAGAGGGAGTTCCTGGCGTTGAGGGAGCGCCTCCACTCGGCCGAGCAGGAGAACCTGCGGCGCTCCAAAGAGCTGAACCTGGTCCTGGAGGAGATCAAGAGGGCCATCGCTGAGAAACAGGCTCTGAGGGACATCAACCGGACCTGGAGCAGCCTCTCCGGTCAGTTTAACCCGGACTAACCTGGTCTAATCTAATCTAACCTGGTCTCTTCTGGTCTATCTCTCTGTTAAAGGAACCCTGAATGAGTCTAAACTGTCCTCACCTGATCAGTCCTGGTTTAATCTAGTCTTCTTACCCAGTCTAACCTGCCCCCCCTCTCTGGATCTATCCCAGTCTGGTCTGACCTGATCTGACCTGGTGTCTGGTTCTGGTTTCAGAGGAGACGAGGCTGAAGTTGTGGAATGTGAGCAGCAGTAAAAACGTCCTGCAGCTTCCCTCCATCTTCCATCATCTTCCTCACCTGTTGAACAGAGAGGACAGCCTGCTGCCCGCCGTGCACCTGGGACAGGGACGCACCGGAGGTAAAGCCCACCAGAGCCCCTCTCGGACTCAGTTATAAACACAGGAACTCTTTTATTCCACGTATTAGAGTTGTTCTCCATTGCTTTGGCTCATTTCTTGAAACAGACCGGACGTTCACAACACTCTTGGTGCTTTTGCCAAAATAACCTGCATGGTTCAGCACAACCCCATGGTTCACCTGCAAGAGCTCATATCTCTCCCAAAACAGTTCACTCATGTGTCAAAACTGAATTCTTTTCTCATATAAATAGTCAGTACCTCCAAAATGCATCGTCCCTTTGGCATTGTGTGAGCACTGCAAGTCCAAATGTTTAGATGTTTTGTCACTATGGCAGAGGACCACCTCTCAGTCTTAGCCCAGTCCTTCATTGACAATGGTTACTCTACTAGTTTTTTTTGTCTAGCTAACAGAATACAATTGTGTATAAAACTGAAAAAATAAACACAAAAAAACAGGATTTTAGGGGAAGAGTAGCCTCTAAGGTTTGACATCACACATTGCACTCACACTGCCAAGGAATGGTAGCCATTTTTATTCACACACATAAAGTAACCTCCATATCAGAGTAAACAGAAAATGTATAAAGCATAATATATTGTTATATAAACACATAAACAAAAACAAGGACAATGATATGTAGTCTACAGTGCTGTAAATAAATACAGTATATGGTATTCATGGTTTTATGTTGACTCATTCTGACCATTGAACAGACTATTGTGCATGTGATGACTTATAGAATGAAATGTTTTGGAGAGAACAACCATTAGACTGAGAATCAATCAATCAGTTTAGATCAACAGGATCTATTCACTTGGAAATTCTGCTAAATGTAGGCTAACTGTGCTAAATGTAGGCTAACTGTACTTAATCATTTGCAAAGATGTACTAAGACATTTGCAATGTGATGAAATCAATGAGAAATACAATTCTGTTGTGAACAATTGCCAGGTGGTTTGGAGGTTTGTCCATGTTGTTTTGAGAATGTAATTCCTGTTTCAAGAAATAAGCCAAACCAAAGGAGAACAACTGTAAAAGCTGGAAGGAAATACGATAAAGATTCACACACACACATGCACACACAGACACACATGCACACACAGGCACACACACCTCCACCGCTAGCCCGGGGCACCTTCCAGAACCAGCAGCCCAGGCACAGTGCACCTTCCCTGGGGAAACAGCTCACGAGGTCCCCCTGATACACTCCACAACCCCTGGAGGATAAAACAAACCAACCAACCAGGCTGGACCAAGGTCACTCTTGTGTGTGTGTGTGTGTGTGTGTGTGTGTGTGTGTGTGTCAGCTCTAATTTATTTGTAGACATTTTTTTCTGCCTGGTAAACCATTTCCTGACAAGGCGGCTGTACACAGAGGGCATAAATACAGATAAAACCAGAGAGAACAAACACATCACAGTGTGTGTGTGTGTGTGTGTGTGTGTGTGTGTGTGTGTGTGTGTGTGTGTGTGTGTGTGTGTGTGTGTGTGTGTGTGTGTGTGTGTGTGTGTGTGTGTGTAGTCAAATGTATTTATGACGCACTTTGAGTAAAACAGGTTAGTCGGACAGGAAGTGCTTTATGGTGCTGCAAAGAATAGAGAGATAAAAACACAGCAAGAAATTTATATTATATATTTATCTGTGTGTGTTTGTGTTTATCTGTGTGTGTGTGAGTGTGAGTGTGTGTGTGTGTGTGTGTGACAAATCTGATTTATATGTTAAGTTTCTGAAACACAACAGGCACGATGTGTTTTTTTTTTGCAGAGCAGCAACAAGAGTAAATCAGGTTAAATAAAGACAGAGCGGGTTGTACATTTACAGAAATAAGGCCAGAGGGGTGTGTGTGTGGGGGGGGGTTTGTGTTTGTGTGTGTGTGTGTGTGTGTGTGTGTGTGTTGATTCATTTTCACTTCCTGTTTGCTGTTTTCACACTTTGAACTGTGACTCATCCTCACTGGTCCTGGTTCAGTCTGGTTTGGCTCATAAATTTGGATTTACTATAAACTTTCAAATACAAACTGCCATTAAATTAACAGGAACAATGACGCCACTGGAGGGTTTTTAATGTGAAACTTTAGATTTGCCAAAAGCTTTTAACACTGTTGATCCACAAATATGGTTTTGTAGATGAGATGTCACTCTCAAATAGCTGCTTAGTTATTTATCATTAATAAACTGACTCAGTGACATATTTTATAGATATTTCATATTATATTAACTCAGTAACCAGAGATTTTAATGAATTCTGAGCAGATTAGTTCCTGTTTAGGGAACTTTTTATACAATTCTCTGTCTGTATTATGGATTTTGTTTTTTTAACAATCATACAGATTTAATAAGCTTTTTTTTTACAGATTCAGTGTTTTCTTGTTGGTTATGTTCTTGTAGACAATTTAAATGCCTACTGTGTATTTTCTTTAAGTTTTGTGTATTTTTTTTTAACCCCCTGATGAAGCTTTGGCGACCCCTAGTGGGACCTACAGACTGTAAAAATTTTCTACCTCCACTATTTGCTGATGATATACACCTTTACATGAGTATTTAAGCTCAATGATTCAAGAAGCAAAAGAAGACCTATCAAATATTTGTAAATGGTTTCAGATGGAAAAACTTTAAACATCAATAAAATTCTAATTTTATATTTTGTAACAACAAGAAAAAGTACAAAAAATAAAAATAAAAGATTTAATAAAAAACACTGAAATAACTCCACACATTAAATGCCTAGGGGTTATAATAGACAAAGAATTCAGATAGAACTACTGTATTGAAGTTGTCTTGAGTGGAGTTTGTAAATCTAAACGTGTTCTCCTCTTCAGAAAATACAAACTTCTGTTTTTAATGTGAACATATTTCACACTTATTGTTTCAAACAGACAAGTGGGGAGAGCTGATACAAACACTATAAACCTCATTTTAAAATATAACTCACTTATGAGTTTGATCAATAATCAATACCAGCGGATATTCTGTACAAATGTGGAATGACTTTGGTTTAATTTGACTTTGAACAGACGTTGTGGTTGTCAGTTGGGTCAAAAGTAACACAGCAGTTTAAACTTCTATTATTCTTGTTTTTTTTTATGTCGTCGTTAATAAACTGCAATCCTTTATCTTAGTAAAACTATTACAATCAATCAATCAATCAAACAAATATAATTTATATATATATATCTACTGCATGTGCAAATAAATAAACTAATCTTCTGCAAGTTTTAATGTAATGGACGGTACAACACTCTCAGGGTACTACCCACTGGCTGTGATTATTTTCTGGAAACTCTCCTATGATTATTGATGAACCACAGGCTCTGTACTGGGAGAACCTCACGCTCCCCAAACAACACCCGGCTCTGCTGGAAACTCTCAAAACTCCTTGGCCCCTTGAACTACACACCGGCTCTGTGTATTTGCTGGAAGAACTTTCCAAGGCCCCTTTCGATTTTCCACTGGCTGTTTGTATTTGCTGGAAACCCTGAACCAAGGGTTCACTAAATATAATGAAAAATGAAATAACATGAAAATGTTTTTAGTTAACTGAAATAAGAATAAAATATAGACTAGAAAAAAAGCAAACACAACTTTTAAACAAACTAAATAAAATAAAAATATACAGGAAATGTCTTTTTGTCAGATTTGTCAACACAACAAACATGAGGAGAAGTTGGTGAGTCAGTGTTTTTACTTTTATCTTTACTGCGACTGAATTTCTTAAATCTTATTTACACATTAAAAACAATATAATCTAAACTGGAACAAACCTGCTTCTGGAAACTGAATTGAAACCAAATGACTGTGCCGTGAGCTAGCTGCCGGCTCTGTGTATTTGCTGTAAACACTGAACACTTTTGGAGCTGTTACTCACTTTCTCCCCGTCGGCTCTGTGTAATCGCTGGAATCATTCCCCCACACCCTGAACTATTTATTTCCCGGGATCGCTCTGAACCAGGGATTCAGCCAAAATATCAGGAGGGTTTATTCTTACAGTCAACATCGTTCTGGTTTACATATTTATTGTTCTTACACGTTTTTACACACAGATTTTTCAGAGAAGATCATAAAGAAATTTATTATAATGAAATTTTAGTTCAACACAGTTAATAAAGAACAGGAAGTGTGTTTTCATGCACCGTTTTCTATGCACATTTACAATTTGCACTTAAAAGAAAACACTGTGGAAACACTGAAAATTTAACACAAAAACAAAATCAATCAGTAAATTTCCCTCATTGCTGACCTTTGTGAAGAAATAATTAAAACCACATAAATAAGTAGTTAACGTACTGATGTTGTTGCTCCTACAGTGTTCTTATTGTGTGTTTCCACCAAACACAATGTGAATTTTTGCATTAGTATCATTTGTATTTACTCATGTTAAAGTTCTAAATATGGCTCACAGTGGTGGTATGAACCCAAAATAAACAGATTTTATTTGTGATTTAAAGGGACATTGTGTAGGAATTTCTCCCATCTAGAGGTGAAATTGTATTTTGCATTCAAACGAATAGTGCTCTCTAGTGCCTCGCGTTTTCAAATGCATATTGCAACTACGGTAGCCGTTATGTACCAAGAAGCCTACCTGTGGAGGAGAAAGCAGGCAACTTCAGCGTCCCTTTGAAAGTCTTTCTCCTTCATTAGCTCTTTCCACCTGGGAAAAGCTACCCCGATGTTTACCCTCGTTTTTTGAATTTGCCGGTCACGTTGCCTTTTTAATTCCCTTTTGGCTTTTTTGGTGACGAGGATTCCTTCTCCTGTGGCTCGGCATACGTATGATCCTCCATTATGAACTAAAGTGCAGTGCAGACTTTCAAATGTGCCGGGGCACTGATCTCCTTCTCCGTTATAGCTGGTTTCAGTCACGTGACGCTGGCTCTGAGCGAGAACGCGTTGTGGATTAGTGAGACAGGTAGGCTAGTGCTTTATGTCCCTCTCGGTGATTATAGTTTTTCAAAATGGTGGAACGACATGGAAGCCTCCACGGACTTGCCCGTCCAATGTATATACAGATAAGAAATTCTTTGCTTACAAGGATAAGTCAGATCATTGGCAGAGGTAATTTTAGACATTGATTTTAGCAAATAAAATACTTAAAACACAACACAATGTCCCTTTAATGTCAATAAATAGATCAAAATAATGCTGAAATCATTACATCATGATGGCGATTCATAAGACGTCTGAATTCAGTCAGTTTCAACGTTTCCCAACTATCATTTATAAATATGGATAATAAAACAGGATTTATTTCCATTTTCTGTTTTATTTTATTTTAACTCTGTGTGTGTGTGTGTGTGTGTGTGTGTGTGTGTGTGTGTGTGTGTGTGTGTGTGTGTGTGCGTGCGCAGTCTCCATAGTGATGGGGGTTCCCAGTGTGAAGCGGGAGGTCCACTCCTACCTGACCGACACGCTCAGCTCTCTGATGTCGGAGCTCAGTCCCGCCGAGAAGGAGGACTGTGTCATCGTGGTTCTCATCGCTGAGGTCAGTGTGTGTGTGTGTGTGTGTGTGTGTGTGAGAATTTTTTTTTTTTTTTGTGTGTGTGTGTGTGTGTGTGTGTGTGTGTGTGAGAATTTTTGTGTGTGTGTGTGTGTGTGTGTGTGTGTGTGTGTGAGAATTTGTGTGTGTGTGTGTGTGAGAGAGGATAATTGGCCATCAGCGTGAGTGTGTGTTGATGCGTGTGCTTCCTTGCATGCTTTCTAAAGGTCAGTGGTTTGGCTAATGAACCCCAACACACACACACAGAGTGCTAATGTCAGTGTTTAGCGTCTGTGCTAATGCTAACCTCAAACTGCTGCAGGGAGGTAAAACAGTGCTGACGTGTGTGTGTGTGTGTGTGTGTGTGTGTGTGTGTGTGTCCACTGACACATTTAAGCTGTGAAATTACATCATTGTGAAGTGTATGTGTGTGTGTGTGTGTGTGTTTGCAGTAACAGTGATGAAGGTCACTCTGAGCTGCTGCAGTTTCTCATCTGTTGTTATTTTAACAGTACAAACCTGTGTTTTCCTAATTCTTTTAAGTTGTGTTCACACTTTGTTATTTTAGTCCTGACCTTCCACTCGCCGACAGTTTTTTGGAGCTAAATGCCTCCAGATCGAGGAAAACTGACGGTTCTTACGTGTCCTGGAAAACCTTGAAAATCTGGATGTCTAAAGTTTCCAGTCCTGATTAAAATGGAAACAATCTGAGTTGTTCTGGGTTTGATTAAAACTGTAGTCCAATCACTGGAGAAAATCACCTGTAGGGAGGACAGCACGTAGCGAGCTTCTTTCTCTATTTGTTTCAATCAGTTTAGACCCTTTATATACAATGTTAGTGTGAACATTACGTATAATAAGCAAATCGAATAATCAATTACAAACTGATCTACGATGTGTAGCGTGTCCATATTCACAAAGGTTCTAACATTTTTTAGCTCAGCTCAGAACTCACTCAGACTTTAAAAGGTTTTATACTTCCAGTGGACTAATATAAAATCCAGACCAGGCCTCTAATGGGGACTTGCCTTTATTTGTTAAAACCTGTATCCACACCAGGCTAGTAAAGGAGACCTTCTTCTGCTTGGAACTCTGCGTTTTACAGAACATATTATATTATTGTAATTAATTAAAAACTTAATTTACCCAGGTTACCGTAACAATAAATATTTTATTTACCCAAATATTTTATAAACTTTGGTCAAACAGTTTGAGTTGAACAAACTTATCTGTTTTTACTGTGAAAGGTGATACAAGATGTATAGAAACTGCTGTTTGCAGTCTTTACCTGCAGTCCACCTGCCCTGGTTCCTTTTAAAGAGCTTATATAAATATCTTTCAGCACAGAGACATGATACTGTAGCTGTAGCAGCTGATCACAGTCCTGTTCGTGTGCCGTGGACCTGCGGGGGGCTCGCTGGATTTGCGTTGCCCTGCTGGGTTGCGTCACATGTTCTCCTGCTCTCTCACTGTAACATCCTTCAGTCATGTAAAATTCATGTGACACATCTCTGCACTTTAAAAGCTTTAAGTGCTTTCACTGCTCGTTCCTCACGAGCAGAAACAAACCCAGCTGAGACGTCTTCGGTCCGCGTTCAAACCCGAGCGTCAGTCAGACTGAGAGAGGAACCGAACTCCGTTTTAACTCCAGTTCAGTTCGAATCTGTCAGAGGAAATTGCAAACTGTGTCTGCGAGATAAAAACAAAAACCCAGAGGGGATTTTAAATATTATAGCAGCTGAGAGGAAGATATCAAAATGACAAATGGAGACACAAATACAAACAAACTCAGTGAGCAGCAGAGGGAAGTATGAGAGGAAATGAAATGTGTAAAATCACTGAAACTGACTGTGACAGGAACTCACTGCTGCCGGACTGGACGGGCAGGATCTGGTCCCGCTCTTTATTTGACAGCAGCTTCAGCAAATCCACCGAACCCTCAGGGGAACATTGATATCTCCAGTAGATTTATGAAGAAACATGTCAGATTTTTGATGCCAACTACAAAAGGAAGGGCTTCTGCTTTCGTCAAGGGGCTGAATATTTTCTGTATTATTTATCGTTCTTGGTTAAAGTGAGTAAATAGTAAATCAGGGGCATTCAGCAGTGTGACCCACTGCCTCTGGAAACTCAACATAAAACATTTAAACAAACTGTTGTAGACCTAAAATGAACACAGATCCAACAACTTGCTTAAAACATTCCCACACAAGCCGCCGTGTTGGTCCGTTTTGAGCAGAAAGTGTCCAATCAGGTGCAGCCTGTTGTAGGAGGGTGGAGCCTGAGGGTGGCTACAAGCATCTAATGCCCGGAAGCGGCGCGACCCCCTCACGTCCACAAACCACTCCTACATGTACCATAAACTGACCATATTAGAATGAGGTGGAGGAGCAGCCACTGTCTCTGGAGAATTACAGACTGTTCCTTTAATTGTTCTTAGTTTTATAAATATCATTGAACTCTCAGTTCAGCTGGAGCCTGTGTGCAGCTGGAAACCTCCTTCAGTCTCTGAGCTTTAGTTTTCCACCAATCTGAAACAAACTCCTGCCGTTCGACACCCAGCCAACCACCTCACTGTGAAACCACCAAAACAATGTCTGGACCTTGTTTTAGGATCCCAGCGCCATTTCAGAGCCTTTTCCCTCCAAGACAGAACTCTCTTTTTGTCCTTTTCACTGTCAGAAACTGGAGCCGCTCAGAGAGAGGAGAACTTTCAGTAAATATTGACAGTAAAAAGTGAGAAGCGTCACCAATGAGCGGCTCTAAACTGCGTCTGCTCCTCGTTAACACTGCGGTAAGCTCCACCCAGCTGGCACCTCCAGGACGCCAAAACAAACCACAAACTCTCTGCAGAGACTGCAGCTCCGCTCGCCTGGTGGAAACATGTGTGTGACCTCGCGGCGACCTTCAGAGCCAGATGAGTCCACGTGGGCCCCGATTGGCCGAGCGGGAGGCTGAACTCTGATGTCATCGATTGCTCAAGTTGTTGTTCGTGTTCGAGCGGGAACAAGAGTGTGTGTGTTTGGTGCATAAAAACATTGAGATGATCTCACTCTATCACGTGTGTGTTTGTTATTGCTTCAACACAGAGTAGGTAATGAACGACTGGTGAGACGCTCTGCCCGCTATGAGTTTGGCGTCTTGTCTCCAATCGGTTGCCCAGAAAACAGGCAACTAATCTGGACCGTGTAACACAATGCGCTTTATTAAATCCTTTTAAAGGACTATAAACTCCTCTTTTAAAGCAGAGAGGATTTCTTTCAGGGCTGATTCAGACCAAATTAGCCAAAAAATCTGACGCCACGCTGTGGTGGCCAGTCCGGTGATCAGACCTGTTAAACTGCTCTAAAGTCATAGTACGTGTCAGAACAACAGGGGACCAAGGATGGCGCCTTGGAAAACACTGCAGGTAATTCTATCCTTCATGAAGGGAGGCTTTCTTGCAGGGCTGTCGTTATTCAGACCAAATCAGTGGCTACGGTGAACACACCAGTCCCCCTATTGATTTGTGTAGTAGTAGTAGTCTGTTTAGGCTGTGTGGCACAGAGCAGTGACCTGCAGCAGGAAAGTTTTGGAGAAACCTGACGTCAAACTGCGGTGGCCAATCAACAGTCAGCCTGGAATATTACTGAAAAAGGAGTTAATCATTCCCTCCAGGAATTTCAACCAATTTAATGTTTGCTTTCTTTGGAAAACATCACAATTTTTTTACAGTGATATCTTAGGCCACAACAATCCCCAATAAAGCCTGAAGGGACTCTGTGATTCTGTCCAGTTGTGTCCTCGCTTGGTTCATTTGGCTTGGCTGCAAATTACTGTAAGCTTTCATACACAGAATAACAGTGGGCCAAGGATAGAGCCTTGGGGAACACCACAAGTTGAAGAAGAAGAGACGTCACCAACCACTTTTAAACAGTTTGAGCAGAAATTTGAGCACTTGTTGCAGCGGGGTCGGTACAGTCTGACTACTTCCTGTTGAAATAATTTGCAGATTCTGCTGATTATCGGGTTGTTTAAGGTCTGTTTGGACATCATTAGAATCAGACTTCTGATGATGTCACAATAACCTGACACCTGTGTGTGTGTGTGTGTGTGTGTGTGTGTGTGTGTGTGTGTGTGTGTGTGTGTGTTGGTGAATGAACTAATAAAAACTTGCCTTCTGTGTTTTCAGGCGGACCAGCAGTATGCCAGCAGTGTAGCAGACAACCTGAAGCGCCTGTAAGTCCACTTGCATGATGGGATGCCGTTTCTATGGCAACAGATATGAGAGGAGATTCTTCACTTCCTCTCACTATGTGTGTGTGTGTGTGTGTGTGTGTGTGTGATGTGTTTGATGTCGGCTCGTACGCGGCGGCCTTTGATCACCGCTGTGTGTGAACAGCTGTGCGTGTGCCATTGTTCACGGCGTGTAGTCAAAGTGCAGCATGTTAGTGCATGATTAATTTATCACACACACACACACACACACACACACACACACTCTACGCCTGCAGCATTAACTGTGTCAGCAGCAGGAACCTTTTTGTAAAAAACATTTTTACACTCGAAGATTAAGTGTGAATTTTCCTTCCTTCCTTCTCCTCCTCCTCTTTTCCTTCTCCCTTTAACACTTTCCTTTATCTTCATTTTGTTTCCTCCCAGCTCAATCTTTTCCTTCTCTACATCCTCTTTTCCTTTATCCTGCTTTTGTCCTCTACTTCTTTCTCTATTGTGTTTGTATCCTTCTTCCTCCTTTCCTTCTCTTTCATCCTCCTTTTCTTTCCTACCTCCTCCACTCTATAACCTAATTTATATACTGTTAGTTCTCAATATAGGGGTCAGCAGATCAATCTGAGGGCTCACAAGATTATTAATATATATATATATATATATATATATATATACCTTCATTTTAACTCAAAACTAATTTACAATGATGCTGAGTAAGATTATAAAATGAGTAAAAATACCCAAGCTATTAAAAATAAAACATATAAGAAGATAAATTCATTAATTCAAACACTAATAATAGAGACAAGCAATCTAAATAAAAAACAGTTCATATAATTTGATTAATGTGTCACATTGATAAAGTATTGAATAGAAATATGTAAAAGTGATATTAGAAATCAATACATTGTTTTATTAACAACATTTGTCCAAATACATGTTTTTTTTTTCACTGAACTTATGTCAATCATTACATTAATTTGTTGTTATATTTTAAATTAATCTATATCAATGTGTTAAATTTGACACCTAACTGGACTGGTCAGGTACCTTTGTTTTCATGCCAACCCTCTGTATCTGATCAGCTGATCACGGTTTTATATAAAATATTGATCTTAAAAGTAACTAGTAACTAAGGGCCTGTCCTCACGAATACGCAGCCTCACCCAATACGATGTCGCTTCGAAAGAAATCTCCGTAAACACGGCGTTGTTTCCAGAAATCTGCGTCCACACGGATTCACTGACAACGACCCAAAACGCTGTAGTACATATGCCAGGCCTGTATGTGGCGCTGTGACGCCGCCACACCAATACACTAAAACCGGAAGAGAAGCCATGGAGCATGCGCTGTTTACAAACAAGTAGTAGTAGTCCGCCATTGTTGTTGTTGTTATGACGTATAATGAATTTGTAGAAGCACAAAGTAGCATAAAGTGGAAATAACCATTAAAGTACAAATACCTCGGAATACAGTATAAATACAGTGTAAGTACAGTACATGAATAAATGTACTTATTTCCACCACTGTTGTTTCTCTTTAGTTAAATGACTGCATTATATAGTGATATTATACTGTATGTTGTAATATATATATAAAGTAAATCTAATAAATGGTTGTTTCATTATATTATAACATTCACTGTGAACATGAAATAAAACTTCCTCTCTGTGTGTCAGTTTTCCAGCAGAGATCCAGTCGGGTCTGTTGGAGGTCGTCTCTCCGTCCGTCCACTTCTACCCTGACTTCTCTCGACTCCGAGAGTCTTTCGGAGACCCGAAGGAGAGAGTCAGGTATGTTCCTCTGTGTTTGTTTTAGTATGTATGTGGGGTCCAAACACTGGGAGCCCATTATGGGGACCGACAGCAACACACGTTTAAAGGGTAGAGAATGCATTAATGTCAGTGACAGGTCCTCACTAATAAAGTATTAGAGTGTGTTGGAACAAGCTTTTGGTTTATTTAACACTTTGCCAACAGAATGAGTCAGACTCTGTGGAACAACCTTGCATTGTGTGTGTGTGTGTGTGTGTGTGTGTGTGTGTGTGTGTGTGTGTGTGTGTGTGCGGCTGCAGTACAGGAAACTCCTCTTTCACCATAAAAGTCTGTTTTAATAACAACACGAAATGAATCATCAGTATTATTTTTCTTTTCTGGCAGGTAACAAGGAGTTTAGTTACTGAGCAGCTTTCTCTCATTAGCACTAACTACTCAGGACACATTGTATGTGAAGGAATTACTATTATTCCTAATGCAAGATCGCATTTTTGGAGGCTGCAACATGCTCCGAATCTCATGAAACGCGGCGCACATGTCAGTCATGGCGTAAAGTCTGGAATTCTATGGGTCTCGAACATATGTGTGCAGAAGAATGGCTCAACAGCGCCCCTATTGAGCAGCCCTAAAGGCACGTTTCACCTATGAGCATGAAGGTGAAAGTGGTGCACATGTAGATCATCTCCAGACATACAAAAAACCTCCTGGACCCATTTATTTACATTCTCCATCATCTCCCTGTTAATTCTCTTTTATTTGATCCTGAATTGTGAAGTCTGTTACAGTATGAGCTGTTTATATTAATCATTGATCATCCTTCTGATGATTCATGTTCACCGGTTCATGTGATGAGTTAATGCTACATTATAAATAGTCACAGCCGTGCGTATTGACAGCTGCTCTGATGCTGTTGTTTGCCCATACATTATTATTCACTGACAGGTCTAATAAGTGGCGGAGCGAGCACAAGTATATTAAGTGGATGTTTGAGGGCGTCTCTACGCCCGTTTATGGATAATTGTGGAAGTAGAAATGAAGCTGCACGCTCGTTTCCCCACTGGCTGAGATTTATAAGCAGGCGTATGTGCAGCTTTAGAAGTCTTACGAAAAGAAAGCACATTTCTGTGTTTGTGCAGACACAAAGGCTCAGGGTTTTATGCATCTGGCCCCTGGTGTCCCACTTTGTGTGGGACTGCACAGCTTTTTTATCTATTGTCCCACAAAATCCTGGCTCTAGTTTTCAGAAGTCAAATCACTGCAGGACAGACACTTTCCTCAAATCTGTGTGTGAAGAAAGCAGGACGGCTGTCATCAGTGGGCTGCTGGATGTCAGTCAGACTGCAAACATGTGGGTCAACTGCAGGTTAACCTGTCACTCTCTTTGCTACGCTAAACATAAAGTCACAGGCTATGCAGATGGCAGAATATGATGGGAAACTAAAGATTATTTGCAAATTTGTGATACGAAACAGAAAAACATCTGCAGGCAGCCTTAGTCCTCGGCTGCTCTTAATAACACATGAACTCCCCTGAAAACATGATTTGTGAACATTTTTTGGGGATTTTAGAGGCTCTAAACATTAGGAAGCAGCTGTGATTGTCAGCATGTATGTTAGTATTAAAGTCCCAGATTTTTAAATGGAGTGTGGTCTGCAGAGGTGTTTTAGTTTTAAAAGAATACCACTGTTGTAGTTGATGACTCAGAAACACTCAGCTTTAAGAAGCAGATGTGATTGTCCATAAGTATGTTTGTATTAAAGTGCCAGGTTTTTAAGTAGAGTTTGGCCTGTAGGAGATGCAGAGATTTAAAAGAATAACACTGATGACTCAGAGAGGCTCTCAACTTTAAGAAGCAGATGCATTTCTGTCTTCCTGTATCTTCATCATCATGGGTCATGTGTAAAGTTGGGCTGTTATTGATGTATGATTCATGCATGAGGGTGATTCATCACTAACTCACGATACCAGCATGCATCTATTCTGCATCCTATTGAAGCACAATATCATAAAACTCTCTTTAACACAGAAATCAGAATAAAACTAACTTTTTTAGTCCGTCTGTGCATCAAATGTCAGTCTCTGTTTTGCAGTCAGCGTACTGAAACTGTTTTTGTTTTATCAAACTCTGCTAGAGACCCTAAATATACAAACATTTCACTGCTCCCCACTTACTGCACAGGAGCCACAACCTGTATTAAAGGTGAAGTCTAACAGCCTCCCAGTGGCTCCATAGAGCCATACAGGGCAATCAAAAATGTAATGAAATAAACAATAATCAAATAATTCAACCCATACATTTCTGCATGCAAATTATATAATTAAATTAAATGATATTCCCATAACCACAATAAAAACTAACTAACTATTACTACCATATTATAATATGTCTGCCACCGATGCCCTGCTGAAAACAAGTCGACCACTAGAAACTACAGAAAGAAGTTTGTGTAAAAGCAGTTAATTGGATTAATTTTGAGTGAATTATTTCCTGTTTAGGAAACTTTTTAATACAATTCTGTCTGTATTATGTATTTCTTTAATAGTTTTTAACAATCAAAAGGGTTCATACAGACAAATTCAGTGTTTTCTTGACGTCTGTCCATTGTTCTATTAGAGGATATACTTGAGAATTTACTTTTCCACACAGAAGTGAACCAAATGCTGAGACATTGACCTACTGTGTGTAGTTTTCTTGCACGTCTTAAACTCAAGAAGGCCTCGCGACCCCCTGTGAAGGTTTGGCGACCCCTGGTGGGGGCCCCGACCCTCAGGTTGGGAACCACTGTGTTATGACGTGGTCCTATGACCTACCAGCACCTGCCTGTTGTTGGCAGTGGACGGTGAATATGTTTACAACTTGATAGAAGAAGTTGTTTCACTTTATTGACTTTCGGACTTTAAATAACTGCAGTTTATCATAATTACAGCTCCACACACACACACACACACACACACACACACACACATTCTCTCACAGTGTGTGTGTGTGTGTGTGTGTGTGTGTGTGTTAAACAGCTCCCCAGGCTTCTGTCAGCTTGTCATGGCTAATTCATGAGGCTCTGAACCACACTGAGAGAGCTAACTAGACACACACACTTAAATTGGTCCTCTTGCCTTCCTGTCTCTCTCTCTCTCTCTCTCTCTCTCTCTCTGTCTCTGTCTCTCTCTGTCTCTCTCTCTCTCTCTCTCTCTCTCTCTCTGTCTCTCTCTCTCTCTCTGTGTCTCTCTCTCTCTCTCTCTCTCTCTGTCTCTGTCTCTGTCTCTCTCTCTCTCTCTGTGTCTCTCTCTCTCTCTCTGTCTCTGTCTCTCTCTCTGTCTCTCTGTCTCTCTCTCTCTCTCTCTCTGTCTCGCTCTCTCTCTCTTCCTTCAAGGGTCAGCGTGCTGATGGAGGTGACATCATTTTTGCTAATAAAGTGTTGCTCCGCCCCCTTTGGTCTTGTTACCGTGGTAACACAGGAAAGAGGAGGAGGAGGTGCTGGAGAGGAGGACGGACGGCAATAAAGAGAGAGGGAATGGAGTGAGGTCGGAGGGGAGATAGAGAAAGTTAATGGAGGGAAGGATGAAGGCCTGATTGATCGATCAGCTACCAGCGGGTTTATGCTCCGATCGGATATGATGTCATTTATTAACTCTGCTACTTCCCACCAACATCCTGTTCGCCATCTTCTTCGCCCGGGATGGCGAATCAGTATCAGCCAATCAGAGTCAGAGGAGGGCGGGCAGGATGACAACTACTGTTTTAAAGCAGTGAAGAAGAGTTGATTTAGCCAGAGTGAGGGAAGGAGGGAGGAAGGAAGCAGGAAACAGGGAGGAAGGAAGGAAGGAAGGAAGGAAGGAGGAAGGAGGGAGGAGGAAGGAAGGAAGGAAGGAAGGAGGGAGGAAGTCCAAAGAACTGCACCGTAGATTCAGAACTTCCTGTTGGGTTCAGGATGTGGCTCCAAGAGGCTTTTTTATTAATCAGGATATGATACATGTGTCTATTGATTTTGGTACATCTGAGTGAAACATGCTGCCGGGGCTGCTTCATTGAACTATTCTACATTTTCACCGTTTGTGACGCATGTTCCCTCTTTTTTTTTTTTTTTCTTTTTTCAGCACTTTTTTGCATTTTGTGCCAAATGAATCAAATCTTTTGCGGCTTAAACATGTTCACAATCTTCTAAAACGTGACCCACGTGTCAGTGGTGGAAAAATGTTCGTGTCATATGGGTCTCACACGTGGGCGTGGCTAAACGGCTCGATAGCGCCCCCTAAAGAGCAGCCGCCCACAGCACCATGTATGAAAATCAGTATGAACAGGTATCATACACAGACGTACTAAAAAACTTCTTGGAGCCAAATCCTAAACCCAACAGGAGGTCGGACATTTTTTATTTAACATACAGTTTTACAGGTTTTAACTCTACAGAAGTAATCAGATCAACTTCTTCACCTCATTTCAGGCACGTCTGAGAACATTTTATTAAAAGTCCTCCTGCTCCGCTCAGTCTGTCTGTCTGTTTGTTATTTCCTCTTCCTCCTCTGAAGAAGAACAAGAACAAAACCAGTTTCAAACTTTAGTCTGGGGGGACGAGAGGAGGTTTTTGTCTGTCTGTGAACAGACTTAACAGGTAGAAGATCTCAGCAGAGGAAGAGGAGGAAGGAATCAGATGGATGACAGATGCTGAGGATTTTTCTTCATCATGTTCCAGCTTTTTGTAAACAGGAAGCTTCTTCTTCTTCTTCACAAATAGAGATCATGAGAACTTTTTATTTCTCCGACATCAGCTGTTAGATTGATTTCCGTCGCTCCAGACTTTAGTTTTAGTTGTTTCCACTGAAATTCAACATACAGAGAGATAATCCATCAAAGTCACAACTGGCTCCTAAAAATGTCGTTTATATAAAGTAAAGTGAAGTCTGGTCCTCCAGGTCTCTTAAAGCTGCTACTTCTGCAGTATTTGTTCCTTTTAAAGCTGTTAGCAGTGATTCCTCACATTGTTCTGAGGAGCTGAGACTCAAATCTTACAGTCCAAGTAAAGTTACTTAAAACTTAAAAAGTTGCTTAAAACTAGAATAAAAAGTTGCCCACTGAAACACTGAAATGGACCTTAGAAGTAAAGGAAGTTGTGCTTATTACAACGTAAAGGCAGTTGTTCAAGATAAACTTTTTTAATACTTTATTGAGCTGAATTTAATCATTTGTACCTTAAAGAAAAACAAAAAAATGTATATTATTCTTATATTTATTATATTTATTCTGCTGTTTGACAAAAATAACGTTATTGTCAAACAGCAGAATAAAAATAAGTCACTTTGTCTTAAATGAAGGCACCAGAAGAATTCTTATATTGAGCATTTATTATCAAAACGACAAAAAACTAAACAGCTGCTTTATTTCCGACACTGAGACTGAAACTGAACTGAGAAGTTAACCGACATATAAAGCAACATTTCTCTCCAACCTGTGACCTCTTGTCCAGTTGTTCACTGTAAATTATTTCCTTGTATATTTACAGTAAGCTACTGTAACTGTACTGTAGTGCTATTTACAGGATATAGAACAATACTGTATCACAAAACAATATTTTACTGTATCTCATTGCACTGTAATAAATATATTTACTAACAATAATTATATATATAATATTATATGTATATTTCCTCTCCAGCACTACAAACACAATCAGGGCTCTGAATGAGAACCACTGGGAATCAGGAGCAGCTCCTCTGTATAATTCACCAATAATGTAACTTTGACTAAATGTGGAGAGATGGATTATTTATGTGCAGCTGTTGAACAGAAATCAGTGTCTCTGTGGAACGAAGGAAATCAATCTAACAACTGATTTGCAGTAAATGGGTTTAAAAATATAAAACTTCTCTTTAAAGCACCATCAGGAGTCCGTGAACAGAAGACAGACAGACGTCATTTGTCCTCTTTAACGCTGTCTGTATGCAAGCTGGAGTCTCGCTGTCTGAGGAGAACCTCATTAACAGGTTTCTCTCTGGACTCTGGAGGACTAACATCAGCCTTGCATACCAAACACAGTTTTTTTATTGTAAATATAGATCACAGTGAGGACGAGCTGATGGCTCCATCTCACTGCCAGTGTGATGGAAAACTTCAAAAAGTCGCTTTTATTTTTATATCCCAACATCACAAATCACAGTTTGTCTCAAACGTCCTCCATCCAACAAACACTTTAACAGGAAACAAAAGAAGCTGTTACCTCTAAGGTGAGATAACCTCCTCTCACAACAGGTGTACAGGTGTGTTGGAGTGTCAGTTTGTAGCTTTTTGAGCTATTTTGCTTCCATAACATCTCGTCCCACTCAGTGCATGCAGGTTTTATATGGTTCCTTCTATAGAAGACAGCATAATATATTCTCATTTGCATATTTAAACTTTAAATAAATTCAGTAATCAGCAGGGGAAGTTTTTAACCCTATTCACCTGTAGTGAACTTCACAATAAAACGAGTTTTATTCTCAAACTCTGAGCCAGAAACCTTCCACTTTTATTCCTCTCTGTAGGCCAACACAAACCCTCAGAAGGGTTTTGCAGGGGGTTTAAATGTGGCCATAAAATATACTTTGAGAAATGAAAATGTTTCCTCCCGTTCTTGTTGACACACTGAGACTCAAACATGTTTCTGTGTTTCACTGATGAATTTATGAAACAGAGGAAGAGTCTCTGAGGTCGCTGTGATCTGAAAACACTGGTTCCTGTTGTAGTTCGGGGCGGAGGATCAGCTGACTTTCACCACCATGTTAAACCGTCCTGTCTATCCCTCTGGTGGGGGGAGAGACGGGGGAGAGAGTGTGAGACAAGGCTGCTCCTGTGTTAACTTTACTGTTTTCCTATAAAAACCTCTTTTCCCCGGGATTGTTTTTAGCCCTCAGCGGGGTTATAAAAAGGCTATTGACTCCCTGTAGTAAAAACACTTTAAACTGTGGATAAACTGCTGTGTGAGGGGATGAGTGGGGGGTGGAGGTGGGGTGGGGGGGGCATTTATTTATGTCACAATAAAGCGAAAGAGACGACGGAGGGGTGGAGGGGAGTCAGACACCATGTGTTCATCACATGCTACATAAACTCTACAAAGAGCTTTTTCTGATGCTTCTTTACTAGTTTTTAAGGGTCAAAGTTAATGCCGGGGGGGGCAGTGGGTGGCTACTACATGAGGAAAATCCCTCTTTCATTACTTCTTCTTATGATTTTATTATTAAACTTTGTAACTCTTTATATAATATTTCTTATTATTTTTAAATTTCTATTATATGTTGTATTTTATTATATGTTGTATCTGATGCTGCCAGTGTGGGATCCATAAAGTCGATCTGATGTTCTGATGAGCTTGAGAAGACTTAGGCGATTTGATCAATGATGCATTATTTTATATATATCATTTCAACTTTTTAATCTATTTTTGACTCTTTATCATAATGTTTATCTCATAAATACCTTGCATCTCACAATTTGGACTTTTTAATAATAATTTTAACATTTTATCTCATATTTTTGACTCAACACGAACATGTTTTATTATCAAGGTTCAGTTTTCATCTTTTTATTTTACTGGTAGAAATGGGCTTCCATAGTCGACAGCTGATAACAGCTTTACATCATTTCAGTGTCACTGGACGTGTTTGAATGCAGAACAATGTCCACTGAACACACTGAACACACTTTCTGTTCGGAGGTAAAATACTAAACACCATCGATACCTTCAGTCTGCGTGATGGAAAAACACCAGCGGTCCCAGAGACAGCAACCAGGCAATCAGCTGTGAATTGAATCAGTGTGTGTACAGACGGGGTTCAGTAAACAGCACAGAGCAAACACACACACACACACACACACACACACACACACTGCTCAATATTTACAGCAGGAAACTCAGCACTCAGGTGTTTCTGCTGCAACATGCTTTTATTTTTATTATATATATACATATGCACAGAGGGAGAATACTTACAGCACAGTGATACCACAGAGTAGAAATACTCTGTTACAGTAGAAGTTATCTTTATTTTAACCTGAGCAACAGAAATAATCATCAAAATACAGTTCAAGTTGTTATTCTGCAGAATAATGTTATTGTATTTAAATCTATCATCTGTGAAGGAAACACAGATATTCTAGTTTACATTTAATGTCGCAACCTTGGTCGGACTCAGTGACACATTTTATAATTATTTTATATTATATTAAAAACTGTATGAACCCAAACATTGAACTCAGTAACAGTTCTGAGCAGATTATTTCCTGTTTATGGAACTTTTTATATAATTCTCTGTCTGTGTTATTATATTTTAACAATCATACAGACGTAACAGGATTCCTCTCTAAAACAGTCAGGGTTTTATTGTCTCTGACGGCCGTCATTCTATTAGAGGACATGTTGAAATGATGAAGATGATGATGATGAAGATGTCAGTGATCAGTTATAACAGACGCTGTAGCGCTGCGTGCTGATTGGCTGCAGAGTCTCTAATCAGAGTTCATTCTCTCAGAGCGGCTGCACTGGTTATACTGGGAGGACACACACTGCTACTACACACTGTTTTGTGTGTGTGTGTGTGTGTGTGTGTGTGTGTGTGTGTGTGTGTGTGTGTTACAGGAAGACAAACACTTTTTCTTGTTGATAATCTTTGTCTCCTCCTCTTCCTCCTCCTCCTCCTCTTCCTCAGGTGGAGGACGAAGCAGAACCTGGACTACTGTTTTCTGATGATGTACGCTCAGACTAAAGGAACATACTACGTCCAGGTAGGAAGGACTGTACGGATGTTTCACAATAAAAGCCTCCTTAAAGTCCTGCTGAGGTCTAATCAACTTTTATTCTTTAGAAAGAATATTATATTATATTATTTTACATATATGTACGGTTATTTTACGGTGAGCTGTGAATCAGATTTTTCATTATTTGAGTGCACTGTATGGATGTTTCACAATAAAAGCTTGTCCTGGACAAAACAGGAAGGAAACAAAACTTAAAAGACAGAAGTTTATGTTTTTAAAACTCAAAGATTTAAGTTTTAAGAATAAAAGTAAATTATTTCAATAAAATATTATTATTTATTATTATTATATTATTTATGAAAGACAAATATTAAATTCCTTTCTTTTCTGTTTTGTCTGAAACGTTTTATATCTCCGTGGTAACGAGGTCTCCGGTGTAAAAGACCTTGATGTAACTTAATTAAATATTACTGATGAAATCATTAAAAACACTGAACTACGTGTTTGTGGTGTGAACTCGTCACTGGACTGGATCTAATGAAGCTGACGGCCATTAAAGTAAAAAGTGTCTCTGATGTAACTCTGCTGCTGTGTGCAGCTGATGAAACTGTTGCATTGTGGGTAGACTGACGGGGACCTTAATGGAAGTGTCTCTGTGGCTTCATCACACAGTCTTTGTTCCCTTTAAAGAGGAAGAAATGCCAGATTCTGTCCTCCCGTCTTTAAAGTAGACCAGGACCCGGAGCGAAGGTTAATAAAGAAAGAAAAATCTCACGCTGACAGATTGTCTTCACCTCCGTACCCGAGAGGAAGAGAGAGAATATAACTCATACTGGAACCAGAAATACACGTTTCCTCTCGCCTGTAGTGCTGCTCATCCATCCACAGACGTCTGTGTGGAGCTCAAAGCCCCAAAAACTGCTCCTGACCCGGCTGCTCCAGATAATCCACAGACCTCGTTGTGAGCCGTTTCACGTAGGAACTAGTTTCTGTCGTATCACTGCGCTGAAGGAGGCCAGTGGCGGCGCAGGACTGACGCATGAATGGCGTCCTCGGATGAGACGTAGCGTCAGCTAGCTCACTGAGAGCTAACGTTCAGCTACGGTTGGCGGCTGTCGTTTGGTTTCTTTGAGTGTTTTTGGGGATTTACAGAAATATTAGTGTTGTGGTTTTTAAGGGAACATTTTTACTGTTTTATGTTCAACTGTAACGATGAATTCTAGAAATGATGTTTGAGAGACGGCAGGCATTAATCTTTTTGTCTTTAGCCTGACGTTAGTGAAGATTATCTTTGTGAAGAAAATGTATAAATATCATAAACCTTTGTTCCCCACAGAGATTATTGTCTGTAACAATCCAACGATGCTGGAGAGACTTTATGGGGGCCAGGATCTCCTTTCAGACCCTGGTTCTTCTGGTTGAAATGTAAATAAAGTTCCTGCAGTGGAATTGTGCTCAGTGAAAGAGAGGGAACAGAGAATAAAGGGAGGGAGAGATGAATGAGCATTTTTCACAGTCGGGACTTGAAATGAGTTCAGTCGAAAGTTGTGGATGTTGTTCTCCTCCCGGTGTGATCTGTGGCTTCCTCCTGGAACCAGCGGAGCTCCACCGGCTTATTTTCTGGCTATTTTCCAGCAATCTCCCCGCCATCATCTCTGCTGGCGGCGGCGATGACGGAGCCTCGGCTGCTCCCACACGAAGCGTTTTGACAGGAACACAGAGCCAGACTCTATGTTTTGACACCTAAACTGGCTCTGAACTCTTCCTCGGTGGTGTGTAGTGACGGCGGGGAGCGAGGTGGAGGAGGTAATTACTCCTTGTCGACTCCCCTGCGACAGAAGTGGAGGATGTAAATGTCTGTCAGGGAGCTGCAGAGCTTCTTCTGCAGACGGGAGATCAGGATGTTTTTACAGTAAAGATGGATTTAAACAAAAAAATCCTCATTTAATTAAATTATTGATTATTAACAAGTGGCTTGATTGATCTGTGTGAGAGTGTTGCAACAGTTTTCTGTCAGTCTGAGACACATTCAGCCATCAGGGTTGTTTGTTCATCTAAATCAATGTCAGTAACCTCAGTGACCTTTACTTTTACTCAGTTTACTCATTATTATTATTTCATTAGCACAATTATTCAGCACATATGCACTTATTTTAACTTACTTATTGTTATTTCTATTATTAAAATGTCTTTGATTAGCAACTTGATCGACCAGGAATCAATAAAGTGTTATTGATTCTGGTTTTTACATTGTGGTATTGATACTTTTAAATATTACAGTGAGTTTTTAACAGGTTATAAACAGTCTCAGTTTAATACTGATGCCTCTTTATGAGCTACATAAACATCAGAGAGAAGATATTTCTATATATTTATTATTAATGTGAGGGGATAGAAACACTACCGCCTCTGTCCACAGGGGCCGCCAGAATCAACAGACTGAAAGTCCTCGTTGCTGCTTTAAAATGGTTTCAAATGTAGGACTTTAACTTGTATCGAAGTATTTGAAATAAAGGATCTGACTCTCTGACTCTCTCTCTCTCTCTCCCACAGCTAGAGGATGACATTGTCGCTCGTCCGAACTACTTCACCACCATGAAGAACTTTGCGCTGCAGCAGCCGCTGGAGGAGTGGATGATCCTCGAGTTTTCTCAGCTCGGATTCATCGGTGAGTCGTTGGATCCCGATCCCCAATCCCAGTCCTCTGCTCTGACTCCCAGTCCTCTGCTCTGACTCCCAGTCCTCTGCTCTGAATCCCAGTCCTCTTCTCTGAATCCCAGTCCTCTTCTCTGAATCCCAGTCCTCTTCTCTGAATCCCAGGCAGTGTGTCGCTCCTGGCACATTTTTACTCTTTCACTCAATAAAAGAACTGCAATATATAAACGCCCTGCAGCTCTGTGGAAACAATAATGGCCAGAACAGTTTTAATGCCATATTTCATAAAAAAAAAAAGAAATAACCCAATTTGAATTTCTTTGTTGATTTATTTTACAAAAATAGAAAAATAATAGACAAATGTTAGAGATGAGGGAGGATCTGTATATACTCACATTCACTGCATGAATCCTCCTCTGTCTCGATACAGACATTTATTCAAGAACCGTCATCATATCTGTTTTCACTGTCCGACTATGATGAAAAAAATAATATAATAATTATTTATCTGATGATTTAGATACAACTAATAACACATCAACAGTTGGAGATACTATTAAACAGACATTAAAAACAAAAAACCCATAAAACAGCAAATAAAATAAAATAAATAATTAAAATAGGATTTAAAATAAAATAAATTACGTGGATACACAGGAAATATTGTGTAAATTCACATACACGACTGCTTATAAAGTGCATTTACTGTAATTAAGTGTCATTTTGGTGGGGTTTTTTTTAAATGAAAACAGGTTTGTGAGGATTTAACCAACATGTGAATCTATTCCTTTAAATTCTGATTGGATTTAGGAAGTTTGTATTTTATGTTTTTTATCGTTACCTCTGTCTCAGTCTGTCGGCGGGTTGTTGTGGTCGAAAGCTCTGAAAAGCGAGTAAATGGATTTAGGGATTTGGGATTCGTTCACTTGGTAGCACGCAGTGTCTCCGAAGGTCAAGAATGAACTTTAAAAAGAGTTTGTGGATCTGCGAGGTGGAGAGCGCTCTTCCATCTGACGGTTCAATTAAATCCAGCAGATTAATTTAAGCGTCAGCCTCCTTCTGATCTGCTCTCTAATTATTCTGTCGAGGCTAATCAATGACTTCTGTCTTCCTGGATCGGTCGATGCTGACATGTGGAACGTTACTCGCCTGGAACCGGCTGATCTGGAGTCAGGTTTTTTCCTCAGAAGTGTTTCCAGCTCAGACAGATGGAGGCCGGCAGGCGCCTCCAGAGCCAGGAATCAGAAAGGTCATTGGTCCAATCAACAGGACGGCGCTTGATTTCTGAACGGAAACAGCTGATATCTGATATTCAGAGAGGAAACTTAAGCTGCTAACACATATGTTTGATGTACAGTTAATAAACCTCCAGGAAAATATGAGTGGATTGACAGGAAATTAATCAGTTCCAGCTTCTATATGTGTTTATCTGCTGGTTTGTTCTGACAGTAAACTGAATCTCTTTTGGACGTTTGTTAAGACGAAATAAGACCAGAGGTCCAGAGGGTGGCAGAGACACATATATATATATATATGTATGTGGCTTCAAACTGGATACAAAGTCAATGTATGACAGCCTCTGACCATAACTACAATAAAATGACTAAAACTGATAAATTTAAGTCCAACGAAACAACAAAACACTGTAAAACAAATTAAAATAGAGACACTAAATGGTCCAAAGCACATACAAAACAAAACAAACTGTGTGTTATTGAGGGGGAGTCCTCTTCAGCCTCTCTCACACACATACACAAAATTACCCAGCATCATTTTCTTCCCATGAGGCTTTGCTGCTCCACTTCCCTCTAATAGGTCCCAGAGTGCTCAGCCCGTCATTACTGAGGACAGAAGAATCAAACACTCCTCAACTCATAGTCCCTCCGGAGGCTGAAACACAGCGACAGTCAGCGAGCAGCCAAAGCCTCAAACTGCTCAAACACCTCAAACACAGCAGCAGTGTCAGTAACATCGCTCTCCACCAGACTCCATAGAAAAAAACACTCATTTTACTGTGCAGATCATCGTAACTTAATAACATCATTCAAACTCACCAAAACTGTCTTTGTTAGTCTTTCTGACAATCACCAACTCTGGTTTGGTGGAAATAAATCCTTAATTAACAGAGTTTGATGTGAAAAGTGCTGCAGCGTAAGCTAACATTAATCCTTGGGGACAAAGTGTGTCCATTAACAGTAGTTATTGTTTGTTCCACTAACAATAGTTGTTGTTTGTTCCACTAACAGTAGTAGTTGTTTGTTCCATTAACAGTAGTTATTGTTTGTTCCACAGTAGTTGTTGTTTGTTCCACTAACAGTTGTTGTTGTTTGTTCCACTGACAGTAGTTGTTGTTTGTTCCACTAACAGTAGTCGATGTTTGTTCCACTGACAGTAGTTGTTGTTTGTTCCACTAACAGTAGTTATTGTTTGTTCCATTAACAGTAGTTGTTGTTTGTTCCACTGACAGTAGTTGTTGTTTGTTCCACTAACAGTAGTCGATGTTTGTTCCACTGACAGTAGTTGTTGTTTGTTCCACTAACAGTAGTTATTGTTTGTTCCATTAACAGTAGTTGTTGTTTGTTCCACTGACAGTAGTTGTTGTTTGTTCCACTAACAGTAGTTGTTGTTTGTTCCACCAACAGTAGTTGTTGTTTGTTCCATTAACAGTAGTTGTTGTTTGTTCCACTGACAGTAGTTGTTGTTTGTTCCGCTAACAGTAGTTGTTGTTTGTTCCACTAACAGTAGTTGTTGTTTGTTCCACTAACAATAGTTGTTGTTTGTTCCACTGACAGTAGTTGTTGTTTGTTCCACTAACAGTAGTTGTTGTTTGTTCCACTAACAGTAGTTGTTGTTTGTTCCATTAACAGTAGTTATTGTTTGTTCTATTAACAGTAGTTGTTGTTTGTTCCACTGACAGTAGTTGTTGTTTGTTCCACTAACAGTAGTCGATGTTTGTTCCACTGACAGTAGTTGTTGTTTGTTCCACTAACAGTAGTTATTGTTTGTTCCATTAACAGTAGTTGTTGTTTGTTCCACTGACAGTAGTTGTTGTTTGTTCCATTAACAGTAGTTGTTGTTTGTTCCACTAACAGTAGTTGTTGTTTGTTCCACTAACAGTAGTTGTTTGTTCCACTAACAGTAGTTGTTGTTTGTTCCACTAACAGTAGTTGTTGTTTGTTCCACTGACAGTAGTTGTTGTTTGTTCCATTAACAGTAGTTGTTGTTTGTTCCACTGGCTGTTGTTTGTTCCACTAACAGTAGTTGTTGTTTGTTCCACTAACAGTAGTTGTTGTTTGTTCCACTAACAGTAGTTGTTGTTTGTTCCACTGTCAGTAGTTGTTGTTTGTTCCACTAACAGTAGTTGTTGTTTGTTCCACTGGCTGTTGTTTGTTCCACTAACAGTAGTTGTTGTTTGTTTCACTAACAGTAGCTGTTGTTTGTTCCACTGGCTGTTGTTTGTTCCACTAACAGTAGTTGTTGTTTGTTTCACTAACAGTAGCTGTTGTTTGTTCCACTAACAGTAGTAGTTGTTTGTTCCACTAACAGTAGTTGTTTGTTCCACTAACAGTAGTTGTTGTTTGTTCCACTAACAGTAGTTGTTGTTTGTTCCACTGACAGTAGTTGTTGTTTGTTCCACTAACAGTAGTAGTTGTTTGTTCCACTAACAGTAGTTGTTTGTTCCACTAAAAGTAGTTGTTGTTTGTTCCACTAACAGTAGTTGTTGTTTGTTCCACTAACAGTAGTTGTTGTTTGTTCCACTGACAGTAGTTGTTGTTTGTTCCACTGACAGTAGTTGTTGTTTGTTCCACTAACAGTAGTTGTTGTTTGTTCCATTAACAGTATGTTTGTTCCACTAACAATAGTTGTTGTTTGTTCCACTAACAGTAGTTGTTGTTTGTTTCACTAACAGTAGTTGTTGTTTGTTCCACTGACAGTAGTTGTTGTTTGTTCCACTAACAGTAGTTGTTGTTTGTTCCACAGTAGTTGTTGTTTGTTCCACTAACAATAGTTGTTGTTTGTTCCATTAACAGTAGTTGTTGTTTGTTCCACTGACAGTAGTTGTTGTTTGTTCCACTAACAGTAGTTGTTGTTTGTTCCACTAACAATAGTTGTTGTTTGTTCCACTGACAGTAGTTGTTGTTTGTTCCATTAACAGTAGTTGTTGTTTGTTCCACTGACAGTAGTTGTTGTTTGTTCCACTAACAGTAGTTGTTGTTTGTTCCACTAACAATAGTTGTTGTTTGTTCCACTGACCGTAGTTGTTGTTTGTTCCACTAACAGTAGTTGTTGTTTGTTCCACTAACAGTAGTTGTTTGTGCCACTGACAGACTCAGGTTGTTATTGTCAGTGTCTGACAGCATTATGGAAAGGATCCCTACAGAGATAGACCTTTAGTTTGGTCGAGACAGACGACCACCCACCTAGAGCCGGAGGATCTGTCCTAGGTTTCTGCCTTTTAACAGGCAGTGTTTCCTTGCCCTTGTCGCCAAGTGCTTGCTCATGGTGGTACTGTTGGGTCTCTGTAATTAATGTTTTAAAGAGTTCGGTCTATACCTACTTTATTTGAAAAGTGTCTCAGATAACTTCTGTTATGAATTGGCGCTATACAAATAAAATTGAATTAGTTTAACCACAAACAGCTGTAATATCACTATCACTCTCCACCAGACTCCAGAGACAGAAACACTCATTTTACCTTCAGATCATCGTAACTTCATTCAAAGTGGACAGAAACAGAATAAACAGAACTGTCTTGGTGAGTGTTTCCAACAATCACCAACTCTGAGACTACCCATTAAGATCTTTTACAAGAGAGATGTGAACGAGGTTGCAGTCATACAAAATTCACAATATAACAGAAAATGAACGATACAAACACAATGGTCACCAACCACATTCCTCTGAATAAATTAATGTTGTAATTATGCATTAAAACGTAACCTACAGATTAAAAATCGTTAACTTTTAGTTCAGTCTTTTCACAATTTACTAAATCTGTTAAAAGTTATCAGGTCAAATAAAAGAGTCAAATGAAGTTAATTTCTTCAGAGTGTGGAGCAGCGGTTAATTGACTCGTACAGTAAACAGCTTTAATCTCATTATAAAACATGAGCAGTTAATTGTTTGGCAGTAACGAGGTAGAAGCTTTCGCTGACTGTCTGCGCTCGAGGCGCCGCTTCCTCCATCACAAGAAATTAAACATTTTAAGTGTGAATTATTGATTCGACTAACTGCAGCAGAGAAAACAATCAATTATGTCATTATGTGTGTTATAACCCCCTCAGGGCACACACACACACACACACACACACACACACACACACACACTTTGATTATTGGATAATTGTGAGCGGAGCAGAAAAATAAACTCTTATTTCTGTTCGTCACGGCGTTAAAGAGAGAAATCCTCAGATGTGAGTCTCCTGTGTGTGGAGCTGATGAAACTGTTGCATTGTGGGTATTCTGACAGTGAAGTTAATGGAGGAGTGTGTGTACCGTCAACACACACTCTTTGTTCTCCTTAAAGACTAAAACTGTGTCAGACAGCAGACGGTGATGGAGAGTCCAACATCATCCAGCTCCGCTTCAGAGCGCTCTGAGAGCTATTACAGTATAATAACAACAACAACAACAACAACAACAATAATAATGATAGTGATAATAACAATAATAACAATAACATTAACAATAATAACAATAAATAACTAAGACTGCAGTACCGTCTCAAGTGAAGTACCCGTATTATCACCAGAATTAAATACAATATGATTGAGTAATGATGACTTAGTGTTTGTGTGAATTAATATATTATTTATAGGACATAAACAATATAAGATATTAACATAATACAGTATAATGATATAGTGTAAATTATATATAATAAATTATACAATATATAGACGGCAGCTTTAAAAAGTTCAAAATAAAACAGAAAATGATCCTGAAAGATAAAATGTTCCGGATGGATTCAAAGAACCAAACAGGATTAAAAACAACAGAATTCTTAATTCTTTAATTTTCTGGTTGCTGTGACCTTTGACCTCCCGACATTTCCTCCGATGTTGCTAAAGGCAGAAAGTGAAGCTGCTCAGAAATTACACACATCGACTGAAACAAGATTTCACAGCAGATATTTTACCTGTACTTTACTGGTCTGATATTAATCTGTATTACTAATAGTTAATATTAGAGCTACAGTTAGCTTAGCTACAGTTAGCTTAGCTACAGTTAGCTAGCTGGATGCCTCACATAACTGTTGGCTAGTAGAAAGCTATCGTTAGCTTTGTACCGCTTGATGATTTATTGTTGGCTAAAATCAACACAGAATACATAAGCTAACATTAGCATTAGCAACATATCCATGGAGCTACAGAAGTTAATAAGAATAAGACGACTCAGCCTTCTTCCAGACAGACGCCATCTTTGAGCATTGGAATATTATTTCGAGACACTTCAAGAAGCTTCAGTGGCTTCCTTCGGACATTCACAGTAATGAATGTCTCCTCTCTGAGTGTTTGAAGAAGTGAGGACGAGACAAAATGTCCTCTCAAAGATCTAATAGGTCCTCACACAGATAGAAACACGAGAGCGCACTCACACTCCCTCTTCATCTCATCTTCTCTTTCCACATTCGTCAGAGCTGCCAGACATCTTGTCTGTTTTAACTTGGTTATGTACCTCTCTTCTCCTTCCTCCTCCTCCTCCTCCTCCTCCTCTATTCTCCTCCAACTCCTTCCTCCTCCTCCTCCTCCTCCTCCTCCTCCTCCTCCTCCTCCTTTCTCCTCCAACTCCTTCCTCCTCCTCCTCCTCCTCCTTTCTCCTCCAACTCCTTCCTCCTCTCTCCTCCTCCTCTCCTTTTCTTTGTGTTGCTGTCGAAGATACTTTTTGAAAAAGGCAAAACACATCTGAGATTTCAGCTCATATTTTCACACTAAACTGTCATTAAACTGTAACTAACAGCGCCTCCAGTGGCCGTTCAGGACTCTGTGTTGGACTCTGTGTTGTGGACTCTGTGTTGGACTCTGTGTGGTGGACTCTGTGTTGGACTCTGTGTTGTGGACTCTGTGTTGTGGACTCTGTGTTGGACTCTGTGTGGTGGACTCTGTGTTGTGGACTCTGTGTTGGACTCTGTGTTGGACTCTGTGTTGGACTCTGTGTTGTGGACTCTGTGTTGTGGACTCTGTGTTGGACTCTGTGTTGTGGACTCTGTGTTGGACTCTGTGTTGGACTCTGTGTTGTGGACTCTGTGTTGTGGACTCTGTGTTGGACTCTGTGTTGGACTCTGTGTTGTGGACTCTGTGTTGGACTCTGTGTTGGACTCTGTGTTGTGGACTCTGTGTTGTGGACTCTGTGTTGGACTCTGTGTTGTGGACTCTGTGTTGGACTCTGTGTTGGACTCTGTGTTGTGGACTCTGTGTTGTGGACTCTGTGTTGGACTCTGTGTTGTGGACTCTGTGTTGGACTCTGTGTTGGACTCTGTGTTGTGGACTCTGTGTTGTGGACTCTGTGTTGGACTCTGTGTTGGACTCTGTGTTGTGGACTCTGTGTTGTGGACTCTGTGTTGGACTCTGTGTTGGACTCTGTGTTGTGGACTCTGTGTTGTGGCCTCTGTGTTGGACTCTGTGTTGGACTCTGTGTTGGACTCTGTGTTGTGGACTCTGTGTTGGACTCTGTGTTTGACTCTGTGTTGGACTCTGTGTTGTGGACACTGTGTTGGACTCTGTGTTGGACTCTGTGTTGTGGACTCTGTGTTGGACTCTGTGTTGCCCACTGTTGGCATTCGGGAACATAAAGGTCACAACCTTTGACCCTCATCCTACATAGAGACACATAGAGATCAGTCCACAGGCAGCAGAGGGACAAAGCTACTGTTCACTTATTGACAATAAAAAATTATTAATACATAAAAATAAAAGACTTCAGAACCTTAACAGATCTGTAATCTGTCCCGGGCTGCAGCTCAGTGTGAACTAATACTGTGTCACTGGTTTGTTTGTTTTCTGAATGAATCTGTTACAATATTCACTTGTTGTTTTTCTTGCAAACATTTTGGCAGCACGAAGCCTCTCGCTCTGCCAGCCGGCGCTGTTTGAAATTGGATGGAGAGATGATAGAGAGAGGTAGAGAAACCGGCAGAGAGAGAGAGAGGAGGTGAATACAGGCTGAGAACAGAGCGATGGAGCCCAGCAGGAGTCTCCAAGCTGGATGTTGTGTTTCTGTCGTCTTTTCTCCGTCTCTACTGTCTGAGCATCGTCCCTCCCTCCTCTTCCTCCTCCCAGTCCTCCCTCTGGTCCTCGGTTTTGACCTTACGAATCCTCTCCGACCCCGAGTCGCCTGCGTGCGGCGGCTGCTTTTATGAATTCATCAGGGTGCAGCTGACTCACTGAATTAAATCAGACGGAGGAGAGAGCTGCAGCGCTGCGGGGTCGCTCTCTAATTCAACTCTTCAGATCCCGGTTTTGCATTTGCTAAGTTTAGCTTCAGTCCGGCCTCGTTTACGTCTGCGGGGTTTGTTTTTTTTACTCCGTTGCCTCGTTGCACATCCGGCCCTTCGGAGGCTGAAATGTCCAAACGGATCAGGGCGGACCAGAAGCAGGCAGGAGCAGGACCGAGCTCTCCGCTGGCCTTTCTGCTCGCCCTCGTCATTGTTTGAGTCCTGCGAGACGGTCTGTTCGGTTCACTTTATGACCTTTAATTTCCAGAGAGCGTTCCCTCGGCTCATCCCGACTCACACAGAAACAATCAGACTGGAAGCTGAAGACAATAAAGATCTGACGTCAGGAGATCATTCAACACTTCCTGCAATAAAAGTCTGTTTGTGTTCTCACGTTCAGAAGCATCAGAACAAAAGAGCAGAAATGATCAAAGTCGAAGGTACAAGAACATAAAAAGTGATAGAGAAACGACTACAACAAGCCCCGCCCCTCTTTGCTCTGTGCTCCAATCACAGTTGAGCAACCCTCAGTCAACTTCCTCCTTTCCCGTACTTAGATATGCTATGCTAGGCTAATCTATGTTAGAAAGACAATGTGTTATTTTGATAAAAGAGACATTTACACTGTAACTCAAACGGTTTAGTGAAGCCCATCTTAAACCGTTTAAGTTTATTAACTAAAATTTAAGCATGAAAGATATTTGAGTATTTATTGTTGAGGTAACTTGGGTAAATTAAGATAATTGTACTGATTCCATTCAGTTTATTGAATTTAAAACTAATAAGTTTATTACACTCATATGCAACATTTCTACAAACGTAACGCGAACGAGCTAAAACCATAAATATTAAAAACTGCTGCACTGAACTTATTGTGTATTTTGAAGTGTTGCCAGATTGTCGTCAATAATTAATAACGGAGAGCGAAGAACAATCTGCTGCTGTCCCCAGAATAAAAGACTACATTTAAGTGAAAGAACCTTTTCATTACATTATCAGTCTACATCAATTAGTAGATTAAAACTTGTTTTAACTCTGAATCCTTCAAAATATTCTGATTAGGTCACTTATATTATGTATGTATGTATGTATGTATGTATTTATGTATGTAAGCTTTAATTTCTGCTTTTAGTTATTAAAAAATGTCTGTTGGTTTTGTAAAATATGTGAGAGTATTATTGAAGTGTTTTCACTGATGAGCATATTAGAAACAACTTATTGTTGATGACAAATAATACATCATAAATCTTTAATTTCAACAGATTTGAAAGAAAGAGTCTGATAAATGGTTTATGTTTTCAGTGTGAATTGATGGTTTGATCCACCCACACAGAACAGGCAGGCAATAAAGTCCAATTAGATTAAAGTGAATGCTCTTGTTGTCTGACAGGTAAGATGTTCAAGTCTTTGGACCTGTCGCTTATCGTAGAGTTCATGCTGATGTTCTACAAAGACAAACCCATCGACTGGCTGCTGGACCACATCATGTGGGTCAAAGTGTGCAACCCGGAGAAGGATGCAGTGAGTATCTCACACTGAGTTCATATAAATAAGTCTTTATGTTCACTGACGGACTCTTTTTTTACATTTGTAAGATCTGACTGCAGATCAGCAGCTGTGCAGTTTTATACTGATACAAACTGTATTTGGACAGTTTACCAATGCTTATACACTGATAAACAACATTTATTCAACATTTTTGTTGTGAAAACTTCCATAATAATACAAGATATCTGGCGGTTAACAAAAAAATCCATGTAAAATTACAAAACAAATACTTTCATTACTGTTAATTGTCACTAATTTTACATAATTTTAGAAATGTATTGGCAGTATTAAGCTTGAATTTAACAGTTTATTATATTAAATAAACAGAAAATATCTGTGAAAAAATTGTAGATTAGTTAAAGATTGTTCCTGTTATTTTACATTAGACATGTTCATTTTTAGATTCCTTCTATTTAAAAAATACGAAAAAATCGGTGAAATAAACAGTAAAAACTGTAAAAATACAGATTATTTTTCACAGTGTGGTAGAAAGGTCATATTGCGATTATTTTGACAGATATTGCAATATGATTCACGGTTTGTGGGAATGATCATTTTTTCATCACAATTTTCTTTTTTTACTGAAAAACACTGAAATCATAATGATGTAACATCTGTTGGCGTTTAAAGTATATGTAGTGTATGTAGGCCAGTGCGTCTCTTCAGAGCTGCTTTATTATAGTGCTGCTGTCACACAGTTTACGTTTATGTTACCGTTTGGATATCACACTCGGCCATAATGCGATTTCAGCTGCGCAGCCTGAAATGTTTCTAATGAAGCTGTTTGTGTCTCCATCAGAAACACTGCGACAGGCAGAAAGCCAACCTGAGGATTCGCTTCAAACCGTCTCTCTTCCAGCATGTGGGCACCCACTCCTCTCTGGCTGGAAAAATACAGAAACTCAAGGTAAAGAATGAGTGTGTGTTCAAATAACAGCTTATAATTATATCCTGTAGTCAGTTTTCATGTTTAATTTAAAGGCACATTACCATTTAACATGAGACCTTGTAGATAAAAGTATTATATTTATTTATTTAGTATTTTCAGTGGATCACATCAGATACATGAAGTGAACTATAACAAACCCAGAAAGGGTAAAACCTTTCCATCCAAACTATATTTTAAAGTCCAGGTGAAAGGAAGGATGACATTTTAACCCTTTAGGATCACATCCTCAGTTATATTGTTCCTCTATTTAACAATGTCTGGTCTATCGTAGCCCAACCACAAAGAAGCATATGAGTTGTCCTCCGTCGACAAAATTAAATGAGCACACACTGCAAGGTTAGGTCGGTTGTCGACGTTACGTTCAGTTAAATATCTTTTGAAAAAACATTACTATATGTATATATATATATATATATATAGACAGTAGCACCCCCAGGAAACAGTGGATACCGTTAAGATCATGCAAGTTGTGTTAGTAGTGTTTTAACACTGTTAATGTTAGTAAAAGATTGAAGTTACAGTTAAAAAGGCATAATCATTCTTTCTATATCTATTGCCAGATGAAAATACCATATGAATGCTATAATGGTGGTTTTCTGTGCAGTTTACAGTCTGTAATTCTGTAAAAACAGTAAAAAGAAAAAAAACAGTCAAACCATGACTAAACTAAACTAATGAGGTGAAATACACTTTGTGTAACAGTAAATAACTTTCATATCTCATTCAAAATCTCTCAATATATGGCAATACAGTATTTCTTTATATCACAGACTGTAAATTGCACATAAAACCGCTGTCTCTTTCTCTTAAAATCACCAGTACTAATATCCTTTTAGCTTAATAGTACCGTATTAATTACAGTAAAGTTCTGGCAACCGTAGCTGCTAGCACTGAATGTTGGTACTGGATGCTGATCCGGGCTGCAGAATCGTCCGATGTTTTTTCTCCAGTGAGCTGCAGACTGGATGTGCTGGTCAGCTGTCGGTATAAAAGTTCAGTGAGTTTGAAACAGTGGCAGTTCAGTCTGGAGGGATGAAGATTGAAAACCTCTGCAGTCGTCGGACCCGAGCCGCAGTATCTCACAGAGGTGGCAGCTTCGGTTCATGCCAGCAGCTCGCAGCCGAACGCCTCGGCTTGCCTCTGATTACTGTGTTGAGAGCGATGGATATTAGCCCCGCTGACTGGTGCTGCAATCTCGTCCGATCAATTGGATATTGATCCGACCGTCCCGGGCCAGCGCCTCCTCGATGTGGGGATTGAACCGCAGGGGCCGGCCCGCATGCGAGCCTGTGGATGAGGGCTAAACATAGCTATTACCCTCCAGCCTGAAACTGAAACATCACAGTGGTTTAGTAAGAAAATCAGCCCTGAGTTATAAAAATCAAAGTTATATTAAAAGAATCAGTGCAAGTGGGCTTTAGTCGACTGAGATTCTTGTAATAAGAGGGAGTTAAGTCAAGACATTTGTTCAAATGTGAGAAAAAATCGCCTGAGAATTTAAAAAAGAAATCATGTGTCACTGGTTTCCAACATTTTCGGCTTGTGACCCTTTCATGAAAATCAATTTCTGCTGATGACCCCTGGCCCGCCTTTTACATCTTTCTATGAGCTGTCAGCAATTCAGACAAACAGTTTCTCTCTCAGATTGTTCTCCAGAAGTCAGACTGTATTTTACAAAAAGAAAAGATTTAAAGAGATGAATCAACATTTTGTGGCTGTAACTCTTGGCGACAAAGCAAATGTGTGTATTTTCTAAATGTCAAACTGTTCATTTAAAAAAAGATATGAAAGGATTTTCTATAGCAAACATTTCTCTTATTTTCTCTCCATCTTGTTAATCTTCCAGTGAATCAGATTTATCTGGTGACTCTTTGGTGGATTCAGTGAAGATGTATCTTTATTGAAGACAGGGTCTTCAACATCCCTTATTTCTGGTAGCTCATATACCTGCATATTGTTTCTCTTTGGACAGAAATCTCTCAAATATTTATACTATTATACTTATATATTATACTATATACTTATTAATAGATTGTAACAAGAGGTCAGAATCTTTTTATGTAACTTCATAAATTCTGACCAAAATAATTTGAACCTAAAAATATTCATTCAATTATTAATTTTAAAAGAAGTTAAGAGGGCAGTAGTCAGAAAATCTTAAACATAAGTCATTTGTGTTAATTATAAATTAAGAATTATGTATACGTATGTTGTAACATATAACTAGTAACGTGTGTAACAAACAACTGACCTTTTAATGACAGTTTAGCCTCTAGGACAATGTCTTAGATATCTGGATATCTGGGCCAAGACTTCCTCTTCCATTTGTCATTGTTTACAGTCCAATTAGGAACTTGTTTGGTGACAACTTGGTGTTTTAGGTCCAGACAATATTTCAGCCAATCTCTATAAATAGATATCTGGATATAAATGCAGATAAATTGTTAAAAAGTTAATAAATAAGAATTGCCGTCAGACAATAACCGATGGGATCTGAAATAGCGTTTTGCCTCTTCAGTCTCGACATGGACTGTTTGCAACCAAAGTCCACTCAAACATGATTGTCAATAGTACTCAGACTACAAATAGACTGGAGACAGAAACCAGAACCAGCTTTTACAAATTTAATCAAAATGATTCCCATAACCAAACTAAACAACGAGAACTAGAAAGTTAAATTAAATGTTTCATTCAAGGATTAAAACTATTGCAGTCAGGCCGATATTCAGGCGATCAAACTTGGTATATTTTAGGTTTGGAGGTTGGTAGTTGGTCCTCTGGGTTGCTGTTCTTTTATGAATATCTCAAATACAAAGAAAAGTCTCAAAGTGGATGAAAGCAATAATATAAAAATGATAAACTTTACTAACATAGCACAAACAGAACAGACAGAACAGTTTGCTAGAATTAATAAATGGCTTTTTGAAAAGATATCACTGATTCAACAAGCCTCAGATCCTCGGGCAGGGAGTTTCCAGAGCTGCAGCCAAGTCAACTTTAGTCTTAAGCTGGGACTCAAGAACAGCCAGCAAAGCCCTGCCTGAGGGTCTTAGGCTCTGGCTCTAAGGGGAGCAGAAATGTATCTGGGAGCTAAACCATGAAGTGCTTTAAAGCTAATCAGTAAAATCTTAGAATCAATTCTAAACCTGACTGGTAACCAGTGAAGAGAGGCTAGAACATGGTTGATATGAAGTTTTCTTATTGCATTCATTAAAAGCCGAGCAGCTGCGTAAAATAGCACTAACAGTGATGACATGCCTCTGTTGCTTGCTAGTATGTTTAAAGTGTTTCTGCACTGAACTGAAACTGGATTAGTCATCAAGGACAGCTAGTAAAGCTGGCAATGATACCAGTCTGTGTAAAAGCCTGTTGGCAGTCTACAATGACTAACGGTTCACATTATTTTCCGGTCAGTGCACAGTGGTGTCATCTTATTTCTGTGGACTCTCCAGAGATACAGAGAGGAAACACAAACACACAGTTGAACATAACTGCCTGATATCTAAATTCACTTCTCTTAATTAGAAATATGGTACAACTGCATAAATAAACATTTTAACTCAACAAACTCAATGGTTTGTTCCAGGATAAGGACTTTGGGAAACAGACCCTCCATAAGGGTCACGCCAACCCGCTGGCGGAGGTGACGACCAGCCTGAAGACCTACCAGCACTTCACCCTGGAGAAAGCCTACCTGGGGGAGGACTTCTTCTGGGCCTTCACCCCAGTGGCCGGTGACTTCATACGGATACGATTCTTCACACCCGTCCGCATCGAGAGGTTGGTACCAGGGAGTTACAGGGTATAATGTCTAAGGGTGTGAGGGGTACCAGATGCTACCTTACATGGTCTTGTGGGTACTGCAGATTACAAGAGGTTAGAGGATATGAGGGTTTTCAGAGGATACGATACAGGGGTACTAAGGGGTTGCATGATATGAGGGGTTTCAAGAGATGCCAGAACATTACAGGGCGCAAGAGGGAGGTAGTAATTCTTGGGTCTCTGGGTGCCAAAAGCCATTAGGAGTCAATGGGTCAGAAGGTTTATCAGAGGCTACTATAAGAAATGATGGGTACCTGAAGATATCAGAGCATTATGGGTACTGGAGGGTACTTGGAGGTCACATAGTCAGAGTTACAGGTCTAAGGTTACATCTAAGGGTATGTGGGTTACCAGGGCCATACAGGGTACTATAGTGGTGCAAGGGGTCTAAGAGGTATGAGGGATTACAGTCTCAGGGATATCAGAGGGTACTAAAGGTTACCTACATGTGCAAGAGGTGTGAGGGGTACTAGACAATACCACAGTATTGGAGTGTACTAGGGGCCAGAAGATAACAGAGCAATAAAGGGTACTAGAGGGCATTTGGGGGTCGCAGGGTATCAAGGGCACAAAAGTTATGTACAGTCTCAGTCCTTCTAGAATGTACAAAAGAGGATACCAAGGTATAACAAGGTACTCCAGGGTACTTTGGGAGTCATACTGTTTCAGGGACACTATAAGGAAAGGAACAAGGTCTCTGGGATACCAGAATTGCCTGGAGGTTGCAGGGTGTTGGGGGTACCGTAGGATTCCAGGGCATTACCAGAGGTTACTCGTGGATTATATGGTGTTAGGGGTACCAAAGGTTTCTAGAAGTTATAAGGCCTCAGAGGTACCAGATGGCTCTATGTGTTATAAGATCTTCCCCAAGGGTACCATAGGTTATAGACTATAAAGGCCTGAATATACAGGAAGACATGCACTTGTACCATTGTGGCACAACAAATTGGATATATGCAGATGTTGGCAGCAGCCTACGCGTATACCCTATAATGACAAAATTTACGTTAACCTTATGTACTCATGGATTGGATGATTCTGGCTTAAGGGTTACTAGGACTATGAGGATGTTACAGGATGCTAGGGGGTTTTACAGGGTTACAATGTCTCCGGGGTGCCAGATTATACAAGGAGTTACATGGTCTCAGAAGAAACAGGGGGTACAGGAGATTACAGGGTGTAAGGGGTACCAGTAAGTACCAGGGAGTTGCAGAGTACTAGAGGATACGAAGAGTTACATGGTCTTAAGGGTACCAATGAGTACAGAAGGTTACAGGTTACAGAGTATGTTACCTTAAATCAGGCATCACAGAGCAGAGCTCCATACAAAGGAACCAGCATTACGAAGTCTTCAATATATATTGAACCGACTCTTGTCCGTCTGTCTTTATCTTTCAGGTATTTCTTTCGGAGCGGAAACATTGAACATCCAGGAGACAAACTTTTCAACACATCAGTGGAGGTTCTGCCATTTGATGTGAGTCTTGAAATCCAATTCAGTCCAGTTACTGAACCAATAATCGCAAAACTTGGTCCATCAAGGTGATTTTGTCCGTTATTTCTGTTAGTAATAAAAACGTACTCTCTCAGTTAAAAGCTGATATCTGGGAACACAGTGACATCTCTAAAAAAGAAATCTGATGGCTCAAGAAACTTGAGTGATCAGTCAATCAGAAAGATTGGAAACACTGGTGGCGATCGCCCCCATGGTGCCTCCATGTTTGAAAAAACGCTGCAAAAGTGCCCTCTTGAACGCCCCTATGGTAGATAAAACAAGATAAAGTGCCTTCTCTAGGGTGCCTTTCCAGTGAGCAAAACATGGTAAAGTGCCCTCCTCAAACAGCCTCAGTCCGCCACTGGTCAGACTTATCTATAATAAAGAGAAAACAAAAGCAACCACTACATTTTTCCCCAAACAGTTGTAAACATCCATCACAGTTTACCACTCACTCAGTTACCACTTAACTTTGACCCGCCCTACTTAATGCAGCAGCACCTGCACAGTTTTCCTGTGCAATGAGGGACTTTTAGAGACATTTCAGGTACGTTCACTTTGAGTTTGACCTTTGAATAAAGTGGATTATGTAATCTAAAAGAATTGTGGCTTCTTTCCAACCTCTGACTGATGGACCGCCAATGTTTTCTGCCTTGTAGGACTTCTTTTTAGTCATGTCACCATGTTCCCAGATCTCAGACGGGTAGTACAATGTTATTATTACTGATAGAAACCAAAACAAAGACCCAAGTTGATATAAACCAAAAACCTTTTGAAATGAATTAATTGAACAAGATATTAGAGATGTGATGAGTTTGTATCAAATGACCTTATCTTACTACTTTACCATCAACGCCTTATATGACTACAAACAGGCTCAGTTTTTGGTCCCTGAAATTTGAGGCAAGGTGATGGATCACTGCGTCTTCCTCCTACTTCGTCGACTGTTAAACAAAGGCTGATTAAGATAAAGTGTCACTGCGAGACAGAGTGAGATATACTGAGAGGAAGAGGAGCTCCGACTGAGATCAACCTCAGTGGAGGAGAGTTGGAGGAATAAAAAGAGATTTTTAAAAATCTACCGACACTTAGAGCAAGCTGAGTACACAGAGGGATTGAGAGATGGCTGAGAAGGTGGAGGCGGTTGCCGGGGTAACACTGACCAGGAGAGAGGAGGAGAGGGAGATGATATCAAGGGACTGATGGGAAAGGAGGATGTGGAAAATTAGGAATATCAACAGGAGGAACAACAAAATCAAAGGCTGAAACAAACTAGAAGGGACAACTGTAATAAGATGTCAGATCTCATTTTTCATCAAATCAGGTATCAAGGTTTTAGTATTCTACAACTTACCAAGCTGTGACACTATTAGTCATTTTCTTTCTGAGGATTGAATTTCAGTCTCTCCTTCCTCTTAAAAAACCAGCAGGAGAGGGGCACCAATACAAAAACCTGGAGTTTGATTTCTGGTTGTGTGTCTCTTAAAGTAAGTGTAAGAACGGACAAACCAAATTCTGCCTCTACATACACATACAGCCACCGTAGTTTATCCTACACGCTTGGAAGTGAGCTGTATTCAGTTTGGTTGCAATTTGCAACCGATTGTACGAAAGAGACCTTGGAAAATCAACCCCAGAATAACACAACAGTTGACTTTGCCCGGGGTCCTCGAGTGGGTATCCAGAAAAATATTTTAATTATTATTTTTCTCAGTGGTAAGTGAATGTTTGTGTGTTTTCCAGAATATTCAGGCAGACAAAGAGGCCTTGACAGAAGGGAGGGAGAAAACGCCAAAGTACCATCGGACAGAGGATGGATTCATCAGAATAGGTGAGACCAGTGCAGAGTAACGCGTTACTGTAACTCCACTGCTTTAGGGCGTAACTAGTAACACAACTAATTACGTTTTCAAATTAAATAACGAATTTACAATTACCATTATTAGTGGACAACTGCAGAAGACGGCAGCAAACGCAGCACGTCTTGTGGTGGCCCAGACATTTCAGTCCGTCCTTCAAATACTTACTGATTACCTCACGACTGCAGCAAAGTTGATGTTTACATCTTCTACTGAATCCTCCTGTCTACTAACCAAGACATTAACTGTACCTTACAGGTAGGAACGATCTTCATCTGGTGGTCAGGAGTACTAATACATCCATACATTTGTCCCACAGCAGCACTATAATAATATAACAGGTTTAAGAGTAACACAAACGTTACTTTCTCTATTAACTACTTACTTTCATATGCAGTCATTTGTTAAGTTTACTTTTGAAGAGAAGTAACTAGTAACTAATTTGCAGTAACCGGAGGATGAATCCTCACATCAGCTGCTGTCCATAAGCTAAACAAACTGCTCAGTGACTATCGGTCTGTCTCAGAATAATATGGTAGAAACGTTTAGTTTTAGTTTTTTACTGGAAGACAAATTTAACTTATTCATTTAGACATGGGCGCAGTGAAACACCATGTGGTATTTCTGTATGAGACTTCAGAGACAATAATTGATAATATTGAATCAGCTCCCTGCGTGGGGCCGAGCCAGTAGGAATGAGGATTCAAAAAGCTGTTTTTATTCAGTCAAAACTGAAAGAAACAGGTTAGAAAATATGCAACTAAACTGACTGAAGATAAAACTAAACACAAAGGGGTCATGTGATCAGACCATTTTGAAACCAACACTACCAAATTATCTACCAATAAAACAAAGTATGACACACATTTTACAGAATTTAACCAAACAAACAACTATTATTCTAAAGAAATGAAATGTTCTTTCTTTCAATCAGCTGTTTGGCTGCAGGTGTCCACCACTCGCTGTGCCAATCAATAATGTTCAGACAGTTTGATGTAACAAGCTTAATGAGCTGAGCGTCAACAGAGAGCAGAGTTATTCAGGACAACATTCCTCTGCTTTTGTTTTTCTGCCCTAATGAGGACAAACACACGTACACACATTTGAACTTCTATTCATTGACGTAAAACATTCTCAAGCCTCAAAACCGAGTCTGTGACAAATGGGGGCTCGTCCAGGACGTAAACCTGTTCAGCCCAGCCGTAGGGAGACCAATTTGAAAGTTATATGAGGTGGTGAAGCAGCGCGAGATCATGGGAGTTGTTGTCTTCACCACTATTGGCGTCATTGCAGTCAGCTTTAGGATTCCTTCAGTGTTCATGGTTCAGGAGGTTTCTACCGGGAGCCCAATGATCCACAGAGGTCTCCTCCTCTCCAAAACAAACAGACCCGCTGATTAAAACCACGAAAAACACTGAATAAAGCAGTTCCACCTTAAAAATTACTGCTTCTCCCACGCTGTTGGACAGACAAAGGACGTCCTGGAGGGGCTGCGAGCCGAGCTAATGCTACTATAGCTCAGCTTGTTTCTCTGATAACCTTAAGAAATCTAGAGTTAAAAAGCACCAAGATCTAAACAGTGTATAGGAAACAGTCAACGTATGATAGCTTCTGATTATAAATGATTGATTTAATCAACTACGTATAGAACATAGCTCTAGAGTTCAATAAGTAAATTCATTATAGCTTCAACATTTAGCATTTTCAGTAAGGTTTTGGGGAATATCTGGGGAGAAACTCTTTGAAGAAGTAGCTGCACCAAAACCTTCCAAAAATGTCTTCACTCTTCAGATCTAACACTTCAGTTCCTTATAAAGAGAGAGGAACAGCACACACACACATACACACTGAAGGCAGCTGTGTTTTGTGGGACATTTACAAGTTTGGCCGCTCACTTAAAGTTCACTGTTTTGGAAAAATTCACATTTAATTTTATGACAGTTACATAAGCCGTAAAAACAGTAGTACATACAGCAGCAGTGATCACATTACTGCTGTTTGCAGCAGTATAACTGATTACTGACAGTTACCTGGTTGATTAAATACATAAAACACAGCTACTGAAACTGTTATGAAAAATAATTTATTAGGAAATAAAATGTAAAATAAATGAAGAAATAAGCAATTGAATACAAAAACAAAGCAAATTGTAAATAAATACACAACAATCAAACAAAAAAAGGACTAATGAATGAATTATCATTAATTATTATTACTGATTATGTGCACTGAAATCTGATTACATGTAAATGCAGCCTAATGAAATCTGTGATATTAACAATAAAATATATTAAGTTTTTTTTTTTTATGTTAATCTGAAAACATGATTAATTTATGTAATCTCAGCCATTAGGTAACATATGCATAATATGCATATTGATATGGAAATAAAACCTCTTTTTACACTTTTTTACCTTGTTTGTTACATATTTGCAGCTAAATTTAATCTTTTCTTATCATCTTTCAAAACATTTAAATATTTTAAATACTTACTATCTGACAACTGGGTATGAGACTCAGCAACTGACTATCTTTCTCTGCTCTGAATGGTTGTTTTGGTTCGGGCCCGGTGGATTCTTGTCATTTGTTGTAAATGCCATTAGGAGCTCTAGAAATAATCAGAGGAACCTGATTGTTTCACAGATTATCTGTCTCATGTTCTACTGTCAGGATAAAGTGAAAGTTTCATTAATTATGACAAAAAGTTATTTTTATAAAAATACCAACTGCAGCTTTAAGTACTAATCTCACACTGTAAAAATATGATATAAATATACATAATAAATATGAAGCTACTGCTGGTCTCCATTTGTTCGGTTCAGTTTTCTCTGGGAATCCTCATTTTCCATCCTTCCTCAAAACAAAAAACACAAAAAGAAATCTTGAGTTGAAGGAGGATAGAAGGTTTAAGGAAACAAAAGATATGCAGGAGGAGAGGAGGGCAAGTTCAATCTGACATCATAAATTACCAGCAGCTCTTTATCCCCTTCATCAATTTTTCAGATGAGTCGGCGGATCGATGCAGCCGGCTCCCCTTCGCTCTATTAATTTTGACGTGATGCCTTCAGTTGTCCTCCTTTTGCAGAGAAACACTGAGCTTGTTTTGAAGCCAGCAGTGGTGGAATAAGTACTCTTTTACTAAAGTAAAAGCAATGATACCACAGTGTAGAAATACTCTATTACCAGTTAAAGACATCTATTCATAATGTTGCAGACGTATGAGAAGCCAAAAGTACCAAAAGTAAAAGCAGAATGAACCATGCCAGAATAATATCCATGATATTATAGCATTATAATTATTGATGAATTAATGTGTTCAGCACTTTCATGTTGCAGCTGGTAAATGTGGAGCTCATTTTAATGACTTTATATACTGCTGAGTCGTATAATCAGTGTTTTTCAAAGAAAATCTGAGGCTTATGCTGATGCTTATTTTTTTCTGAACAGAATTTAATTACTGATCCCCTGACATTCATCAATCTGCAATGTAACTAAAACTGTCAAAATAAAGTTGAGTAGAAGTATAAAGTGGCATAAAATGGAAACACTCAAGTAAATCACCTCAAAATTTTACTTTCCATCAGTGGATTTCACATTAGAAAATAAAGACCAGACAGATTCTGTGTCTGATTCAGTTTTTATTGTCTTCATTGTCTCCGTGTGTGACAGCTCTCAGGCAGCAGCCGTACACATGTCTGTGGATACTGAACGAAAGCCATAATACCCACAATAACAACAGATTATACCCTGTGATAAATAATAAAACACACACACCCCAGACGATGCTCTTTGTTGGGATTACGGTCGCACCCGTACCTGGAAGCATCGCTGCCAACACGATAATCCCGGTAAATAAATCCTCTGAGGGATTATCGCTCTGTTGAGTTTGAACCAAAAAACAACCTTCACTGAGCTGGAAGAGGGGCCGAACAGCGGCAGGAGGCCAGATGGATCCTGATGGAGGCAACTGAATGTATGAAAACAGAAAGAATCATCAGAGAACCACAGGGGTCAGTTAATGGACTTTGGATGAATGTAATGGGTCTAAATGACCGTTAATAACCTTTTAAATCTGCACAAAAAGCATTAAAAAACCCTTAATTACTCACCTCCATCAACAAATGAATAAATAAATAATAACCCAGGAACAAATCTCTTAAAAACATCCAATACTAACTCTTAACTATTGAGTTCATGACTGTTGCTGGAGCAGAGGAAGGATTTCTGGTCCAATTCTAGCTGCTTCCAAGGTTACACAAAGAAGAGAAAACGTCTAAAAAAGACCAAATAATCACAACTGTCAACACAAACCAAACACAAACCTGTTGGTAGTTAGTCAGTTTATTGATCTGATTGATCTTCATCTCTTCCAGGAAACTTCCAGAACGGGATCGCAGAGGGGGAGGTGGACCCCACATTCGGGCCCCTGGAGGCCATGCGTCTCTCAGTGATGACGGACTCGCCAGTCTGGGTGATCCTCAGCGAGGTGAGAACGCCTGGCAGGGTGACTGGAACCAGATTAAAACCAACTCAAGACCTTTATCCAAAGTTACTTCCTGAACTTTGAAGAAAATGGTTTTTGAGGAGGTTTCTGAGTCCAAGGTTCCTGATTTTAGCAAACGGGTACCTGGTGATCTTAAAGCGGCTCAAAGGGTTGGAAGGATTGTAAAGAGGGAGTGTTTGTTTATACCCCAGCAAAGGTTGCATACATTTTAAAGAGTTTTCTTAAGTTCTTGAATGGGGTTCCAAGAATCCTCGAGAGAGTTCAGTGTGTCCTCCAGGTCTCAGTGATGTTACAATGGTTCAAGAGGTCCTTGAAGAGGTTCCAGTTGTCTCAGGCATCCTGGCCTTCTAGAAATTCAGAGGGTCTTAGGGAGATTCCAGGAGGGCTTGAAAGTTCAGAGGTTATTGCAGGATGATGTTCGGTGGGATTCCAGGCATCCTTGAGGGGGTTTCTAGATGGAACTTGAAGGAGATGTTTCCCAGGGACTCGGACATGGTTTCAGGGGTCCTTGAGGAGGTGGAAATAGTTCCAAGAGATGTAAGGATGTAAGATTCAAGAGACCATTGAAGGGTTTCCAGGAATCTCTCGCCTAATGGGAAGAAGCACTCTGAAGAACTGGATCAATATGAACATACAGTATGTGACATGTATCAATCAATCGATTAGACTCTTGTCATTGTAGTCATTTTCACAAACATCCTCTAGATGAATGGATCCCCAGCCAGAGTGTTCCTAAGATAGTTCCCAAGATACACAGAGAGGGTTGCAACCAGGAAGATGAATGTTTACAGCAGTTGGTTTCTCCCAACAGTCAAACAACAAAACATTTGTTTTGATTTAAGCCCCAAAAATAGGATTGTTGTTAAAGGATTAACTTCAAACTGTGGCATGCAAATGTTTTAGCATGAACTCCTGACTCTTGACCTCTGACCTTCCTTTGAGGGTTGCTCCATGTTAACCCTTTAAAGAATGCATTCGTCTGGGTTTAGTGAAGACTTGTAGCTCCTTGTGATGTAGAACTGCAGTTTGAGAGGCTTTTATACTCCCAACATTAACACTATACTCGCCATTAATTCATTTAACACCGAACACTTCCCCGCCACTGTTACAAAAAGAACGAATGAAGTTAGAATGAATAGAGACTCAGTCTGTTGTATTCACTGTTTACATATTTACTGAACATAATGTTCTGTGGCTTAGTGAATATAATAAAAAATGCTTTGAAACTTGAAGATAATAAGATGTTGACAACAACGTCTTATAATTTTGAGCAGCTTGGCCTTAGTTGGGTATTTTTGTGTGTTTACCTTTTAGTCCAGTTGGTGTTAACTTTAATCCACAAATATCTGGATCATAGCGACTTTTAAATATCAGTATTACTCTAACAGACTTATAAACTAACTATATCTATACTGGGTCATTTAGCTGAATCCAACTCTTACTGGTGCCTCTGGTTTCTCTGGTCTCTCTCAGATCTTCATAAAGAAAGCAGACTGAAGCTCCTCTCCCCCCTCAGCGATACCTCAGCGCCTCCGAGCGTTCAGATGAGCTGACCGGAGGCTCATCAGCTGCCGTCCTGCTCACCAGATCCCCACCGTGGTGCCACAGCGCCGCCATCTGGCCGGACCTCGCCACTGCAGGACTGATTGGATCAGAGACTGAAAACACAGATCATACAGCTGATGATAATAGCGTCTGCCACGACATGCAAAAAGAGAAATGATGCTGTAATTAACCTGAAGAGTCTGTATTTATGTGTATATACAGTTAGTAAATGTTAAACACTGGTGATTGTGGAGGCGGCAGCGAGAGCGCCGCTCCACTTCTGATGCTGAAACTGCTGCTTCAAAAGACTCAAAGGCTTCTTTCTATGAGCAGACGGTCGGTCCAGACCTTTCTACCAACCCTTTCCCACCAGTATACCCCCTCAGTACTCCTGTATGTGCGTATATGCATAGAGATGTACACACTATCATATGAATGCCCTCAGTGTGTCGATACGTGTCTGTTGTTGCTGCTCGGGTTTTACACCTTCTCCCTCCGTCGGTGAGCGATTTGCCTTAACAAAGAGCAGAACAGAAACGAGCCCCAGACTGAAACATGTAGCCACAACAAATACCCAGAATCCTCTGCTGCGACCTTGGACCTTCTCACATCTTTGTGGCTTGAAACTACTGACAATGACAGCTGATCCTTTTCTTTTTTATGAATCTTTAAAAGTTGTTTTATTTTAAGTTTACTGAGGCCTTGTCACTGACTGCTCTGTTCTACTGCACAGAACTTCATAGTGCTTTACAGTACTCTAAAGTACTCTAGAGTACTCAAATCTACTGCACAGTACTCTATAAAGTACTCTAAGGTACTTTCCAGTACTGTGATGTACTCTACAGTACTCTGATGTACTTTTACGTACTCTAATGTACTTTACAGTTCTATACAGTAGTAGTAGCTTCCTCTGCTGTGCTCTGTAGTACTTTACTGTACTTTATTGTACTTGTAGTCCAGTGCAGAAATACAGATTCAGATCTTTTCTTGTCTTTCTTTTCATTTTCAGTCTCTAATAAATAGTTAAATTATAAAAATCTCCAATAGTTTAATTTTTTTCTCCGTAAACACGCTGTCTTTTTCCACTTTCAGTCAGACTCACATGGGCTCAGACAACACAAATGTTCCCTTAAATTAATCATTTGTGCAACTTTTCAGACCTTTTTTGTTCCCTTAAAGTCAATATTTGGTGCCTCCACTGATCGTCTTTGCTCCCTGAGCACCAGATGGATTTATTCCAGTTTGATTATAACACTGAATTGTTTAAAGTGTACTGTAGTGAACTTCCACACGGGGATCTTTTAGACATCAAGTCTTCCAGATTTGTGTCTCTTTCAACATAACAAAGCCTCCATAAAGAAACCGTTTCCCAGTTCGGTGCCGAATAACTTAAACCCATCCAACCCCTCTGTGAGTCGGACCTGATCACCAACATCAGTGCTGGACCTCCTGATGCTCCCTGGAGCTGGTTCAACATCTGGAGACTGAAACCAGTTTGTTAATGAACGTTATACAGTCACATATGGAGGAAGATCAGCTGTCCACATACTTCTGGCATTTACTACACGTTACTTATGTAATGTTAACCTTATAAAAGATGTATCATATTTTCCAATTACATTAAGTGTGTTTATATTAGCACAGGTATCCTGGATCAGGTTTTTGGAGTTACGTGTTGAGCGTGTAAACATCCTGGTTTCAGAGACCTGGATAAGATCTTCTGATCTTTGTGGTTCAGAACAGGTTATCAGAAACCTGCTTACTGTTAAGATAAAAATATCCATGTTAACATCATATCCAGGAGTTAGCTTGTGAGTTAGCGTTAGTTAGCTAGATGCTTATAAGTTAGCTAAAGCTACATTTCAGGAGCAACACGTCAACTCTGACTTTATGTGTTTAATGATGTTTCGACTGGCAGGAAATTATAATGATGGGGAAATAAGATTTTGATATGTTATATATATTATTATAAATGATATTTTATTATAACACACACTGTAAGCTGGTTTGGTTGGTGAAGCTTTAAGATGCTGATAAACCCGATGAAGGTCCTATAGACCGAAATGTCGTTAATATAATAAAGTATTTTCTCAGCAGTGAGCGAGACCGTGTGCAGGAATCTCTGATGGAGTCTCCAGACGTTCATTGTCTCGGACTGGTTGGTCATGTTGTTGTTTTTTCTGAAGTAACTTCCTCCTTCAAAATAAAACGATTGGTGAAGAGCGCTTGTTCAGAAAACCAGGTGTTAATACATTTCAATTCTCGAAATCTCATTGTCAATGTCAACAGCATTCTTCTTTTCTGTCTCAGTCTCGACTAGTCCTGGACCTGGACTTGGATTTCACAAAGATGGTCTTACAGCGCTGCCTCTTTGTTCGACTCACCTGTCACACATTACACATCACATTATTTTCTATAAAACCAAATTTAACCCACAAATTCAGTCACACCAACAAACCCAGTTCTCTGTTGTTAAAGAGCACCAATTATTGATTTAAGGGAACAGAACCAGTCATTTAAAGGAGCAAACATTCCCTCCAACACCTCCCAGACTGTTATTATTATTTATCTCACCCTTTCTGTCACACGTGGATTCACTCACAGACCCAACAGAACCTCTCAGATCTGAGCTGAGCGCCTCCGAGCTTCAGGAAACGTCCCGACTCTTCTTTTCTGTTCTTTGTAAGATGCACTGGAATGCATTGCTATACTCTTGTGTTTGTCTTTTGTACCCTTTAGATAAACTCTATTTAAATTATCTTTAACTTCTACCCAATCTGTGAATTGTAATAAAGACAGACATTTAAATGATTTTCCTTTTTCTTTTAATGGAGGTTGTTTCATTGCGCTGCCTCGAGTGGATTTCATAATAATTATTTTTAGATGTTTGGGGAGGTGGGCAGATTTCTGGGGATGTCATCAGGTTTCATCAAAGAGAAAGTGACGAAACAGCAACATCACTGAACTGAGGACTGATTCAGTTCAGCTTCACATGTTGCCAAATTAAGAGTTTAAGGTGGAATATTAATCTAAATTCTGACAAATGGGGCCTCATCCAGGACGTAAATCTTTTTGGTTCAGATTAAATCCAGTTGTAGTGAGACTAATGAGGAACTGTTTATTGGTTTATTTGGTCTCCTCCAAAACAAACAGACCCACTGATTAAAGCACTGGTAAAAACTAATAAACAAAAGTTCCACCTTAAAAAATAACAATAAAAAATAAGGATAAATAAAATAAGTTTCTCCCACGCTTTATCTCATAAATGTGATTTAACATGAACTTTTTTTATTATCAAGTCTTTTATTTTACTGCCAGAAATGGACTTCCTACTTCACCGGTTATGATTATTATCTGTAGTCTCTCCCAGAGGACGTCCCGGAGGGGCTGCGAGTCAGCTGCTGCTAACGTTAGCTCAGCTTGTTTCTCTGATAACTTAAGATCCAGACGTCCGATGACTAAAATCCTTCATCCGGTTCAAATCTAGAGTTAAAAAGCACCAAGATCAAACAGTGGATGGTAAACAGTCAATGTATGACAGCTTCTGATTATTGATTATTGATTGAATCAGCTAACATAGCTAACATATTATAAATGAGTTTATACACTGTTTAATGAGGAAATGTTACAGATTATAGATTTAAATGAGAGAAAATATCTATAACATGAGACTTCAGAGGATATTTAGGGTTCATCATAGGGAATAAAAGGAATAAAAGCAGTCTGTTGTTCTGCTCAGGTGACGGTCACATGGATGAAGATCACATGATTCTCACAGCTCTGCACTGTGAGAGGATTAAAGGAGTAATTTAAATATGCTTAATGTCTGTCTTGTCATTACAAACAGTGGTGGAAGAAGTACTCAGATCTTTAAATGATACAGTACAACAATGTAAAAGTACTATTAGAAGTAACAGTCATCTATTCTAAAAGTACAAAAGTATTATCAGCAACTGTTTTAAGACAAACTTAGACTCTAGTATGTAAGAAAAGAATAAAAGGTGTTTTTAAAATATAACAACAGATTTTCTAAAGAAGTAAATTAAATTTAACAAAAGATTAGAGGTCAGTAAAACTTAATTTCAAAGCTAAAAAGTTTGAGTTTGACTTTTTTCATCTTTTTTTTATTTTACAACCAACAACAGGTCACACAATACCACACGTATGCACACAAATACCCCCGAGGGCATTCACAGCCAGACCATCAAACCATCAAACCACCTTATCAACATCACAACCAAAGAACCGACTCAACCATATATATCATAAACAAACAAACACTACATTTACAATATCTACACAGATAGTGTAGTGCACTGACTCTATGTGGCATTATTAGATTGTTAATCAATAATCAATGTTTGTGCAGCAAATTACTGTTTGAACTACAGTTAGCTAGTTTAGTCCACCGGGTCCCAACGTAGGGGTCGGGGTCCTCCAGAGGGTCACAGACAGTGCTGTAGTGGTTCCTGGAGAAGTGGGTATACTCTCAATGTTTGCCCTTTTTTAACGCAGCCCAGAAAAACGCCCTGTTTTAGAAACAGTGACATGTAAGACTACTCTATTTAGTTTACCCAAAAATCCGTCAGTAGTATTTGCTCATTGTCACATAATTTCTGCTGCTTGATCTCAGGGAGGAAGGATTATGAAATTCCTGAACCAATACTGGCCCACAGACTAGTGAGAGAGTGAACTATTCCTTATTCCTGGAAGGACACCTATTCAGTAGTTTCTTTTGTGAACTGTCTTTGAACAGCTGATTGCAACAGATAGCGTGGGCCAGAGTGTGCCACTATTATAAAATGAACATGACTTGATCAGGAGCAGTTTGTAGGTATTACTGGTCACACAGGCAGCCTGCATGAATGGAAAATATAGATGAGGCAAACATGGTGTTTCAGTTATTTTTTGAACATTTATTTAAATAAAAAACTTCAGATCTGAAACTTGACAATGCATCCTTGTTCATATTTTACCTTAGATTAAAAAAAACGTAAATCATTCTCTTCCACACATCAAAACCAATCAGATAAACTCAAAGTGCACTGTTGTAAAATTGAAATAAACACTATTTTAGCATAACTCGTTAGATATATATAAATATCATATGATGATTGAACATCATCATTCAAATTATTCAACAGAACAAAATGTAACAAGGAGGATGTTTGTAATTGTCAAATTAAATGTTTGTTTGGATAGCTCGCTTCATCTTACCGGTTCATTACAAATCCTAAAGGCAAATCCTTTAAAGTAAACTTGTAAAAGTAAATTTGTCTTTAGCAATATTTACCTCAGCATGACCCGCCCTTCTCTGCCTCCGATTGGCTCATTCGTCATCATACCTAAAGTTAACCAATCTAATCAGTAAAGGCAGCGAGTACTAGCCAATTAGAGGCAGAGTAGCGTGGGTCAGGTCGCAGATACTACTGAATGGTGCGCATCAGTTATAAAGAGTTCAGTCTAGACCTGCTCTATTTGAAAAGTGTCCTGAGATAACTTCTGTTATGAATTGGCGCTATACAAATAAATTAATTGAATTGAATTGAATTGAATTGAATTGAATTGAATCAGGGAGGATTTAGAAGCGGGTATATGGCGTATACCCGTGTATACCCTGGACTACACCAGTGGTCACAGATCACTCTGAGAGAGGAAACAAGAAAATACGAACCTGGTTTCAGTTTCTTTTATATAATGTTTGATTTGTCTAAAAGTTGTTTAAATAAAGTTTAAAGGTGAAATGTGTGTTTGGTGGAGCTGCTGACAAGTACAGAGACACAACTCAGAGACACGACTACAGAGACACAACTACAGAGACACAACTCAGAGACACGACTACAGAGACACAACTCAGAGACACAACTCAGAGACACAACTACAGAGACACAACTCAGAGACACAACTACAGAGACACAACTACAGAGACACAACTCAGAGACACAACTCAGAGACACAACTCAGAGACACGACTACAGAGACACAACTCAGAGACACAACTACAGAGACACAACTACAGAGACATAACTCAGAGACACAACTACAGAGACACAACTACAGAGACACAACTACAGAGACACGACTACAGAGACACAACTCAGAGACACAACTCAGAGACACAACTACAGAGACACAACTCAGAGACACAACTACAGAGCCACACAACTACAGAGACACAACTCAGAGACACAACTACAGAGACACAACTACAGAGACACGACTACAGAGACACAACTCAGAGACACAACTACAGGGACACAACTCAGAGACACAACTACAGGGACACAACTACAGAGACATAACTCAGAGACACAACTACAGAGACACAACTACAGAGACACAACTGCAGAGACACAACTCAGAGACACAACTACAGAGACACAACTACACTGATCTGTTGAAGGTTGTTTTTTATGTAAAAAAACGAACTAGTAACTTATAAAATGAATGTCTGTGAATGTCCATTGAGTACAGACGTAGAAAGTAAAATAAAAGGGAAATAGTCAAATAAAGTAGCGTACAATATCTCAGGTTAGTGTTTGAGTTAGTGAGAGCAGAGCTGAGTCAGTTAGCTTAGCTTAGCACAAAGACTGGAAACAGAGGGAAACAGCTAGCGTGGCTCAGTCCATACACTGTAACATACACTGATGAACACATTATATCTGCTTCTGATAGACTTTGTGGTTTTCTCTGGGCTGAATTTGCTCTTCTGGTTCTTCTGGTTTCATTCAGGATGGAAAACTCGTTTCCACCAGTTCCAGTTGTAATCAAGGATGCGTCGCCAACAGAGGGCGTCGCACAAAGCTCAACGACCCCTTCGCTTCCACTTAATGAAGAACTGCTATTGTTTGGTTCCAGCTGCACAACCTTTCAGCTTCTGAACCGATTTATTTCTGGTTGAAATGCTCCAAAGAATAAAGGGAATGAACTGGAACTGGAGGAAAAGACCTGCCGGTTTGGTGCCATCATGACTGCGTTACACGGTTATTATTATTTATATATTTATCCACAGAAAAACTCCACAAACAGAAGTCTGTGTGCAGATTAAACCAACGGGATACAACCTGTTAATTAGGAGCTTTACTGGTGTTGATGTACAAACAGGAACGAGAGAGCGCAAATAAAAAACCTTTATTACACTTTATTGTTAGTCTTATATTAAATCATATAAAATAATGATAAAACACTCAGATCATCTTCTGCTTTACATACTGAAACATCAGCTCCCTCACAAACAGGACGACCCCGCTGTTGTTTCCTTGATAATAACTTAAAAAGCGTCATCATTAGTCTAATTTTCCTAACCTAAGTACTAATATTGTAAAAAAACTAAACTTAATTATTGATTATTATTCTGACTCAGGCATTAATGTAGAAGCAGGATTTTACTGTTGGAGTTGGCTGAAACTAATGATCATTTTCATTATGGATCCGTCTGCTGATTATTTTCTCTGTTTATCTATTGATAGAGAAATGCGGTCACAATTACCCAGAATCCAAAGTGACACCTTCAAAATGCTTCTTTTGTCTAACCAACGGACCGAAGCTCAAAATGATTCAGTTTTAAGAAAAAAACATCAGCTGGATATAATGTATATATAATATATTCAGACTGTGTTTTTATTGATCTTTATTTCCATTAAGGCTCCATTTACAATTACAATTCATCCTATTTATGATTTTTCTTTCTTGGTTTGTTTTCCAAATAAACTCTGAGCAGTTACAAATAAAGACAGAAATCAGATATATAATAAAACATTGTAGAATTACAATTATTAGAAAGCTTTGAATCTGTAGAGTGTACGCTGCTTAAACACTATAATTTACCCCCTTTCTTTAAAATGCTACATATTAAACTCATAACACAAAGATGTGAGATGTGTTAATATAAATAGTTTGTTATGATATATATATAATAACGCATTATATCCAGATTACGCTCTTTTACTGTCTCCTGTTTTATAATAAAATCTGTTTCAATCTGAGCAAGCGAGCCTCACCACGTCCAATCAGCGCGCACTTCCTGTGACAGCTCGACCAATCATCGCTGTCCACGAGGTTCAGCTCCAGGGGGGCGGGCACTGTGCAGTTCGACTGAGATTCTCCTTCAGCCAATCAGCTCTTGACAGTTGACAGGAAACGTCAACCCGTCGCTCTCGTTGACCAATCAGCGACGGCGGAAGGAGGATTCTGCCCTCCGATATCCCACGTGACCGTCCTCAGTAGTTCCCAGGCGGTCACATCAGCGAGCTGGAGGTGAGTAAAGAGCCCGATAAATGTCACTTTATACGGGGCAGCACCGCCGCAGTGGGCCGGTCCGCCACCGGTTCATGTTTATTCACTCTGTCTGTAAAATGGATCCAAACTAAATGCGAGTTTTTATCCGTTAGAGATAAATATCCGCGTCTGCAGCATGCTGGTTAGCATCGGTGTGAGCGGCTAACTCAGGCTAATTAACTTCAGGTGAATTCAGCTAGCTAGTTAGCCTCCTGCGTTGGCCTTTGCTACCATTTAATTCACTCATTAATACAATATATGGCGATATATTCCGGTGGGCCCGCCGCTGTTGGGGGGAAGAACACCCTGTTAGGAGGAAGCTGGAGTTTTATTGGCTCCTTTTCCCGCACTGACAGTTTCCTAAGCAGCAGCGCCGTTGAGCTAAGCTAAGCTAAGCTAAGCTAGCTGTCTGTGCCGTGCTCCTAGCAGAGAGTGAGCACAGCAGGAAGAAGAGGAGAGAATAAACTGATGAAGAACATGAGTGGCAGTTGAACTGTGAAGATGAACGGATGTGAATTAAAGGCTGTTGGGAAACAATGAATGAGTGAGTGTCCGGAGGCAGTTAGCCTCCAGCAGCCCTGATTCACAAACGACTCAAACACACTAAACTTTATTTAAATTAAATCCGAGAACTTCAGAGTCTACGTCAGACTGCAACTAATGATTATCTGAAACCTGTCGATCAATTATCTTGATTAATCTTTGATGTACAAACGTCCACCACACAGCAACCTTCCCAGCTGATGTCTTTCAAAAAGCCACAGATGTAGTTAAAATTATAAACTGATCAAGCTGATCAATGGATTAGACCAATAATTGATCATCAGAGCAGTTGGTGGTTGTTTTCCTGTCAGTCGACTGTTTGATTCAGCTCTGAAATGATTTAAAAATATGGTTTTGTTTCTGTGTTTTACTCTTTACGAAGGTTTTACTTTAGTGTAAACGTTATAAATCCAATAGTGTTGAAACTGGGGCTGAAACTAATGATTATTTAAAACCTGTCAATTAGTTATCTTGATGAGTCATTCACCTGGAAACATCCACCACAGAACAGTCTCCATTTCCAATAAGATGTCTTTTAAAAACCCAAAGATTTTTAGTTAAAATGACAAAAAATAAAAAAACAGAAAAGCAGCAAATCCATAAAATGTTAAATGTATTCGATAATCAATTGATCATCAGAGCGGTTGGTGTTTATCTTTCCTGTCAATCAGCTGATTGTTTCAGCTCTCAAATGATGCACAAGAAATGATCTCCTGCCTTTTAAAAATGTTAATATAGTGTAAAATAGTATTTTACTTCATTGTAAACGTTATAAATCCAATAAAGTGTTGAAACCGAGGACAAAACTAATGATTATTTAAAACCTGTCAATCAATTATCTTGATTAATCATTCACCTAGAAACATCCACCACAAAAAACAATTCTTTTATGATCATTAATTAACCCAAAGATATTTATTACTTATTAATTATATAGAACAGAGCATAGCAGCAAGCCATGTTGAACTGATTCCACAATTTATTGATCAGAGCAGTTGGTGATTATTTTCCTGTCAATCAATCGATTGTTTCAGCTCTGAAAGGATTTCCTCTGGTTCTGTTTATATATTTTATTTTACTGTAAATGACATAAGTTCAGTAAAGAGGTGAAATCACAATATTAAATCACAGAAGCTGCAGTTTGTTTCATAAATCTAACATTTGTGACAGAACATCATTATAATAATAATAATAATATATATATATTATTATTATTATTATTATTATTATTAATTATAAGGACGTGAAAATAAAAAGTTCCATTCAAGTTGGAGAATCTGAGATAATAGTGGTGATTCAAAGGTGTGGAACCAGAACCAGAACCCCGACTGTGTCCTGTGTGTAAGAAACAAAGAAAAGCTGGAAGCAGCTGTCTGATCACTAATTAATCTCACTATTTGATTGATCACTAATTAATCTCACTATTTGATTGATCACTAATTAAACTTACAAATTGATTGACCACTAATTGCTGCTTGGCTAAAAGCTGTGATCCTGAATAAAGTCAGAACCAGGTTTATGTGTTAATAAAACGGGCTGTAATGAGTCCGTAAGGGTTTTATTTGTGTTGATCCAGCCTATCAGGTCTATCAGGTTCAACCCGCCTGGCGCGTGGGGGGGCCGGACCGCCACCCGCTCCGACCGGCTCCGTGGTTCCACTCCTTTAAACTCCTGACAGATTAAAGCCCGAGTTTCTGGAACCGGCCAGTTCAGTGAAAGTTCAAACACTAGATGGCAGCACGCACCAAAACGATGTGTCTTGAGGGGGCGTGGTCAATCTATTTAGCCACGCCCACACGCGAGACCCATATCGTACATTAATGTTCGCCATCGCCAAACTTTGTGCCGCGTTTTCATGAGTTTTGGAACATGTTGCGACCTCCAAAAACAACTGATTGGGGGAATAAATAAATAAAATAATATTAATAAAAACCCGAGCAGGTTTAATTGCAGCGCTTTGATTAGTTAATTAGTTTCATGTTTATTCGTTTCATTTAACCCAAAGTCTTCAGGATGAGTGAATGTGAAACCGTTCTCTACACTGACACTGAGTCACGTCACTGCTGGTTAACCGATTACTAATTACAGTTCAGTTCATTCTGAAAAGGTAGTTTTTAGGTAGTTTATTCTCATATTTAGTCATTGTGACCAAAGCTTTACAAAATATAAAAGCGTCTTTATTATATATTTAATTAGACAAGAGTGTGCAGGTGAAAACAGACGTTTGGAGTAAGTGATAAAGGGACAGGTGAGTGAGCGTGACGAGCTGTTTGTTTCAGTTTAAACCTGTCCGTCCTGTCTGTCTGATAAAGGTTCATTCCCCTCTTTAATGAGCTGAAACTGCTCACAATACTGGTTCAGTATCCTTTAGATAAATAAACTTCAAACTTCCAATGTCTTTAAATCTTCTCCACACCCAGAAATACCTTTTTATTAAATGTAAAAAACATGTCTTAAAAACTGGCTTAAATGTAGACTTTCTCTGTTCTTAAACACTTAATTCTTAACGGATTAATTAATGTCACATTTGTTCTTTTTGTAGTTGAAAAATCTGCTAAAAATGTTAAATAATTGAAGAAATCTTCTAAATATTAATAAATTGGTCCAAAAAGCTCAAATAAAGTGGAGAATTGTCTAAATTCAGGATTTGATTAGTAAATGTTTCTCAGTGTGAAGAGTTTGTTTAATATAATATAATATAATATATATATATATATATATATATATATATATATCTACCACCTTGGAGACTGTGGACATTTGATAAATCGATCAGTTCACTGAAAGAACAACCCGCATATACATTTGTAATTAAAACCTATATTAACAACAATGAGGATTGTTCAGGTTAGTAAATCTAGCATTTATTAAATAATTAAACACTGTTTGTTCCAGAGCTGATAAAGGAAGAAGCCAAGGCCTCAAAACATCCACTAAACAACAAATGCAGGTAGATTGTTTTCTAAGGAGTGAACCATCTCGCTTGCTTTTAATCTTCATTAGCTGAAGCGCCAGCGAACACTTCAGTGATCCAGTCGGGTGGCGTTAGAAACAACGTGGTTAAAACAGCATCTGGCTAGCGTAGCAGCTAACAGAGTAATGAACAGTTTGTACAGGGGCAAGTAAAAACTGACTGAACACAAGTATAGATGTGAAACATGGAGCCTTGACATTGAGCGGTGTAATGTTTAATGACATATTGAGATATAAAGCAGTGTGGTTATCAGTGAATCAGAGGAGAAGCAGATGTCCTGCAGGCTCAACTGACTCTAATATCAGATTAACTGACCAACTGTAAGTCCAGTCCTCTGCTGCTGTCAGTCTGGGTGGATAACAGCAACTTCAGCTGGTTTCACTGAACTGATTAAGGCAGGCTGAGGCTTTATCAGCCAATCAGAGAGTCTCTAAAAGCTCATTACTGCTCCAGGTTGTAGTCTGTAGTGTGGCTGGTCCACTGTGTTCAGACACACTGTTGTTGGAGGAACTTTATGTGGAGGCAAACGTCTGCGTAGTATTGGACTGTAGAGCTGCAACTCATCAATATTGTCATTATAGATTCCTCTATTTATTTCCTTAATTAATCACACAGTAGTTTGAACTGTAGAAGGTCAGAAAATAGCAAAAGATGATGGGAAACAAGAAAAAGCAGCGTTTTTAATCAAAAGAGAATCAATAATTCCAGATGAATTTTCTGTTGATCAGTAAATTGATCACATTATTGATGCTGCTGTATTTGTAGAAAACCTCACAGGTACATGAAACACTTTGTTCCCACCCTCTCGAGGCGCTGTGAACGTCTCCTCTGAGGCTCTGCAGCTAATTCCCTCAAACGCCACGTCGGTGCCGGCCAGGCGACTTTGATGCTAAGCTAACGGCTAGTGGCCTCCTGATTCACTACACAGTTAGCCAGGCTGTTAGCCAGCATGCTAATCCTGCTGCAGGTTAATCTGATTAGTGTGGCAGTCTGCTGGGTGAGAAGAAGGTTAATATGTTCAGCAGAGAGCTCCAGGATCAGCTTTTATTGTCTTATTGACAGATTTATAGATGAAGAGCAGATCGTATTGATCCGCCTGCGTTCAGCTCACCTTCGTTTTAAAGGTTTATATTTTCTTATAAGGGATCAGAGTATTGATTATTGTCAGGCTATGCTGAGGGGTCCAACAGCACAGATGTGATGAGTGCATTAACATATTTACTGTTGTTTAAATTACATGAGATTATTCTTTAAACTGAACCGATGTTTCACTGAATTAGAGCCCGATCAATATCAAAGATCCAAGCTCCACAAACGTGTTCCTTTATTTCTAAAACCTGATCAGATCAAACCTTTATCTCTTTTTAATCTAAAAACCTTTTATAAGTTTTAGTTTGATAAAGTTGATATCGGTTTCACGTTGAGCTGTTTCTTTACTCTTTTAAATGTTTCAGTATAAAACAAATATAAATAATTTCTTTTAAAGTGAAACATATTTTAAAGACGGTTGGTCTGTTTGACCTGATGCTTTATCAGTTATAGAAATGTGTTCAAACTTTACATTTACAACATGTTTAAATTCTTCTTAGACTTTGTTTTGTGACTGTGAATAAATATAGAGAGTAAAATATAATGTCACAGGCACATTTGTGTTTATTTCAGCGTGTTTAAGAGACATTTTATCTATAAAGTTAACTGTTATTATCATGTTTTATTGACAGTGGCTCACTTTACAATATCAGCTTCAATATACAGAATAAACTTAGTAATACATCAACTTAAATATGCAGAATACTAATAAACCAGAAACATATTGTAGTAGCCTTAAATAAAAACTATAATAATAAATGGAAAGATTTATACATATTTACACATACAGCCTATGATACACATGTTTAGTAATGATGTAATCGTATCGGACGGAGGAGAATTATTGATTATTGGGCCAGAAATGTTTTATATTCTTCTCCTTTAACTGTAAACAGTTTGTGTAATGATGCTGCAGGTCTATAAATCTCATCACTACCAACCCCCCACTCAGTGTGTGTGTGTGTGTGTGTGTGTGTGTGTGTGTGTGTGTGTGTGTGTGTGTGTGTGTGTGTTTGTGTGTGTGTTTTTTTTTTTTTGTGTGTGTGTGTGTGTGTGTGTGTGTGTGTGTGTGTGTGTGTGTGTGTGTTGTGGGGTGCTGCAGTAATCCCGCGGGGTGTAATCTCATTAAGGTTAATGGAGCTGAGGGTGCATGTCCTGTGGGTGCTGCCTGGTCTCCATGGCGATGGATGGGTGCCGGGGGCAACGGAGGTTAACGGCCTGCCGTGTGTGTTAATGATGGAGGGAAACAATGTGAAGTTTGTGCAGTCGTAGCCGTTTATAGAAAGACCCACAGAGAGTTCGTGGATCTTTAAAATCCAACAGGGAGCGTGAACATCAACACGACCTACAATAACAGCACTTCCTGCTGCACGGGTACCGGTAACCATGGATACCGGTAAACAAGGGTATCGGGCTCCAGAGTGTGACATTTGGTTCAAAAATTAGGTGCAACATTTCTAGGTCGCACTGTGCACCTGGCTGCCCGGGTGAACCATACATTTATTTTGAGCGCATCATCTTTGTGTTGTCCTGTGAGGAACACACCAGGGGTTTTTTTTACCAAAATTTTGAAGGTGAGTGCTTTTTAACATTTTTCTACAGCATCAGACTCGGAAGCAGAGGAGGAGACAACCGAGTCTGGGATAGAGCCCGGCTCCGAGACCCAAATTTAAAAAAGGTCAAAATATATTCCTTCAGACAGGACTGGCTGAAACAATTTCCCTGGCTGAGGTACAACAAAGGACGTAACGCACTGCGTGTACTGTCAGGAGTGCGGTCAGAATATGGATGGAAATAGTGCATTCGTGAGCGGGTCAACAACGTTTCGTATCAAACTTTTATTTATAAGTGTTTTAGTTTGAAATTTAGTTTCAATTTCAGCTCAGTGAAACACTTTAAACACTTTATTTTTCTTTTTATATATAATTGTGCTTCAAATAAAGACAAGCATTTCTCTACACCTTATTCTTGTTTAAAAATCATTCACATTATATGGAAGTTATGGAGAGCGATAAAAAGGTGACCTTATGACGTTAAAGGCAACGCAATGAAAGGTTTGGGTGCACCTACATTTTGTGCTGGTGCACCAAAAGAAAAAAGTTAGGCGCACCAGTGCAACCAATGCAACCAGTTAGTCTGGAGCCCTGCTATAAAGGGTATCAACACACTAATGTCTCGCTGTCTATGAGTGAATTCAGATTTTAGAAGAAACATGAAGCTTATTGAGGAGTCAGCTGTAATCATACAGAGTGTCTGCAGGAAGAAATGTCTTACAGGTCTTAAAGATTTATTGTTATTAAAGATTTATTAAGATTAATATTGACATTACTTGTGTAAAGTTGCATTTGTATGGATCATAATGTAACGATGTGGAACCATTACTGAACTTCCTTCATATGTTTTTGTTTGTCAGTATGGATGTAAAATAGGTCTAACATTACATTTACATTATATGCTGATAAGAGCAGATTTTTAAGAGATTTTACTCATTTTCATCACAATCATCATTATCACCTCCATCATTCATCATCTGACCACATTCTAATAATAATTAAAGTGAAGGAACATTAAAGCACAGAGCTAAAGGCACCCTCACAAACGTCTTTACTTGGGGTAACAAAGCTTTCACACCGTCCTCAGCCCGACTTTAGCCCGGGGCTCTCTGGTCCTGCTCCAGAGCGGGTTAAAGCTGCTGGGTTGTGTCCTCAAAATCGATTGAACACGGGGCTAAAAGGTGCCCGTGGGAAACGGGACTGAAGTTAACAGAATGTAAACACTAGTCGTGAGTCCCAGCAGACATTTGACTCGTATCACTCTGGTCTGTGACAAGGTATTCCAGGGTCAACATAGCCTGGGGCTATCCCTAGCTGCCATTAGCCTGGGGCTATCCCTAGCTGCCATTAGCCTGGGGCTATCCCTAGCTGCCATTAGCCTGGGGCTAGGGTAACAGAAGACACATGGTTTGAGGCTGGAGAACCGGGTCGTGGTGAGAGAGAACAGCTGGAACAGATGTGCTCACTCTCTCCTCCTCCTCCTCTTCCTCCTCTCTCTGCAGACTATGGATCAGAAGGTCGGGTTGTTCATTCTTCTGGCAGCAGGCCTCCTCTGCCTCAGTTTAACCCCCGTCTCTCGGGCCGAGGACCTGGTCGAGGACGGTCTAGGTGACGACGTGGACGTGGAGGACGAGCTGGATCTGGGTTTGGCTGGAGCCGAGGAGGAGGACCTGGAGGATCTGGAGGGGGACGCGCAGGATGAGGCGCCACCTGCTCCTAAAACTCCTCCCACCCCGAAGGTAAGACCGCAAACCAGACGATACCGGGTTCTCCTAAACTATGAATCATAATCTGGTTTTATTTCTGTATTATCCTTAAATACAGATACAGCACCCCCTATTCTATATATATCTATGCTGCTGTTACTCCACAGAACTATATATCTGTCTGTTACTCATTAACAAACCAAATCAGGAGGTCAGTTTGATAACGGAGGACCGGCCTGCTGATCCACTGACCTGCTGATCCACTGACCTGCATTCACACCGGAAACCACAAAAATCTTCACTTTAATGTCAAATAAACTGGTTTTATTTTTCAGTTTCAGCTCTAATAACCTCACAAAGTCTAAAAACAGCCTTCCTGGAAGTTTAATATATTAAAAATAAGTCCATTATTGGAGCTAACATTAAATTAATGAAGTGAATAATTCAGTAAACAGAGAGGAAGTTAAAGTTTTACTTTAATAGCAGGTAACTCCAGTTTGACCACATTATTCAAATCCCATCCAAACCAAAAGAAACACACCTGAAGTCTTTTTGTGTAACAGTAACATAATATTTAATATCATTAACACCTTTCTGTCTTTCTTCCACCTCTTTGTGTCCAGGTAACCTACAAGGCTCCAGAGCCGATGGGGGAACATTTCATCGCTGAGTCTTTTGATCGGGGGACACTGGACGGGTGAGCACTTCCTTTTCTCACAACCTCTTCTAACCTATAAAATCTGTTAATCTGTTGTTATGTCTGCAGTCTGTTAAGAATTCCTCTCCAGGTTTAACTAAACTTCCTCTCTGTTGGTTTCAGCTGGGTGATTTCCAACGCCAAGAAAGAGGACACTGATGAAGACATCGCTAAGTATGACGGTAGGTGCAGCTCTTCGTCATACACACGTACTGCTGATTCTCTCTCTCCTGTCCCGGTGGTTGCTGACAGCTAACTGATGATGATGACTTTGTTATTAACAGGTAAATGGGCAGTGGAGGAGATGAAGGACAGCAAGCTCCCCGGTGATAAAGGTCTCGTCCTGAAGTCTCGCGCCAAACATCACGCCATCTCAGCCCAGCTGCTGCGACCTTTTACCTTCGACACCAAGCCCCTCATCGTCCAGTAAGAGCGACTTTTTACCCAACGTCCTCCTCGCTGGTCGTCTGAATTCATCTGTCAGTCCTTTCCACCGTTCTCATCTGTCTCTGTCTGTCTCTCTCTTCAGGTACGAGGTGAACTTCCAGTTGGGTATCGACTGCGGCGGCGCCTACGTCAAACTGCTGAGTCAGACTCCCGACATCGACCTGGTCAGTTTGACTCTTTACACACAGAAACACAACATGTGGACTGGGTGCTGGGACTGAGAGGGATTGTCTATATGTTGTATTCCAAGGCCTTCTTGAGTTTAAGGGGTGTAAGAAAACTTAATAAATATACACAGTAGGACTTCATTTCTGTAAAAAAAAAAAAAAACTAAATGAAATTGTCATTTTATACGTTTATCATTTAAGATGATGCATTATATTTAAAAAAAATCAAAGCTGATAGAACAATGAGAAGAAAACACTGACTTTGGTCAGTTTACACAATGACAGAAAAAGGGTTGGGAACCAGTGCCTACTTTTATAATGCACACAAAGAAAAGACTCCTGCAGCAGCTGAATGTAATCCCTGTGTGTTTCCTCAGGACCAGTTTGTGGATAAAACTCCGTACACCATCATGTTCGGACCCGACAAATGTGGAGAAGATTACAAACTGCACTTCATCTTCAGACACAAAAACCCCAAAACGGGAGAGTACGAAGAGAAACACGCCAAGAAACCCGACGCCGACCTGAGGACGTACTACACCGACAAGAAAACACATCTGTACACACTGGGTAAGACTGCACGCATGCACACACACACACACACACACACACACACACACACACACACACACACACACAATATGACAGTCCAGAAGTGTAACTCCTCTCTGTCGCCCCCCAGTGGTGAACCCTGACAACACCTTCGAGGTGCTGGTGGATCAGACTGTGGTGAACAGCGGCAGCCTGCTGACAGACATGACCCCCCCTGTGAACCCCACGGCCGAGATCGAGGACCCCGACGACCAGAAGCCCGAGGACTGGGACGAGAGGCCCAAGATCCAGGACCCTGCTGCATCCAAGCCCGAAGATTGGTCAGTACAGTGGTCCTCACCTGGGGGTCATTAGGTCACAACCCACTCTTATAGAATCAGACCAAGCACATTTATTACTAATAAATACAAATAAACAGATAATGCAGGATCCCAATGTGTCAAATGGGAAACATGGAAATGTATTAAAATAAACCTTTAATTCACAGCAGTCTCTACAGCTGTTCTCATTAGGCGGCACATTAAATTAGCTAAATAATAAACCGGTGATGGACTCGATCACCAATAGTCGATATATTCTTCCAGTAATTAATATTTCCGTCTGTCTGCAGGGACGAGGACGCTCCCGCTCAGATTCCAGATGAAGACGCAGTGAAACCCGACGGCTGGCTGGACGACGAGCCGGAGTACATCGGAGACCCCGACGCCGTCAAACCTGAAGACTGGTGAGTTACAACATGTGAACCTCTGACACATCAGAGCTCTCTGATTGGCTCAGAAAGCTCAAAGTTTCTTTATTTGTAGGAGTTTGGTCTGCGGTAAAAGACAAAGACATTCCTCTATTAAAATAACAAATAACGGGCGCCTGGTTAGCTCAGTCGGTAGAGCTGGCAACCCATGTGCGGAGTTGCTGCAGCTGCCCGGGTTTGAATCCGACCTGTGGCCCTTTGGTGCGTGTCATCCGCTCTCTCTCTAACCACATTTCCTGTCTATCTACAGCTGTTACTATCCAATAAAGCCAATAAAAGGCCAAAAAAATAACTTAAAAAAAAAAAATTAACAAATGACAATATGCAAACATGATGAAGTTAAAAAAGCTCCAGGGTCTAAAAATCAGGGCTTACGAACAGATCAATGAATCTGCTGTCTCGCTCTGATGACGTCTCTGTACTTCCTGTCAGGGATGAGGACATGGACGGTGAATGGGAGGCTCCTCAGGTCCCTAACCCCGCCTGTGAGACCGCCCCCGGCTGTGGCGCCTGGAAACGACCAATGATTGACAACCCCAACTACAAGGGCAAGTGGAAGTCCCCCATGATCGACAACCCTAACTACCAGGTGAGTTTGGAAACCCCTCCACGCTCAGACGTTGCTGCCTCCCTGAGTTGTCTCCCTGCAACGGATCCTGACCGGAGCTCCTCTCTGTTCTCAGGGCGTCTGGAAGCCGAGGAAGATCCCCAACCCGGCGTTCTTCGAGGACCTGCAGCCCTTCAAGATGACTCCGTTCAGCGCCTTGGGGCTCGAGCTCTGGTCCATGACCTCCGACATCTTCTTCGACAACTTCTTCATCACCGACGATCGGAACACCGCCGAGCGCTGGGCCAACGACGGCTGGGGGCTGAAGAAGGCTGCAGAGGGCGCTGCTGAGGTGGGTGCAGGAAGCGTGTTAACATGAGCCCACCTGAGTGATGTCATTAGGGTGCTCCGATTAGGGTTTGAGAACCAGTATCCGCCAGTACAATCACTGGGTCTGTTTAAAGCCTTAATTATTATTATATACTATTCTTAACAACATTATAAATTGAGTATTTATTGACAACGTGTTCAACATGGAATGACGGAGGAACTGTGGAGGGAATATTTCTTTCTCTTATCTCTTATTTCAGTTTAATTTATTTAATTCTCCACCTTATTTTGGTCTGACATCAAAAGCAACTGAAGGACTGGAAGGCTTTATTGTCAGCAGTGTGACAGAAACAGAATAAAACTGATAAAGTGTCTCTGTTAGTGTTTCCAACAATCACCAACACTGGTTTGGTGGAATTAAATCCTTAATTCACAGACGTAGATGATAAAAACAGCAGTTTCAGCAGCTTTAAACCTGACAATTAACACTGGAGACAGTTTTCATTGGAGCTCCACCAGAGATCCTCCCTGTAGTTGTGGTCTGCAGGGATGGATGGATGGATGGATGGATGGATATTCCTTTATTTGTCCCACAATGGGGAAACAACAAAGTGGATAGAGAAAAAACAGTATAAAAAAACAGTAAGAGTAGGGAAATAATAAAAACACTATGTACAAGAGAAAGTGATGTGTGTGTGTGTGTGTGTGTGTGTGTGTTAATGTTGTTGTTTGTCGTTGCAGCCCGGTCTGGCAACACAGATGCTGAACGCTGCAGAGGAGCGCCCGTGGCTGTGGGTCGTCTACGTCCTCACTGTGGCTCTACCGATCGTCCTCATCATCGTCTTCTGCTGCACCGGAAAGGTGACTGACACACACACACACTCTCTCTCTCTCTGTACTGTCAGCTGACAGATGGATCTCTACCTCGAGGGAAATGCAGTGATGAGACGATTTAAAGTCCTGAACTATAAAGTAGGAGCTCCTGTACTCGTACTATCAACCCTCCTGCAGCCTGTTGTCAGTGCTGATGTCCCAGTCTGGTGTGTGTGTGTGTGACTGTCCACAGAAGTCGTCAGGATCAGATCAGGGACAGTTGAGTCTCACCACCTTACAGGAAGAGTTTAAGGAAGCTGGACGCCCGAACCACCCCGCCACCGCCTCCTCAGGCCTGGTGACTGCTGCTGTTAGAGTAGCTCTGTGTCTGTTTGTCTCTGTTCCCGTGGTTCTGTTCCCGTGGTTCTGTTCCCGTGGTTCTGTAGTGTAGTCTGCAGTCTGTGTCTAATGTGGTTGACCGTAGTTGAGCGTAACTAAAGCCGTGTTTCCACCACAGGAACTACTCTGGGGCAATATCAAGGTATTACTCTTTCTGGTGGATCGACCTCATTGGCTCCTAGAAAGTTTATTTTCTGTGTGTTTGCTCCAAAGATTCTCTGTGTCTCTTTTTATTAATCACTACAGTCAGCCGGTGGGAAGAACAAACATTTCAGGAGTCTTTCTTAGGCTGTGGATCAAAAGCTTTAAGAGCCATCTATTCCCTGCCTCTCTTATTTCTCCGTCTCTGAGTCGAGTCACATTTGATTGGCTGAATTGTCACTAAAGCATCGAGTAATCGACAACTTTTAAAACCATTTTATAAAATCTGCAGCTGCAAACTGTTGTTGACATCAGCGTGGATTTACAGATGAATTGAGCACAAAAATGGCGTCTAAAATCAGCCGTTGCTGCTTCATATATTAGCGGAATAATCTTCACGGGTCTTTAGACCAGTAACGGGGTTCTGTAGTGGCTGGGGGGGCAGCAAAAGGAGGAATAGAATATTTTACCTTTCATCACATTTTTGGGAAGTTGGAGCAAGTTAAGTGTAATTTGATGTAATCCCAGTCTGATAATTATTATGAAGACTGCTATTATTTTACATCATACAAATAAAACAGTTACTCCCTTCCTACTTCATTAAGACCCAATCCTCGGGTTCCTCTCGGGTTCCTCTCGGGTTCCTCTTGGGTTCCTGGTCTAATGGGCTTTATGACCGTGTTAGAACCCGACCGACTCTGGTGGAAACCTTTGAAAAGTTCCTGGGACTGAAAGTTTGGGTGGAAATGCGGCTGAAGTCGTAACTTAAGTAGAAATCTCAGTCTTTCTACTTTCTGCATCTACTCCTCCACATCTCAGAGAGAAATACACATTTTCAAACTGTATTGAGACTCGTCCTGGCTACTGTTAATGAAAGGTCAAAGGTCAGCCTCTTTGTTGGCTGTGTGGACGAGCAGTAAGTGTGAGAACCAGGATCTGAGGTTGTGAGCTGAACTCTTTCCTGTTTGTCGAGCAGAAGAAGACCCCAGCGACGCCGGCAGCCGAGTACAAGAAGACAGACGAAGCTCAGCCTGACGTGAAGGAGGAGGAAGAGGAGGAGGAGGAGGAGGAAGAGGAGGAGAAGGCTGAAGAGGCAGAGAAGAGCAGTCCAGGTTGCTACCATGTCTTTGTTATTTCCTCTTTGTTGTTTCCTCCTGCCGTCTGTCACTGTCGGTCTGACCGGTTGAATCTGTTTCCTTTCAGCAACAGAAGGGAAGAGCGACGGAGAGGAAAGTCCTGCAGAGAAAGAGGAAGAGGAAGCAGACAAGGAGGAAGACAAGGAGGAGGACAAGGAGGCGTCATCTGACGAGGTGAGGAGACGTTGAGTGTTTTTATCTCCCCTGTCTTTATACGTCTCCTGTCTTGTCCTACTTAACGAGTCAGCAGTGTCGGCCGTGTTCAGCACCAGAGCTGAAATGTTTTTAAGTGTTTTTATGATTTCTCTCTCGTTTCCTCGGTAGAAGTTGGAGGACGACGTTCTGCGGAGATCTCCCAGGAACAGGAAGGTCAGAAGGGACTGATATCTCTGAATCCACAGCCCTGACCTCACCCCCTCCCCCTCTCCCTCCCTAAAGTATCCCCCTCCCCTCCGAAACCTCCTCCTCTTCTTCTACTCCTCTGCTCCGAGGCCATGAAGCCTAAATGGAACCCGTTTGAAGCAGTGAAGCCGACAGGAAACTAATCGGACGCCTGATCGTGACGATGATGACGATGATGATGATTCCAGTATGAACCGGACTGAGTTAGCGTGATTTAAAAGGATTTTTGTTCGTGAAAGAGATTAACTGAGATCAACTAAAAACTTCCTGCATCATTCCTAAACAACACCTGAGCAGACTCGAACCCACAGGATCAACGCGTCCCGTCTGACCCACCGCTCGCCGCCCAGCGCCACCCTGAGCTAGCAAAGTGCTCCGCCCTACCTACAGCATGCTAAATAGCGCTCAGCAACTTGCTAATCAGATATCTGGCTCGTTGGCCTACCAACAGGCTGCTAACTAGGCTAACAATCTGAAGTTACCATCTTCCTGCTCGGGCTGCCAGCAGTCTACCTGACCCACGATCAGGGTGCTAATTAGGCTAACTGGTCAGAGAATCGAAAGTCTTGCCAATTAGCATACAGACCGGCTGCTAATTAGCCGACAGTTGTCTAACTTTGCCAGGTTAACAACTAGATTGTAAGCAACTCACAAATTCACCTGCTAACAGTTGATTTATTAGCCTTCTGGGAGAGTTTATTATTATACAAATGGTCGGGGGAGTAGCCTACCAGAAGTGTTGCTCATTAGTCTTCTAGCCTGTTAATTAGCTCGACTTGGTTGTAGTTCTAGCCTACTGTCATCCTATTTGGACTACAAACAGCGGGATGTTAACGAGCCCACGAATAAATGTACTTACCAACAACTAGCTAATTATCCTGCTAAAAGCTAATTAACCTACTAACCGTCGGCTCATTAGCCGTCCTAGATTTTACAATTTAGCTAGCTAGAATACTAAAGTAGCCCACAACTTGGCTACATGCTAATATTTAAATAATCATGGAGAACACTCCAGCTGACCCGACGCTTTCTTACTCTTTCATGTCTCATGTTTTGAATTGTTTGTTCTGAAGCTGTTAGCTCAGCGTTAGCTCAGTGTTTCTATGTCTTATTGTCCTGGTGGCAGCGGGGAAGGTCAGAGGTCAGAACCACAGAGCCTAAACGGTTGGAGAGAAAGCGTTGGTGCTGGATTGTTAGCTGGTACTGAGGCGTGGCGGCGGTTTCTGGCAGCGGCAGCAGGTTCTGACATCAAACCTCATATCAGCAGTTGTTTGTCGTTGTCCCTCCTCCTCTCTGTGAGTTTCAGTCCAAACAAACACGATGGCAGCTCATATCGCTGGTTAGATCCTCGGGGCTTTCTCTCCGAGTTGAGCCTCGCAGGCAGATCCAAAACCGACTCCTGTGATGAGTTTCTCCGCCAACATTTCAGCTTCAGAATTATTGTTTTGGTTTCTTTCTTTACCTGCTGCTGTCGTCTTTGTTTGGACTTAAAACTCGTCCCGTCCGCAGGTGGACAGACACAAAGTCCCTCTTTCATCAACCCCATATGAAAAGAAAAAGGCACTAAGGGATAAAAAAAAAAAAACTCAGGCGCTTACTCTCACACCTGTCCACCTGCTGCCCCCAACCCCTCCAGCAATCACAGACGCCGTCCCACATGAATCCTGAATCCATGTTTAGCCCCATGTTTAAAAGAAACGGCACTTGAGCGTGAAAGTTATGAATAAATATTCTCAACTCAAGGTTCACTCGCTGGCTTCCAGCTGAATCCGCCTTCACTGAGAGATCTTCCACGAGTTCAATACTCGGCAAACTTTATCTGTGAGGACTGAAGGATGCAGGCGAAAGCTCCACAACAGTAAGTGGACCTTGAGTTCAGACCAAACTCACACTTAAATGTTCTAATCCTCAAGATTTTCATCATATCAAAGCCAGTTTTCATTCTGCAAGGCTGCCATTAATTCTGCTGATCTTAATTAGTAGAGCGGATATGAAAATACTCTAATAACTGAACACACACAGTTTCAACCAGTCCTAGAAATTAACAATAAATAATAAGAGACAGTTTTTATATCAGATGACTGGCTACTAATTATATGATGTCATCAGGAAGAGCAGCCAATCGTTGAGAGGAAACCAATTCAATCAATCGCTTTATAACCACTGATCGCCAAAATCAACCCGATGTCAAATCTTAGGGATTACAACTTATACTAGTTTTACTGTCATCTGCTGCCGCCGCCTGACGACTTCCTGCCCGCCCGCCGCTGGTCACATGACCTCAGTTACAGGCTGAGAAATGACAAATAACAGCCAACGACCTCCTGACCTTCCCTCTAGCGCCACCATCAGGACAAAACTTCCAATTTTCTCTCCACTAAAACTCTCAGAAGGATTTTGTGATCAGCACATGAGAAATAAATCCATGAACATTTCCTGTAAAGATGCCAACTTGGGTTGAAACTCTTCATTAGTTTTGTATTTTTATTGGATTTCTGTGCAGAAGAAACGAGACGATGACCGACCGTAACATCTGAAATAAAACAGTTTGTGTGACTGTGGGAAAGAAAAGTAACTGCATTCGTCCGGTCTCGTGTCCCTGAGGTGACTGTTGATGTGTGTTTGTCCTTGTTGTGTCACTGCGGTTAAATATTAAACTTCTGTCTGTTTCCGTCTGTAATCCAGCAGCGGTGAGCGAGCTCTGTTGTGATCGGCGGTTAGTAAACGGTGGGCGGCGGGGGGGAAGGCTTGGAGATGTGTTTTTGTCTCTCTGGTTGTTTTGGTGAGTTCAGATTTTGGGCCTGGCGGTGAACTCCCCGCTTCCATTTCAGGTGACCTTTAACCTTTTATTTTCCTCCTCCTCTTAGGGTAAACTCAAGCTAGTTTTGGCTGTTAGCTCGGCTGCTTTTAGTCTTCATTTCCTTCCCGTGCTGTCGCTCTAAAGGTAAAGACGCTTTAGGACAGATCGCCTCCAGCAGCAGCAGCAGCAGCAGCGTTACATTCCCACTGAGAATGTATGTTTCAGCCTCGTCCTCTCCCTCCTTCTTCTTCTTCTTCTTCTTCTTTTTTTAGTCTGATTATTTTTGTTTTCTCTGCTCGTGTCCGGCTGAAGCTGCCTAGCTTTAACAGACTGTAGACTGAACACTGTATCTGCTGGTGAAACTTTACATGACTCTGTAACTCTGTACTTTTTATTTTTGTTGACATTGTGTTTGAACTAACTGTTGGCCCGGCCTGTTTCTGATGTACACACTATGTAGAGAGATGGATCTGCTGACACACCACAGGAAGGTCCGACTTTGAATAGAAATACTGTGATGAAGGAGCCCGATGTGCGTGTGTGTGTGTGGACAAGCAGTCAACATTTGTTTTGATGAATAAAAAAGGCCAAATGGAAACTTAACGAGAGGCTGAAGAGTGCTTTTAATGTGTCTGATTCATTTTTCTGATTTTTACAGCAGGTGAGTCAGAGGGACAAACAACTGTGGTTGAAATAAATCCTTAATTAACAGTGCTGCAGCGTAAGCCGTCGTTATTCACCAAACACTGGCGTTAGACTCTTACACTTCACCACTAGGAGCCGCTGAATCCTCCACACTGGTCCTTTAAGTTAAACCTTTCATATAACATTGCATTATTTTGACTTTTATAGTTTTCGGTTTGAGTTATTTTTATTATAATGTCTCTATAAGTCATGATTTTGCCGTTGTAGCTCAGTTTTTATGCTTTTATTTTGATAGGACAGGTTCACCCTTTGTTACCTTTTTACACTTTACTCTTTTTATTTTATGTTTCTGGCAGTAACGGGCTCAGTTATACTTTTAATTAATAATTTGTTCACAAAGTCTCATGTTCAAACTTTTCATTAAGAGCAATAAGTGGGCTGAACTTTTTGCTGATCGCTGTCATCGATTAGGGAGGCGGCCCCGCCATCATGTCGCCGTTCGATCCCTATCAATGTTATTGTGGTTGTCAGTTGCTCTTTATGTCAGTTGCTCATTACTTCCGACTCATTCTCACCGTTCCCTGTCGGACGGGTGCGTCACAAAGTGTTCCTGAAATACTCGCTCCTCATTGGCCGCCCCCGCTGTCACTCATCAGAGCAGAGGGGGCGGGGCCTGGGACATTCCTCCTGTCGCTGGAAAAAAAAAAAAAAGAGAAAGTTTCCAAGATGGCGGCGTAGCAGTGGCTGTCCGCTGGACAACAATAGAAGCAGCTCCGAGGGACAGCTAGCCGCGGACCGACCCGCGGACCGACCCGCTCTCTGGAAGCCCCCAACGGACACATCCGGGCCCACACCGCGGCGGGAACACACATAAAGTCGGATGCTTTATTTAAATGTTTCAGGCTAGCCACCTAGCTAGGTCGCCAGCCAGCTAGCCGAGCTAGCGTTAGCCTGTGTTAGCAGTTAGCAGCTAGCGGCTAGCAGGAGGATCAGCTGTTAGTAGACAGATGCTGTAGGAAGAGCGGACAGCAACACTTCACAGTAAGTGCTTTCACAGCGTAACTACCCTTCAAACATCTACAAAGTGTGTGTTATAGTAATGTGTATGTGTAGAGAGAAGAGCCGCAGTGTTTAAATAAAATAACGGATTTATTAGATCATCAGTTTGTGAAGTTGGTAGCCAGCGCTAGCCAGCTAGCTCTCGTCCCGCTAACCAAGCTAGCTGGCTAATAGTTGAGCAAAATAAAGTTTCACAGAAGTTGGAGAGCCTCACATGCACCGTGATATCATCGGTAACGATTAAATGGAGGCCCAGTCAGAAGCTAACGGGAGCTAGCTCTCAAACGAGCTGATTTTAAGAGAAACTCGACTCGTTTTTTGAGGAATTTTCGACGCTTCAACTTTGATTGAGAGTGGAGGAATGTGCTAACTTCAGCTAGCTCACCGGGAGTCAGTCATCCAGAGAGAGTTTCATTGATTCACACTGCGCTGTACAGTTTAATATTAACGGGCTGGGGTTGTTTCCATCGGGGTTGTGGCTCCAGCAGCAACTTAAACGAGCTGTGGTACATAAAGAGCTTTATAGTGTGAGGATTATTCAGCCGACACCATAACCGATCAATACCTGCTTCTCTGGAGATCACCGTCAATTCTCTGGTAATATTTGTGCTTTATAACATTTAGTTTATTCTTAATTTAAAGGTAATAAAGGCTCAAATGTAAGAAAATATCGTGTCACAATATGTTGATGTAGATGTTTGTGTTTAATCCACCAAACAATAGTTTCTGAACTGCACTTTATGTCCCTGCTCACAGTATCACAGTATAATGAATATATATAATATAACGCCTGTATCATGATACATATCAGCAGATTCTCACCAATACACAGCTCTATAGTGAGCAAAGACACATCAGTTAATACTCTGAGCTCATCTAAACAGCAAATCTCACTCTTTAATCGTTAATGTTATGTTTAAAGTTTATCAAAAAACCTAAAAATGTCGTTGCAGTATTTTGTTTTCTCATATTATTTTAATTCTCAAACACTGCATTGATTTAGTTGTTTTGTTAAATCCAGCAAACACTAGATATTAGTGTTGTAAACTTTTCTTTAATCAGTTTTTATGCATATGGTGGGACAGTTTGACTAAAACTTTTATTATTTAAATTAGAATATGTCGCCCTGCTTACAGCGTCACATTATATCTAATGGTAACTCCTGTATCATCATCAGACATCGGCAGATTGTTGCCTCTAAACTTCACACACACTAGACGTTAGAAATATCATTCGATAATGTTGTAACCATAAACTGAGGGTTGTAGTATAAAGTAGCATTAAATGGAAATACTCAGGTAAAGTACCTTTTTAAAATCTTACTTACGTACTTGAGCGAACTGTGTTACTGTAAATGATCGGCTATCGGTGTCACTAATAATCGGTGTCTGTATCGGCCCTAACAACCGTATCAGTGGATCCTTACAGTATAAACGTGGGTTTAAATGAGTAATTCAGGAGGCTGAATGGTATTTCACCCAAAAACCTTAATTTTCCTCTTCGGCAGTGAGTGCCGCTGTGACTGAAGGCCATTAGCAAGACAAAGGTGGCCTCCATGGAGCCAGCACAGGAGTGTTTGTAAAGGGCGAGGGGGGGTGAAAAAGAGCCAAATTCAGCATTTTATGGACGAAACCTGAGCCGGGAGTTTACTACAAGTCTTTATTGATGATGGCGGATTTTGTTACACCGCGACACAGCGCGGTGATGGAGAGGCTCCGCCGGAGGATCGAGCTCTTCCGGCAGCATCACAACAGCTGCGAGAACCGCTACGAGAACGCCACGCTGGAGCGCCTGGAGCTGGAGAGGCAGCAGACCTTCGCCCTGCACCAACGCTGCCTGCAGGCCAAAGCCAAGAGGTCCAACAAGCACCGGCAGCCCCAGCCCAGCGGAGACCAGGCCGGACAGAGAGCGGCGGGTGGCGGCGGCGGGGGCGGCAGCACGGACCACGGGGATGGCGGAGGGACGGCGGCGGAGCAGAGCCGGAACAGCACGCTGATAGCGGTGAGTGGCCGGCACAGACGCACCACAGACAGCTGCTCCAGAGTTCAGATACTTATACGGAATCAAACCGTAACTCACAGCACAATACAGGACAACATGTTTATTATAAAGATTGTACAGACGAATGTGTGCCAGTCCAGTAGTTCACAAACCTTTTCATATCAAGGATCCAAATCAGTCAGCGTCAGTGATCAATACTCTCATTATTAAAGCAGACAACCTGATCAGCCTTCAGCAGTCAGCTAGTGTTTCTGTAGTGGAGACTAAACGTTAACAATGATCCATATCAGCAGTTTGAATCCAACTAAAAGCTCCCTGCACCAAACTCCCTTTAAGAAATATCACATTTTAACAATTCCTAACGTGTTCGTAACAACACGTAACTCTAGAAACACGAGCTAAAGGCCGTCATATGTCCACAGTCTGACAACTGCTACTATACATTAATACACTGTGTGTGTGTGTGTATATATATGTATATGTATATATATGTGTGTGTGTATATGTATATATATAGTCATAGAGGCTTTATTGATAAGGTCGTATGTTAATGCATCTGAAGGTTCATGAAGAAATGTTTCAGTTTCCTTTGAACAACCTAAAACACGAGTTAGTATCAGTTAACATCCAGATCGATCCCTCTGACTCGCTGCAGTCTGGCGGCGTCGGCTGGAAACACCGCTGCAGTTTCTCTGAGCTCCGACATCAGACAGCATGTGTTTGTTAATCAGAGCTGATCACACTGATTGATCGCTGCCTCATCAGTGAGATCCTCTCCGCTCTGGTGAAACCGCCGTTGTGTGTCTGTGAGCAGCTCCAGTGATTGACAGAGGAAGTGTTGTGTTGTGGCTGTGTGGTCACGTGACCCGTGCGTTTCCTTTCAGCCCTGGTTGTGGTTTCTGTAACAGATGCAGACGGTGAGGCTCAACCCCCTTCATCCTGCTCAAGTGTCCTCAAGCAACACGCCATATCGTAACAGCTCTACACCCTGACCTTTGACCTCTTTCTTCTTTCTGATTTGGTTATTTACAGAAAGGTGTTGAAGGCTGCTGCACACACACAGTCCTTAGAGCTCAATCTGTCTGCAGCCGATTGATTCATTTGTTTTGAAACGATCCAAAAACCGGCTAAGTCGTAAAATCGAGATTTAACGATGTTGCTACGCATCCTGGAAAATCTGCAAAACCTGGACATTTAGAGACTAGTTTCCAGTCACTAAGAAATTGATTAAAATGACCAAATGACCAAATATCCTGGAAATAATCCATGTTGTCCTGGAATGTTTTAATTGGGTTTTAGCCTGTGCTGTGGTTAGAGGAAAACTGTAGTCAGTTCAGAAACCACGCTACGAGAACGAGCTCACACGTCTCTTAAAAATGTATTGGATTAATAAAGTTTACGTTACTTGTTTAAAGTTGCATTTTCAGTCTCCTTTAGATGTGTTTTTGATGAATATTAGCACTGATAATGCTGTAACAACTAGAAAACCTTCATAACCTCCATACTTTGCCAATCTGGAGGTAAAATAGGTCTTTAAACTGTATTTGTAACGGTCTTAAAAGGTCTTTAAATGGAACCTGTTGAAACCTGCAGAAACCCTGTTAAACGTTGGGTTGTCTTTGTCTATTAAAGTCTCCACAAGTCCTGTGTGTGTCCAGTTAGACTGACAACAGGTGTGTGTGTGTGTGTGTGTGTGTGTGTGTGTGTGTGTGTGTGTGTGTGTGTGTGTGTGTGTGTGTGTGTGCTGAAGCTCAGCTGTTAGAAAACAGGAGTGAAAAAAAAAGTCCAAAGTCCGTCTGATAGCTGAGTCTCACAGCAGGTGACAGACTGCAGCTGAAGATCCACATCAGGACTGTAAGAGGACACCTCGAATTGTGTTCACCTACAGAGAGAAATTAAATACCAAAACATTCCTGTTACATTCAGCTTGTTTGTGTCTCCACACTGATCATTAAAAACAGCCCAATCTTCTCCATCCTCCTCTTCAAGACTTTAAACTGCATCACAGCCGAGAGCCAACGTCTGCTGACAGGATACGAACTTGCAGACGGACTGAGCAGCGACAGATACTGTTCGCTCTCTGTCAGCACTCACACAGTCCTTCTCATTTAACATATTAATCCGCAGTCGTTCTCCAGCTGCTCTGGTGTTTTTATAATCACGATGTTGTCCAACAAAATCTACATAAATCCAGATTAAAGACAAAAGCTCAGCTGTGTATTCTGCTGCACTGACAGACAACAGTAATTATAACGATATGAGCATCCACACTGATGAACACAGACGAGGTTGGAGATGAACTGTCATCTTAACATCAACGTTGTTAATGTTGTCGTGTTAGAAACGCCGTGTTTACGCCGTACAGACTGAACCACGAGCGTTGTGTTAGGATTTACACACTCTGGGAGCCGGAGGCTGAGTTTAAGTCTGGATGGAGGCTGAAATGGAAAATATGTGTTTACAAATTCAACCGGTTTAATGTGAACACGCTGAGGACGATGTGGGGCTCATTAAGACTGTTAGAGGTAACTTAAAGAGCTACGATCCTTTATGGGGTTCTAGTTTCCATGGAGGAGTTTTATGGGTCTTAAAGTTGTTCTAGGGGTCATTTAGGCAGTTGTGCTGACCACTGAGGAGGTTGTAGGGGGTCATTGAAGATGTTTAGAGGTGATACAAGGGATCCTGTAAAACGTTCTAGTGTCTGTTGAGGAGGTTCTGGGGTCCTATAAGAAGTTCTAGTGTTCATTAAAGAGGTTCTGGAGGTTCTTTGGGCAGCAGAATAAGAGAATGTGGATGTAAAGCAGCAGATTTAGTTTATTTTATGTAGCATTTAATGTAAGTGACGGTGAGCAGTGACGGTGGACAGCAGTGTTCCTCTCTGTCGGGTTCTGTCGGGTTGTTTTCAGTCTGATTCTGGCAAACACTGACTGGAGTCCTGAGAGGTGACTCAGTGTGAACAGAAACCCCCGACCGCCCCCTCACAGCTGACTCATCACTGATTGTGTCACTGTGTGTGTGTGTGTGTGTGTGTGTGTGGAAACGCCTGCGTGGTGACGACAGCGGGCGTTGCCCGAAGAGGCGGAGCTTAATCACCTCAACAAAGCTGCTATAGGCTTCTCTCAGTGAGGTCACTTACTGAGGTCCAAAAGTTAGACTGCATTAATCAATTAATCTATTGAAAGAAATTAAACTGTCATTTTGATAATTGATCCTGTCAATGTCAAACATTTGCTGCTTCCAGCTTCTTAAATTCAAGCAGTGACTGTCTGTTGGACAGAAGAAGCAACATGAAGACGTCAGTTTGGGCTCTGGGGAATCATGATGAGCATTTTTAACAATATTTTGACATTTAATTAACAATTAATCCTAAAAATAACCAACAGATTAATCAATAATGAAAAGATTGGTTAGTTGCAGCCCTAGCTCTATCTCAGCTACCATAAACTGTATGAAATGATAAAATAACCATCAACAAATAGGAAAATATATCTTTACTACTTTTTAGTGGACCGAATTCTGTTGGAAAATGTTGTTTTTTTAATTTCTGTTACATTGAAAACAAATCTAATCTGATTGGCAATGATCAGATTCACGAGATGGAAAGACTTCTGATTGAGGAATGATTTAGAGAAGATTGGATTGAAGGATTGAATGGATATTATGTGAATACAGCTGTTGGTTTGTGCCCCCAGCTGCATAAAGAGCTGCTGTAAGTAATAATATGTGATGTTTGCTGCTGTTAGTGGGTCCATAGAGGAACAGGCACAATAACAGTCAAACAAATAGCAAACACTGACCTGTAAAACAAGAATTTCACTGCAGGAATCTAAATATTGGTGCTGCAATCGAGCGACGATAAGCTGCCGTAAACACAGCAGATACTTAGGATTTTTGTGGCTGAGCGAGAGCCAGAAGTTCCAGGATGAGTCACAGTGAAGATATTCAGAAGTCTTTATTTATTTGATTGTAATGTAAAATATGCAGACTTGTTATTTCAGCCACAACAGCAGACTCACCTCGCATTCACCGTTATAAAGTGTTGTTGTGGTTGACTCTGTTAATAATGAGGACAGTGCAGCAACTGCAGAGGTCAGAGGTCAGGTTCTCATTAACTGCCCTGTTGTTCTGACTTCTGTTGCTCTGATTTTAGTTTTAAAAAAACCTTGTTATCTCACTGATGCATTGCACGTTGTTAGCAGCTCTGTTGAAAAGGAAAGTGTCCACATTAGTGTTAGATCCTAAATTAGGACTAAAACTAACAACCACAAACACAAGAGTGAACGTGACACTGTTGAGATCTCTTCAGACTTCCTGTTTTGTCTGACCAGCAGAGATTCGGAAGGTTTTATATTTTATAATCATTATTTTAGTTTCACATTTGTAAAGTTACCATAAAATATACAATTAACTGATTAGTACACATATAATCAGGGTTACTTTAAATCTGATACCGATACAATTACTGATTATCAGTTACTTTTAGATTATCTCAACACTAAATATGTAAATAAAAACTAGAGAAAATATCAATAAGATAACTTTTACTTGATTAGTGTTATTAAAGAAACACTTTCTATATTCTGCAGTTGGTTTTATTAATGATGTTTTCTGTCTGAAACTCCAGCGTGTGTGTGTGTGTGTGTGTGTGTGTGTGTGTGTGTGTGTGTGTGTTATAATCAGTTGTTCTTCACTTTCTGACTGGAACAATTCAAATGTTATAAAGTGGATTAAAACATTGTTTCTCCTTCCACCTGCTCAACTACTCCCACTGCTGTAGTACTAGTTAATGAGCTGCACTACTAGTTAATGTGCTGCACTACTAGTTAATGAGCTGTAGTACTAGTTAATGAGCTGCACTACTAGTTAATGTGCTGCACTACTAGTTAATGGGCTGCACTACTAGTCAATGAGCTGTAGTACTAGTTATATTAGTGTTTGTATCAGTTGACTGACTGCAGTCCGGTGTTACATGTCTACAGACTCAAATACCCAGAATGCCACTGATGTGTCAGTGTAGTCGCTCTAGCAGGAGCAGGACCTCTGCCTTCCCCCTCCCCCACCAGTAGATGGCTGTAGCACTTTTGTTGTAACCCCCCCCCCCGTGGCTCTGTAGCCGTGGTAACAAGGAGGAGTCGTCGTCGAACCAGTATTTCAGGTTTAAGAAGTTCACTGAGTCACCAGTTTCCTTTTCCTTGGGGCAGACGCACCGATCTGTCCGTCAACCCCCCCCTGTTTCCACTTCAGTCTGCAGCGTCTTTATAAAACCACTGACCTCTCTGCTGACTGTGACTGTAAGTAGGGACCCTGCAACAGCTGATTCCTCACCACAGTGTGCACACTGGAAGATGTTTACACACTGGGGCTCAAACTACAACCCCAGTAATTGTAAAAGATTAAAAAAAGAAATAAAAAGGAAAAAAAAAAAAAAAAAAAATAAAAAAAATATTTTTTTAAAATTAAAAAAAAAGGAGGCTCAAACTACTCAGGAGGACGTAATTATTAGTTTATATTATTCTTGTGCAAAACGATTGAAGGACTTTGAAAGAAACGAAAGAAAGAATGAACATTAGAAGAGCCAGAAGTGTTGGTGGTGTTGTTGTGAACAACAGTGATGTCAGTTAGATTTGGTTATAACAGATATGTAGAATCAGAATATTAAATCATCCATCTTTGCTCACTACATCTCAGCCTGTATTACCTCCAGGAGTGAATAAACTACAGGTTATACACTTCTTTTACATTATTGACCACGAGAAGAACATAATTATCGGTTATCTGTAACTGCAGTTGTGACTCCAAACGGGAACTACAGTTTTCATTTATTCAGAACAGAAAGTACAAAGACTTCAGATTTGTAAAGTAAATGAGTACTGAGAAGCTACGGATGGAAATGTGAGAGAGCATCGAGTGAGTAACCAGCACAAAACAAAGTGAAACTGACAGATTTCAGCGTGCAGCTGTCGCCTCTGATTTGTTTTTTCCTCTCACTTTGAGAATCCGAGGGCGAACCCGTCGGCCACTTTAAACCGCTCCTGTGAAGTCTGTCCACCCACACAGGTGTTTTTATCTGCTCCACTCACGAGATACGAGGCTGAAACTCTGCTGGGAAACACATGAAAGATTGATAACGTACGAAAAGTGACATTTTATTTTATGTTAATTCCCTTTTTAGTCAGTGCCTGCTGGGGTTGTCTGTCTGAGCCCTTCCCTCCGGTCCAGGACTCTGCATACAGTCGGGTTATAATCCAAACCATTCGCTGCTGGTTTCAGAAGTACTGGCCAGAATCTGGGAGCTGCTCGCCAACTCAAAATGTTTTGCTTCTGCCATTTTGGCACCAGTCGGGCTAATCAGGAAATTCTCAGCATATTTCAGGGAAGACGTCACCTTTCTGCGCTCATGAGGCTGAAACCATGACAAACATTTTATCTTCTTCATCTCTGAAGGGGAGAAGTTGTTTTTCAGAAAGAGACACCAACAGTAAGGATGCTGGGGTCAGGTCAGATACTGATAATAATCTTTTATTTGTTAACTTTTAATGATCTGACGTACGAGCAGCTTCTGATGGAAATATCAGTCAGTTTACCACACTGACAAATCTTCCATGAAATGGGGTTCAGACTTTCACAGAAGGGTCTATAAAGGTCTAACATCCAATAATCTGAATATTAGCCTTTAAAATGCCTGAAATATGAAAAGAATAAACTTGTTTATAAAGTGTTTTGGTCGGTACTTCTGTTCCTCGGCTACAAAACTAAACCAACTTGGAACAAATATTTTCCTTCATATTCTTCACAGGTTTCTGCAGTATGGATCTAAACTAGGCCTTTAATGTGTTCACCTGTGTCCATCTGCATTTATGTTCTCCTCAGGATGAACTCTAAGAACTTTATTGATCCTCTGACCTCTGACCTTTCATCTAGTGCCCAAAGGCACTGCTAACAGTTGCTAACAGCAGCTGTTAGTCACATCCTGAGACACTACAATCAGGGTTTCTACTGTCAAAGCTTGTAGGAGAACTTGAAACAACAGGTTGTTTCCACCTGTTGAACACCTGAGTGCTCTTCACCTGAGTGCAGGTGTTGTGTTGGAGCCTCAGTGACGGCGTGGTGATCAGCTGATGGAAGAAGTTGCGGGTTGAGATCCGATGGGTCGCGCTGCCTACAGAGCGGACAGATGTGATCTGCTGAGTGCTCTGAGGAAGCTCTTTGTTATCTGCATTATATAAACCCTGCAGCTGATTCTATTAACAGCTTTCTACTCCAACCAGCTCTCCTCACTCTGTGCATTCAGCCACAGCGCCCCCTGCAGCTGGAGAACTGCACCTGCACCCACTGAAATAGAAATGCAGTCATAGTTCGACAGCTGGCTTTGTTACTCAGCTCTCCCAAATAACCTCATTTAATGATGCAAATATCTAAATTAAGACATTGTGAGCTACAACTGGAATTGTTGAGTAAATAGTTTAGAGCTAAAAATATCAGATTAATCTGTTCTTACATTAATAATCCACCATTGTTTTTTTTTTATTGATGCAGAAATAAGAAACATTCACTGGTTTCTGTATGATTGTAAACTGAATATGTTTGGTTTGAATCTTTGTGCTGTGACAGATTGTTACAGTTATAGACGCAATTATAAGCACAAAGAAAATTAATAATTTTTAGTTGCAGCCTTTAATATGTATAATATGTAATTTCTGCTGGTATGGGGTCTCTACAATCAAAACAGTCACAAAAGAGGGAAGTTTGAGGAGGTAGTGAAGTGGTGTGGGATCATGAGAGAGAGACAGAGAGAATTGATCAGGGATCAATACAGAATCAACAATGATATTGGTTATCCATAAAATCTTATCCAGACGCTGCAGCAGGTTTGGGGTTTGAACTCTCGTTGTTTGTGACATTGTGTTGATAATTGATCTCATTGTTTGTGTTTGTCCCTCCAGCTGCAGGAGACGGTGAAGAGGAAGCTGGAGAGTGCTAGTTCTCCTCTGGGCAGAGATCAGGTCAACGGTTTCAGCGACGGTTTCCCCCCCAACAAAAAGGCCTGCTTGGACAACGGCACCGCCAACGGTTCCCCACTGGACTCCAAGCTGGGGATCAGCGACGCACTGAACTCTAACGGCACCCACGGGTCGACGGGTGAGTCGGCGGATGGCAGGGAGTCGGGGTCCGACTTCCATCGGAAGGAGATGAAGCAGGAGCCCGACGACATCCTGCCCATCATGCCGCCGTCGGGAGGAGGCAACAACAGCCTGTTCCCCGACCTCAACCTGAACGAGCAGGAGTGGACGGAGCTGATGGAGGAGCTCAACTGTTCTGTGGCCTACGAGGACATCCAGGACATCCTCAACGACAGCTTCGAGGACCGCAAAGACCCTCTGGAGCTTGCGCCGCCTCCCGGTGGTGCTGTGTCGGTGGGAGGAGGAGCAGGAGCAGGAGGAGGTGGCGGGGGAGGCCAGTCGTCCCAGGGTCTGCTCCCTCCGGATCTGGTCAGCGTGAAGTCGGAGTTCTCCCCGGCCTCCGTGGCCTTCGAGCAGGACTCTCGCACCGGCTCCCCCCACGTCAGGTCCACCTCCTCCGGGCCTCCTCCTCACCCCACCAGCTCACCTGTCGCCTCCTCCTCCGCCTCTTCCCCGGCCCTGCCCCCGTCCCAGCCTGCTCCTCCCCCAGGCAGCTTCAGCCTCCCCCCAACCACCATCTCCCTCCAGGCCCCCCGGTGCCCAAGGACCTGTCCCCCGCCCAGCAGCTCCAGCAGCTGGCCGCCCAGCAGCAGAGAGCCCAGCACCTTCACGGCCAGATGCAGCAGCACAAACAGCCACAGCCGGGGGCCAAGTTCCACAACCAGGGGCCCCATGCCCACCCCCCGCCTTGGCCCCAGATGGCCAACACCTCTCAGAGCTCACTAGGGGGCGCGTTTGGTATGGACAAGCCGACGAGCCCCTCCCTGTACCCACAGGACTTCAACCCCAACGCCCAGAAGCAGCTTCTGATGCCCGGTCAGCCCAACAAAGGCTCTCCTAAGGCGGGGGCCGGCAGCTACATGGGGCCGGGGCCCGCCGGACACCCCAACATGCTGAGTCACCCGACTCCAGGGCCACCTCTCAGCCACCCGCCGGCGCCGGGGTCTCAAGCCTCGGCCGCCATGCTGAACTACAACAACACCAAACCTCTGTCGCACTTTGAGGCGGGGCCCGGACCGCCGCGGCTCCCCAACGCTCAGAACCAGAATAAGGCGGCGCTGCTGACGCTGCTCAGACAGCAGCAGCAGCAGATCAAACAGAAGCAGAACAGCATGAACTTCCGCCAGCACATCCCACACACACAGGTAAGACTCACTGTGACACAGGTAACTGCTGCTGGGTTGCTCAACAGCACTTCAGCAGCTTCCAACCAGGGCTGCACGTTACGGTAAACGTTTGATGGTTTCAACATCTGTAATGACCTGTAACACAGTCAGACACAGTGAAAGGTACGGTGGTCAGTGAGGGTCACATTAGTCTCAGCAGGTCACAGATGTAAACCACTAATTGACCCTCGTTGGGGGTTAATTGATCTTTCATAACATTACATTGGCTTTATTTTATATTAACTGTTATATTTAACTGTAATAATTAAATGTATAAGTTTGGAAATAGATGGACTTTATTAATCCCTGAAGGGAAACTGGGTCGTCATAGCAGCCAGGTACATTTAAATAGAATAAAATACAATAGAATAAAATACTGAGGTAGAAAAGATAAATAGATAGATAAGGTGCAAAGAAGTTGTAGAAACTGACATTTTGTGTGTATACAGACCTTTTATAATGTCAATGTTAATCATTTACACATTCAAAAGGTTTTAATTTGTTCTGTAGTTTAAATAAAAGATTAAATTAAATCCTATTTTTACATTAATTCATTAGAATAATAAACTCTGAGTGCTGTTAATAAATATAATGTCAGCATTTAAATATCTGTGTGGAATAAGAATAGTTGAATAGTTTCTCACATCTTATAATAAAACTATAAAATGTCTCAGACTATAACATTACGAAACCAGGAAGTGATTCTGTGTTAATCTGTTAGCGCTGTTAGCATCCGTGCTAACATCACTACAACAGTAAGAACTGTACAAACTGATCAGAGAGTTCTGCTCTGCTTTCATAACCGGGCCAGCAGCACATTCCTGGACCCACACACACACACACACACAGAGAGTACACACACACAGAGTAACACACACAGAGTAACCACACACACACAGAGTAACACACACACACAGAGTAACACACACACACACTCACACTCACACTCACTCACACCACACACACACACCACACCCCACACCAACACACACACACACACACACTCACTCACTCACTCACACACTCACACTCACACACACACACACACACACACACAGTCACACACACACACACACACACACAGAGTAACACACACACACACACACACACACACACACACACACACACACACACACACACACACACACAGAGTAACACACACACACTCTCTCTCACTCACACACACACACACACACACACACTCACACACACACACACACTCACACACAGAGTACACACACACACACACACACACACACACACACACACACACACACACACACTCTCTCACACACTCTCTGTATAGAACAGACTTCCTGGCTCATGTTGGATGGTTACCATTAGCAGTGAATGTGATCTATAGTGGCTTCAGAAGGTATCTAATTAATAAACCCGAACCCGGTTCTACAGTCGCACACAGCTGTAAAGTACTGATGAACAATGAGAGTCTGTCTGAGAGGCTCCGACTGTCGGCTGCAGCTGCTTCAGAAAATTCTCAAAAGACAGAAAAAGAACCGTGTTGGTGGAAAAACATTCATCGTTAGATTTTATATTTTAGATTCAGTGAATGCAGACTGGACGTATGGGGGTGTTACCATGTCCTGGTAACGCCCCCTACAGGCACCAGACCGCCGTCACCCAGTTGGATCCAATCCAATCAGAGCTTTGTAGGCAGGATTTAAGAGTGACGATGTCATCTTCAGGGACTTGGAGCTTCGAGTGAACCCAGACCAGGAGGGAACACAGTACAGCTAGCTGAACAACTAACCATGGTAACAGCGTAGGTACTAGATGTGCTCGCTCTGCCAGATTAGTCATTTCTCCATCAGGAAACTCTGTAAATGAGCTCAGCACTGTATCAGTCAGTCTCGGTCCAGCTGTGTTCACTGGGAGGTTCCTGAGCCCGGCTCCTGAGCCCACAGATATTCTGTCCGTAAAATATTAATCTAGTTTCATCCAAATCTGTGAATACGGTTATAAAATGGTGTTTTTATACATTAATAAACACTGCCAGAGTTCCCACGTTCCTGGAAAACCTGGAAATTTAGAGACTAGTTTTGCAGTCATGGAAACACCTGGAAATGGATTAAAATGATCAAATATCCTGGAAATAATCTGTGTTGTCCTGGAAAATGTAAATTGTATTTTAGCCCCTGACCCAGATCGCCGACATAAACCGTATTTAGTTTGAAACTTTAATAACTTTTATTTTAAATGAAGAATTTTGGGGTGTCCTTTTTATTAAAATGTGAGTTTTTACTTTAAAGTGCAAGAGATGAGAAGAGTTGAAGTGTCAGTTGTAAGCAAATGAGACAGCTGAAAGACTGCTGATGCAAAACATTCTCACAAACAACGGAGGGACGATTCTCGTTTGTCCAGAGGGGGCGCCAGAGTGAAAGGTTTCATATCGGTCTCACTGTTAGATTCAGAAACTGTCCTGATGGAGGAGGGGATCCTTTAAAACCATTAGGAGTCAATCAAACCGTCCTGTAGCTGTACTGGTCCGAGTCCAACAGGTGCAGCTGAAGACCAGTACAGAGAGTGGAGGTGAAGTCGGGTTGCAGCAGGGAGGCCTTTTGTTCAGCTGCTCTGCTTCAGACCAGCCTGGGCCCCACGCGTTAGAGTGTGTGTGAGTGTGAGTGAGTGTGTGTGAGTGTGTGTGTGTGTGTGTGTGTGTGTGTGTGTGTGTGTGTGTGTGTGTGTGTGTCAGCTGGTTGCTAAGGCTCACACGGGGGGGGTTTGGAGGAAGGCGATGACAAAGCAGCCTTTCATATTCCCTCTGTCTGTATTTAAATATAGCTGCTGCTGACGGGACGCTCTGTTCCTGCTGCACTTTATTATCACTGAAACTTCCACTAACTTCAGTTTTTGTCCTTTAAGGCTTCCATACATTTACTCCAGAGTTTCTATTTCTGTAACTTTATATTCAACTACAGAACAACCAGGATTATTAGAGTTCACTAAAACTAACAACTACTAACTGGGTGTAAAAACATTAAAACAATACTGGGTACTTAATAAAAGAAATACAATAATAATATGCAGGACATGTTTTTAGTTTTTGTCCATTTTCAACACAACAGAGTAATGTTTGTTCCTCTATTAAACCCTGACAAATATTATTTATTTGTTATTATAAATTGTGATTTTTATTTTTTTTAAGATTAAGTAATAAGAATATGAATAAATGTTATTACAGAACAAATATATAAAGTATTTTACTTCTAAGTGTAAAATTATGAATAAAAGTACAGAAAATAAATTAATGTAGTAAAATAAACACATTAATAAAAAATACACAATAATTCAATAATATGCTTTAAAAATGCAGATTCTCATCATAATTCATGTTTTTTTTCTTTTATCACTACAGAAGTCTAAATTCAGTCTTTATGACATAAATTATAACAATAATAAATAGATTTCTGGTTGAAAGTGAACAGTTTAAAATCCAATAAATCTGATTTTATTTTGTCCTCCTTTAGAAAAGAAAATGTTCTGGAACGATGTCAAAGTCAGAATTTAATATTTTCAGTGAGAAGTTCGGGGGAATAGTTTTTTAAAAGTATAATTTTTCCAGTTATTTAAATACATTTGTTCTAATAAATGTATTTTCTAAACTTTATAAAGGCAGATTCAGGTCCTGGAGTGGTAGTAACGATGCCCCGTGCTGGAAACACTAATAACTGCGTCTCCTCCTGTCTATGTTTCTGTCAGGACCAGAACAACTACCCTGCTCCCCCACACGGCCCGGGCCCCGCCAACACCATGGCGCCTGCGCCCGGAAGCAACGCCATGACAGCCCAGCCGGGGGCCAACGCAGGTATGGCAGGTAACCACGGTAACGCTGCGTACCTGAGCAGCCAGGCGGCGGCGGTGGCCGCGGCACTGAAACAGCAGCAGCAGCATCAACATCAACAGCAGATCCTGGAACAGCAGAAACAGCAGCAGCAGCAGTACATGCAGAGACAGCAGCTGATGGCTGAACAGGTACAGTAACCGACCACAGGATGAACATCATTCATTCACCTGATTGCCACACGCAGCGTTCACCTGGTCACCACATACAGCGTTCACCTGGTCACCAGAGCACACAGGTGTTGAAACATGTCAAACTCCAATTAATTCCTACAAGATTCAGTGTTTTGTCCCCCGTTCTCCCCCGTTTTCCCCCTGTACGGGTTCTCAATCTCTCTGAAGTGATGACATTAGATATCAGAGGTTTCTAAAGTGGGCTGATATGGGGCTCATTTATTTATTTCCAGTGTAAACTGGTTCCAGTACTTATCTTACAGTTGGGACACGTTGGAAGCTCCTACCGTGTTTTTAATCTTTATTCTAATAATATTTGTAATGAAACGATCCAGTTCTTCTATTCTTTGTTGCGTCCTGGAAGGCGTCATATTAACTAGATATGTCCTCTGTTGATCCCTCATTTGGAAATAAACAAGCAATAAATACAAAAATACAATTAAAGTTAATAAGAACAAGAAAAAGAAACAAAGAGAATATACATTGATTTCTCTGGGTGTAAAGGAATTCTATAATCTTCATATTTTCATTTATAGCCACAGTTTACTTTTTATAGCTTCTGGAGTCTGAAAATGTTTCTTTTAGGAACCTTAAAAGTGCTTAAATTTTAAGCTACATGAACCTTTTTATTTAAGGTCACTGTACCAATAAACTGATATCTGTCAAAATAAGGTTCATCATCTTCCCTCCATTCACTGATTGTAAAGTCAAACAGGTTTGTAAATTTCATTAAACGGCTCATAAACAACACTTTTATTGTTCTGATGTTTTATGTTGAAACCTTCAGTCAGACACTAGAGGGCGCTGAATGTAAAGAGCTGCAGTGTTTATAATAATGTGCAGTTGTTCACAGTATGAAGAATATGTAAATATCTGTTAATGTATCCAACATCCAGTTATTGATGTGTGTGTGTGTGTGTGCAGGAGAAACAGCGGCAGCAGGACCAGCAGCTGCAGAGACACCTGACCCGACCTCCCCCGCAGTACCAGGACCAGCCGGGACAACCGGCCAATCAGAACCCTTTCCCACAGCCGCCAGTCAACCAGTTTACAGGTAGGACGACAGGAAGTCACCTTTTTTTTATTATTATTATTTATTTTATTTGAACAGGGACAGTGCACAATAAAACATTAACCCTGCATATAACAAGGAGAGATGCATTGTACCGGGATTTAGCAAGTTGCTATTTCACAGTTGTGCAAAATTTCAATTACAAAGTTATGAATACACACATTCCCACATCATTAAAACAATTTACCCCCCTCCCGCCAACTTTTATAAATAAATATGCCCCCCCTCATCAAATACACCCCCCCCACTCAAACACACACACACACACACACACACACAAGTTTTCTGTGACAGCATCCAACGTTTTGTGTGACAATGAAAATGTTTTAAAATCCGCACATGTAATCAGCTCTGTTGGAAGTGTTGCATTGATTTGTGGTAACAAAAGAAAAAGATGTTTTACCAAATGCACTCTCCCCTGGTAACTGAGCGGGTAGCTCTTGTTGTTGTTTCTGAGCAGAGTGTAACCATTTTCTTCAAAGGAGGAGCAGTAGCATTATGAATGATTTTAAACTGTAGGCATACGTTTGTGTGCATTATTAGATTTTAAAGATTTAAAATACCATATTTGGTGAGTATATGACAGTGATGATATTGACGTGTTTTTTTGTCGTGAATCTTAAGGGCACTTTTATATAATGATTCAAGTGGTTTTAAGGCTGTTTTACATGCCTGAGACCAACTTGTCATGCAATAGAAAAGATGTGGGAGAATTATTGCATTTAAATATGTATGTGATGCTTCAACAGTAAGAGAGTTTCTTATGGTTTCTGTTGTTCATGAGGTTAAATTTCAGTGTGTTACTCAGCTTTTTAACATGATTTTTAAAACTAAGTGTTGGATCAAGGGTAACCCCTAAGTATTTAAATTCATCCACATTTTTGATTTTTTTTGCCCATTTACTAAGATTTCAGGACAATCCCTGAGTTTACTCCTGTTTGTAAAGAACATGGTTACAGTCTTTTCAACGTTTAAGGTCAAACACGAGTTATTTAGCCATTCAACAACCTTCTGCATTTCCTTAGTTAATTTCATTGCAACCTCAGTTGCATTTTTCCCGTGAGTATATAACACAGTATCATCAGCATACATTATTAAATCGACATCATTACACACAGATGGAAGGTCGTTAATATATATGCTGAAAAGCAGTGGCCCTAAAATTGACCCTTATGGCACTCCCAGGGTGCATGCTTTAAATGGGGATAGAGTATTGTTCACCCGCACACACTGATGTCGGCCACTCAGGTAAGATTTAATCCAATTTTGTGTGTCTATGGAAAGCTCATAATTTGCCAGTTTGTTTAATAGTATGTCATGTTCAACCTGTCAAAAGCCTTACGCAAATCAAGAAAAACTTCTGCTGTGACGCTACTGTGACGCTCACAGCGAGCAGATCTCACAGATACAAACACCTGATGGAAAACAAACATATATCACTTCCTCCTGAAGGAATCCTTCCACTGAAATCAAATATATCATCTATAAAATATTCACTGTTAGGTTGAACTCGATTCTCCTGCAGAAGATTTCATTCTTTATTTCAGGTTTAACATCAGTTTCAGTTTAATCTGTTAATGGTGAACAACAGCCTAAACCTCCAGGTGTTAGTAGCAGCACTACAGGACAGGAGACGCCTTCAGGTTACAGAGCAGGAATTCACTGGTTGAGTTTTTATTTCAGGAAGATGAGCCGACTGTTCGCTGACAGTTCAGAGACAAACAGCGACTGTCTGCAGAAAACCTTCCTCATATAAACACCCAGTACGAAACAATATAACAATAACTTCACTCTGTTAAGATGATTATTGGTTCCTTTAAAATATCACATTCAGACAATGGTTGGTTTATTGTTCACACTCAACAAACCTGATCTCTTCTCATCAGCTGTTTACATTCATTTGCAGGATCTTTACTATTATTAAATACATTTTATAAAATATAATTTTATAGTTGGATTCTATATGAATTAGTAGTTTACATTGATGTAAAACAACTTTCTGGCCACATTATGATGTTTCTGCTGGAGGACGGAGGCAGTTTGAGACGCTGCATTACCACAGTGATGAAGGAAAGTTAGTACATACAGTTTTATTTTAGAGCTCATTGAACCCAGAATGCATCTGTGCTGTGTGACTTTTATCAGTTTGATTAACATACTGGTGGAGCCGGTTGTTATTGTTGTCGGGACGTTGAGGACAAACACTGTCTGTCTGCTCGCCGCTGATTTGAATGTTAAATAACAGACTGAACAGTTCTGATGAACCGTCTGTCCTCAGCGGTCTCCAAATGTCTGCAGCTCCGACCGACTGCTGAAACAATCATTAACAGTTTCCACTGCTGCCGGATTAACAACGACTCAAACACTTAACAGGATCAATTGATTAGATTGACAATCAGCAACTGAGCTGAAATATTTCTTTCTATAAAACCACAGTTCCTCCAGTTTAATGTGACGTAATAAACTGAATATGTTTGAGCTTCTGGAGACATCAATCATTAATTCATAATAAATAATGTTCTTTACAAACTTTGTCTTTTTTCTTCACAGCGTCCTCTCAGCCAATGGGGGGCGTTGGCTCTATGGGAGGCCCCGCCCCCGGGTCCCAGCGCATGTTCCCTCAGAACCAGGGCATGATGGGTATGAACATGGGTCAGGGCGGTGGGCCGGCAGGAGGCGTAGCTCCGCCCCCGGCAGCGAGTCAGGCTGACATCAGTCTGTCGTCCTGCGGGGGCGGAGGGGGCGGGGGCGGCGTGGACGTCCAGCAGGTGCTCTACAACAACATGAACCTTCACCCCAACCACCCGACGCTCGCCGCCCACCCGACGCAGCAGCCCAGCCTTCAGCGCCAGCCTCTGGGCCCAATGAGCGCCGCCTACAGGCAGAACCTTCTGGCTCAGCAGCAGCAGCACCTGAAGGCGCAGCCCAACGCCGCCATGTTGAAGCAGCAGCAGCTGGCAGCCGCCGCCGCCGCCCGCATGCCGGGCTCCATGCAGAACAGTATGGGAGCCAACCTGCCCGGCAGCATGCAGGGCGCCCAGAGCGCCGCCTGGCAGCAGCAGCTCGCCAACCAGCCGCCCTCCAGTAACGCTGGCCTGCCCCCCAACGCCTTCAACAACCCCCCCAACGCCTTCCACATGCAGCAGCAGCCTCGCATTCCCAAGATGCCGCCTGGCGCCGCACCCTTTGGTGCAAACCCCGGCGGGCGTCCGATGGGCGGACTGAACCCCGTGCAGCAGATGATGCAGACGAACATGGCTGCCCAGCAGAGGGCGCCGCCCAACCCTCAAAGCCTCGGCCCTCCGATGGCCAATCAGCAACAGACTCAACAACAGCAGGCCAATCAGAACCAGGCCGTCCTCCCTGACCTGGCGGCGTTCGGACCGCCGCAGGGCAACGGCCGCCAGGGACTGCAGTGTAACCAGGGATACCAGGTGAGCAGGACTGCCAGCCAGCAGCAGCAGCAGGTGTCGTTTGGATACAACGTGGCGTCGGGGAGCTTCGCCGGGGAGAGCGAGCTGGTGGACTCCCTGCTGAAGGGCCAGAGCACGCAGGAGTGGATGGCCGACCTGGACGAACTGCTCGCCGGCCACCACTAGTCGGACTCACCTGCCTGCACCTGCTGAGCTGAGAGGCCGCACTGAAACCCGGGAGACGAGTCGCTGGTGACTTTCTGCAGCAGCCGTGTTTAAAAAAAAAAAACAGCGACACGATGTTTGTCTGTTAGCATTAGCCACGCAGCTAACGATGAGAGCTCGTCTCGCTGGCTGTAAAATAACGAAGGTCGTCCGATCTCCCGCCGTTTGCTCAGAGACACTTCAGCAGACGGAGGATCGAACCCTCTGTCAGCTGACACCCAACCACTGACCCACTGGTGAGGAATAAAACCAGTTGAGTCGCTGCTCGGTGCAGATTACACACCTGAACAGAAACACCTTTATTTCTCCGTCTGCTAAATTAAAGTTAATAAAGTTATCAGGACGCTTTTATTCAACCACAGAGGAAGAAATACAGACGGCTACCTCGGTAGAACCGTTATTGATGATTGATCGAGGTCTAAATTATATCAGACATCAATCAAACTGACCCTTCCTAAGCCCCGCCCCCTTTTGCTCTGTGCTCCAATCACGGTCTACTTCCTGCTTTCCTGTGCTTGGATATGCTACATGCTAAGCTAATCTATGTTGAAAAGAAGACCCCAGTTTGAAGACGATTAAAAGATAAAAGAGACATTAGAGTAAATATCGAATTATATATTGAACGAGCTAATCATCAGTTGTTAGCATGTTAGCTACTTATAGCTAATGTTAGCAAAATGGAAGCTAACTAGCTAACAGTCGATTAGCTAGCCTGCGCGTAGCAGATCTTGCTCATCGGAGCGTGGAGCAGAAAGGGGCGGGGCCTAGGAAGAATCTTAAACCTGATTGGAGGATTGATTGTGTTGATGACTTTATTGATCTGTGTGTTCTAGCAGGTGTGTGTGTGTGTGAGCCCGAGCTGCTCGTCAGATGATCAGTGTGTATTTGTTGTGTTACACACTGTTTGTGGACGACTGGAGGCTGAACGGAGGAGTCGTATTAAGACTACTGAACCACTGCACCCGCCCCACAGCGCCACCTACAGACCGTCACTTCCTTCTGTCTGTTGGTGAAATGTTACTGAAACTTTAACACACATTAGAATTATGTGATCGAGTCGTTTTAAAGTTGTCTCTGCACATTTTACTCCGTTGACTACGAATACTTTATATTCCCTTCTTCTATAAAACCCGATCATGTTTCAGTTTAATGTCCGAGTGCTATAAATTCACCACGACACGCTACTGTGAGCAGATTAAAGGCAGACACGATGCCGGAGATCATTTTCATATCTTATGGAAATATCTGCCATTACGCTGCCGAGAGGACGAATATTTAAATATGTGACACAGCGCAGCGTGTTTGCTTTAGGAAAATGAGCCGCAGTCATGTAAAGTGATTTTATGATGAGAGGGGATGAAGGGTCGCGGTCAACCGAGCGTTTCTGATCACGATAATTAAACTTCAGTCGGAGTTCATCTGCAGAAAGACTGAATTATTGATTAAGTTTCAGTAAAGCAGTAAAATGTTCCTCTCGTCGTTCTGAAGGAACCGCAGAGACACGGGAGCGACTGTACGTCTCCTACAAGCATTAATCCGTCTCCACTACATTTCAGCTGCAGTTCTTCCTGTAAGAGGGTCCACTGGAGCTCCTGGGCCCGTTTCCCTCTCGCAGTGTTTAAAACATCTTGCTGTAGATTTAAAGCAGCAACAGGAAACAGGTTTCAGTCTGTTATAAAGACGGTTGCACACGTAGCACCTTGTTCTATAAACCGGTTCCACCAAAAGTAAATGTGAACGTTGGGTTCTCAGCAGGAAGAAAAGCACATGAAGTAAAGCGTCCTGGATCCCAGTGGTTCTGTACAGAGAACAAAGTCCTGATGAGTTCTTATTGGTTAGAAAGAGGAATTCAGTGGGTTTCACTCTGCAGGTTAAAACTCAGAGTTCTTCATTGAATTGAAGGTAAAAGAGACTTTGGACCTTCACTGTAAACTTTGAGACGCAGTTTTCGGCTCCTGATGTTTCCTGATGTGTTGAAGCTACTTCCTGTTGGCTCCGACCGCCGGCGGTGAATCTGACGCTGAATATGACCTCGTTGTGTCCACATAGTTTTCAGTATATAAAGTAGTCAGACCTTCGCTTCACGTCCGACTCGCCGCCCGTCGTCCGACCTGCTCCGACGTCTGCAGCCTTTAAGGTGGAACTGTGGCCTGCTGGTCCTGTTGTTAAGGTGGAACTGTGATCTACTGTACTGTTTGTGTTTGCAGACCTGTTGTTGTTTTTATTATTATTAACCGTCTGCTCGGCGCCGGTTTCACCGTTTCATGCCCATCGCTGCCGATCTCCCGACGAACCTTCAGCTTCCAGCGTCGTTCAGTTCTCTGTGTTCAACTGTGTAAATGTATAAATATATTTTTTGTATGTAAGCCTTTCCTAATGATCTGGAGAAGATAGAGGTTATTTTTATATATTGCAGCGGAGTTTTTGTAAGTATTTTATACTTTTGATATGGTTCTCTGTAAAACAAGAGTATTATGTAAATATAGTTCTTTAGAAACACGTTGGTCTGATTCTGTTTGTACACATTAACACTTTATTATATTTACATTATTATATTTACATTATATTTATTATATTTACATTATTACATTAACTTTATTATATTTACATTATTATATTTATTATATTTACATTATTATATTTATTATATTTACATTATATTTATTATATTTACATTATATTTATTATATTTACATTATTATATTTATTATATTTACATTATTATATTTATTATATTTACATTATTATATTTACATTATATTATATTTACATTATTATATAACTTTATATTTACATTATTATATTTACATTATATTTTTATATTTACATTATTATATTTACATTATTATATAACTTTATATTTACATTATTATATTTACATTATATTTATTATATTTACATTATTATATTTACATTATTTAACTTAATATTTACATTATTATATTTATTATATTTACATTATTATATTATGTTTACATTATTATATTTACATTATATTATATTTACATTATTATATAACTTTATATTTACATTATTATATTTATTATATTTACATTATTATATTTATATTTACATTATTATATTTACATTATTTAACTTTATATTTACATTATTATATAACTTTATTATATTTACATTATTATATAACTTTATATTTACATTATTATATTTACTTTATATTTACATTATAGTTTATTATATTTTACTTTATTATATTTATTATATTTACATTATTATATTAACTTTATTATATTTACATTATTATATTTACTTTATATAACCTCACTGATCCTTTAATTTAATTAACACTGAGCAGATAAATTAACTACAGGATGAGTTAGTTCAACCTCGTCAGGATCCACTTTAATGAGTCATTGATTATTATAATATAATGTTATATCATGTTATATAATAATATATTATAATATAATATATTGTTATATCATGTTATATAATAATATATTATATTATAATATAATGTTATATCATGTTATATAATAATATATTATATTATAATATAATGTTATATAATATATTAAAAACAAACTTCATTATTTAAACCGACATAAAGAAACTTCCATTAATTGACCTCTTTTAGTTCTACTGAATATGTTTTTAATGAGTTTCTTTGATTCATTAAAGTTTAAA